GACAGATCAAATAACTTCTGCAGAACAAAGTAAGGAATTTGGTTCTCGAGCCGGAGGAGATCCCTCATTAAGGACGGCAAAATCCAAGCCATAGTGACTAAAGGGTCGTTGGGATCGGCCGGGACTATCCTTCCGACTTTGCAGAACAGCTCGATAATGAAGCAACCATCGAGCACCATCATCCAGATAAGGTCCTGGCCATTGAATTCCAAGGTCTCCGAATAGCTCTCCCGGATCTTCTCCTCCATTGGAGCTACCGCCTCGAATAAGTCCTTGAGCACAACTCTCCTGCTCTCCGCCTGCAATAGGAGATCGCTCAGGAACTGCCTTTTGTGCTCCTGGATCATCTGGTACTGCGGCTTCCCATGGTGGAAGGGACCGATGGAGACGATATGAGGCCGGTAGGCCTTCTCATTGATCTCGGATAGGCTCTGAGGGACTCTGAAGATGCAACAAGAATCTCTTCCTGCTGAACTGTTTAAGAGCCTTGGCAATTCTTGCATTGTCCCTTCCAATTCCGATAAGAAACTCGGGTCGATATGGACGACATGATGCACGAAGCTTCCATTCTCTGTGCTGTGGTTGCTGCGGGAGTTTGAAGCTCTGGACATCTGAGCTTAATTGCCAAAAACTATCCTATTTTGGGTAGATTCAATCTTGGGGATGAGGAAGCTTTGGCTTTGGCCTCTCTTTTGTTCCTGCCCAGTAAAGAGTAGGCCATACTACCTGGAAATAACGGTAGAGAAAGACTAATCTTTGTATTTTTTTTTTTTTTGGCAGTCAATTAGGGAGACGAAGACTAAAGTTTCTGGACTCGTTGAAGAAAGCCATACACGGTACACGGTGAAGGAATGGGGCCAACATGTAAGGTGATTATGGCATTATTGGGTTCCTCGCAGCTTCGTTTTCACAGATCACAGCTCGGGCATTGAGCTCCACTTGCACGTAGACTTTGTTGTACCGGCTTTCTGAATTTCCCTTCCTTTTCCATTCAAATTCGCATGAAGTCGCCTAGCGCTTGATATGGGTCACCGTCGTTTCCAGCTCGTTTCGACGAACTTACGGCGGAAAATCGTTCGAACCCTACTTATTATATGCGAAGATTGGATGATTCAACGGTGAATTTTGATAATAGTAAACTTTGTCATTGAGGAAATCAGTGATCCTTGTAATATTCCGCGATGGAAATGCCAAGAAAGGAATCGAACTCGACCTGTATTATGGAAATGAGGTCCTCGTCGACTGTAAAAGTAAAAATATTGGAGTGCAAGTACTAGTAACTAAATATTCCAGAAATCACACTGCCCGTGGAGTTTGGAGGGATGTGCATTTAATATTTGCGCTATTTTATTTTTTTATTTTGATGGCCATTATCCGGCTTTTTCTACCGTTTCTTTGAATAAATCAACACGTCTCGTCAGTCCATGCACGTTTCGTCAGACGGTGCAATATATTGCCAATATATGAGCAAGGATTTCTAAGGAGTTTGCTGCTACAATGGGATCGGATCCTACCGGAAGCAATCACCATAAAATAGAGTCTTCGGGTTAATTAGGCAGTAGAGATAGAAATTCCTATATGTAGGGCAGGCTTTCAAGATAGAGAGAGATGCACTACACTATTTGGCCTTGATTTTGTCAGGAGAGGCATGAACGGAGTAAAGAAGAGTTGTACCGAAGACTTTCTATTTTGTTAGCATACAACACAGTATAGCCTGGCGCTTTGGCTTACTCACCATCTAGTATAGCTTTAGTGAGAGTTGAGTTGCGAAATCGAAACGAGCCAATATTATGAATGTTCTTGGATTGTGTGAATAAGAATAGTAACGTAAACCAACTATCAAAATATATCATAACTATCAAAATATATATGCATCCATATATTTAAAAAATAGTAAGTTGATTTCAAATCAAGGTTTCCATAATGCACACAACGAATGTATACATCTCATAACTTGGTTAAACCTAACAACTATCGTTAGACATGTATACTGTCCCAAACAATACCCAAATCCCAACTACTAAAAGTTCATGTCGATAGATCTCTTGTTCTACTTGCCGCTAACTGAAAAAGATGTATGATTTATGGTATGAGCAACACAGCTTCGTAAGTAGTACAAATCTCTTCTAACCGGATCGAGCATCCATTTTGCATATTTATAAAAGTATACCACATTTCATTTATCTCAAGTCTAGTATATAACATGTTTACAAAATCAAAATGAGTTATATCACTTGACATAACTATAATCATATAGTAAATACTCATTTGATCGATAATATCAAAGCAAATATCAATGACTAGTCTATTGATCAATCTAATCAAATCACATATCAATTGTCTAGCGCTCAAAATCCATTGATTAGTATAGTGCTCAATATCTAACTATGGTCACGTTTAACGCCCGTGACAAATATGACTAATATTCCCTTTGGCTAGATTTCCACTTATATTGATGATGGCTCGGCTCACAAGGATATCTTGATAATAGTATGCATACCCACAAACCCATTAATGGGTTCAAAACACAGTGATACTAAAAATCAAACACTAAACCATTCTCGAATAAATTACAAATCAAATCAAATCCAAAATCCTTCTCATAAATTAGTTTCACAGATCAAAACATATAATCTTTCACAAATTAAATAAAATACATTTCATATGGTTTTTCTCAAACCATTTCAAAATTCATTTCATAAACTAGGTTTACAAATCAATAAGTATACCATTTCGCAACACCTTGCATCGTTTCTCAAACATTCACAAATAATCAAAAAATAGTAAATACTCGATCAATGTTTTATACAACAAACATGCTATAACTCATAATATGTGGAATCCCCTATATTTTCAAAACATGAGTTTACAAATTCATCGAACCACTCATCAGGAAAAGTTTAAATCAAACCACGAAGGTTATCTCAAGCCAACGAACTCGAAATCCTATTAATTAAGCAGAAAACCATATCAAAAATCAAGTAAAAAGATATCTTAACTACTACTCCACTAAACTATAACTTATTCGGCAACAAAACAACTCCTACATGCTAACAAAGAAACTCGCTCGTGGCGGACATTCAATGTTGTCCACTACGCATTGTTTGCGTGCAAAATTTTCAAAATTCGTTTTGATCAATTCGCAACTCGAAATCGACTTCTATAAAATCTCACGGATCCATAACACCCTAAACTATCATTTCCATAAAACTTCACGTCTTAACGATTCCTAATTGAAAATTTTTATAGCTTAATTCCGAAAAATCCCCCGAAAAGATTAATAAATAATTGAAAATCTTATCAGGCGATGTGAAACGGAGTTAATCCGACTTATTGGGATTAATGGGCCTTGGGCTGGGCCCATCTATTACATTTTTGACAACCGTTTCCAAACACGTGTTTCTGGTTTCACAGACCTCTGTCCCATTCGAAGAACAGAACAAACTCTCTCTGCAGTTCCTCGACGAGCCTGATGATGACTCGATTCCCTGCAGAATGTCTTCCACCACTACACACTGCTTTGAACTTAATTATTACCAAGTGCTTGAGTTCTCCCATGGCCGTTCAAATCGTGATTGCAATTTGTCTCCGAGGTGCGAATTTATGTACCTATTCTACCTATTTCGGATATGATCATATTAGCTTTCAACACTCCTATCTGTTGGCCGTCAGAGTCTGACCCATTTCAATACCCTTTTGTTGGCTGTTTCCAGCCAGAAGTTCCTCCATCATTGGAAGCATGTTGGCAGTCTTCTTCTTCATCTCCCTTTCCAGAATTTATGACATGTTAATCATCGTTGACTTGTAGATGAAGCAGCCACTTACTGAATCTATCTGACCTCGGTGGGCAACTGCCGACCCAAAAAGTTGCTTTGCTGATGTGAAAAAGCGTTTCAAGGTTAATGTATTGGAAGGTACGGTTATAGATCCCAAGGAGCAGCTTCTTGTTCAAGCGCAAAAAAAAAAAAAATGTTCGATGCCTTCTTATCACCAATTAATTATCTCATCCAATGGCAGATCTTTTCTTTGCTAGCTTTTCTGTAATAGATAGAGTGGTCATTCGAACATCGATCGTCTTTTTCCTTCTATACCTATTTGGATGCCTATTGTTACGCTTATTCTTCGTGTCCTTCCGTGGGATGTACTTTCAGCTGTACATGGATCTTGCATCATCACTTTATTATGAGGAATCTTAACTAGAGTTACGCTCTCTTAAGTTATGTGAATTTTGATATGTCGAGCGATTAGTTCTGAGGCTGAATTCTACAGCTTCACGGTGTACTGCAGAGCAGATATAGTCTCTAATTATTAATGCTCGGAGCTGGTATTCATCATGGTTTATTGAAGCTTGTTAAAATCATATGAGAATCACTTATCATGGTTATAGCAGAAGTGACTACTTTTCCAGGCCTGTCAAATTATTAGAAAGAACCAAAATTTTCAATATCTTAGGGGTCAGTAATTTCATTGTAGGGTTTAAAAGCATGTCCATCTACATGGGTCTAACGCTGTATAAGAACTACTTTTTTCCTTTTGACTGGAAACGTAAGTGGGGAGAAGTCTACCACCATTGGAGAATCATTCAAGATGACAACATGGATGGTCAACGATGGACGGCTCTGTCCTTCGCACTTTCCTCTTGCAAGAAGAGAAGGTACAGATTTTACCTTGGCTTTTGGCAATTGCTGAGCTCCCTCCATTCAGCCTGTTGATGAAATCACAGCCTAATTCAGATGGGTTGTGTTGAATTTCGCTCTCTTATTCTTTCTTTTTCTTGTGAATCGGAAACATTAGATTTGATTTAGGCTTTGCATAGGACTAGAAAGACCCCGTTGGAGAGCTGACGATTTATCTTGGATGATCACTGACAAAAGATTGCTGCGTTTAGAGCCACGACTTTATTCTCGCTGCACAAATTCGTTGGACAGCTAGCGAGTTAGAGTCATTTATGATATGGTTTCTTACAAGTGGTCAGACATAAATCCGAACCCAAGAACAAATTTCATAATCACATCTGAGCTTTGATATTCTGATCTACAAATTTCAAGTGCGGTATTGCATTTTGTATAGCAAACATCACTAATGATTTTTGGGAGGATTTTGATATGCATAAATTGCATAGAAAGACTGAATCATGGTAAGCAGCAGAAGCACCACAGCTGCAGCAGCTGACACGAAGGACCATGGAGTGTTGAAGTATGTGTGCCTGAACCCAGCCCATCGGACATGCCATTCATTCTGATAATACTCGTTCACCTCCTCAAAGACCTTCGACAAATAGCTCCTGCGAATATCAAACACAACATCTTTCCCAACATTATTGAAGAAACGGGCAACTTCCACATCTGTCCCAAAATAATTCTCGATGATCTTGTGGTCGTCGAGGAACCCAGCATCAGCAGGTGTATTGATGAGACACCCCATAAGAGTAGCATAGGTTGTGATGTACTTGGTGGAATGGCTATAGCACTGCTCAAAAGCAACAAAATTGAGGAACAAAGAGCTCCAGAAGTCGTCAATAGTCAAGACTGGGATCTCGAGGACGCCATTTTTGAATTTGATGTCCAAGATGCTGCGAGTCTTCCTCGGCTTGAACCGGACTCCGGCTTGATTGAGCTTCTTTGCACACCGAATCCGGCGAAGGAATCTGCTTGGCCTCCTTTCTTCCTCCTGGCAATCGGGGATATAGCTCATGCGGAACAAATCAAGTAAATGCATGCCTTCTTTATCGTAGTACTTCTTCAACACATGTAACGGTCTCTGCACCATGTAGTTGAAGAACCCCAAGGCAAGCTTGGCCAAGGAGTGGCTTCCGGATCCAACAGACAGATCAAATAACTCCTGCAGAACGAAATAAGGAATTTGGTTCTCGAGGCGGAGGAGATCCCTCATTAAGAAAGGCAAAACCCAAGCCATAGTGAATAAAGGGTCTTCGTGATCGGCCGGGACTATCCTCTCGACTTTGCAGAACAGCTCGATGATGAAGCAACCATCGAGCACCATCATCCGGATGAGGTCCTGGCCATCGAATTCCAAGGTCTTCGAATAGCTCTTCCGGATGCGCTCCTCCATCCGAGCTACTGCCTTGAAGAAGTCCTCGAGCACAACTCCCTTGCTCTTTGCCCGCAATAGGAGATCGCTCAGGAACCGCCATTTGTGCTCCTGGATCATCTGGAAGTCCGGCTCCCCATGGTGGAAGGGACCGATGGAGACGATATGAGGCTGGTAGGCCTTTTCATTGATCTCCGATAGGCTCTGAGGGACTCTGAAGATGCAGCAAGAATCTCTTCCTGCCGACCTGCTCAAGAGCCTCGGCAATTCCTGCATTTTCCCTTCCACTTCTGATAAGAAACTCGCATCGATTTGGACGGCATGGTGAATGGAGCTTCCGTTCTCTGCGCTGTGGTTGCCGTGGGAGTTTGATTCTGTGGACATCTGTGCTTAATTCCCAAAAAAACTATCTGCTATTCTGGGGTAGATTCAAAGCTAAAAGTTCCATCTCGCAGATGAGGAAGCTTTGGCTTCTCTTTTGTTCCAGGACCATTAGAGAGGAGACCATAGCACCCAGAAGAGACAATTCACCAGCAGCCTAGAAATTATAGTATAAAAAGACTTGATCTCTTGTTTTTTCTATTGGGCAGTCAATTAGGAAGACGAAGACTTGGTTTTCCTTGTTGGCTAGGTAAGCGAGCGATGTTAATCGAACGGTGGTACACGGTGAGGGAATGGGGCCAACATGGATGTTGATTACGGCATTATTGGATTCCTCGCAGCTTCTTTTTCACGGGTTACAGCTCGGACAGGTTGCCGAAATTGATCATTGAGCTCCATCTGCACATGGACTTCTTGGACCGAGTCAGCTTTTTGAATCGCCCTTTCTTTTCCTTTCAAATTCGCATGAAGCTGCCTAGTGCTCGATGATGGGTCATCATTATTTCGAGCCCATTTCAATGAACTTTCCGCTGAAAATCATTCGAAGATGTCACAATGGCAAATCTTGATAACCGCGAACCATGTCATTGATAAAACGACCATCGTGCCTTCAAAATTAAGCATTGTTTTTTGTAGTGAACTGGGCCATCTGTCACGAATCGCATCATCAAGAAAACGAACGCCGTTCGTGTTAGTGCCTAGAATTTCGACGAGGTTGCAATGGTATTGCGGAGATTAGGCATATTACGCTAGTTTTTGTTTTTGTTTTTTTTTTTTCTCGTGTGGGTAGTGTCAAAGTCTTTGGCCAGGCAATCGACACAAATTTGGCTTCTCCGCTGGTCCGAGCTTATGCAAAATCATGACACTGGTAAAGCTGCTACATAAATGTATTGTAGTGAATTATTAAAATTGTTAATAGTATAAAATATTCAATAATTATTGATATCTTTTGAAAAGTATTGGTAAAGCTACCAGTCATAAAACTTGTTTAAAGGGTATTTGATATCAAGAGTTTGGACTTTTGGGAAAGGGTATCTAAATTTCAACAGTACAGAAAGCGTACTGGTTTTTGTCCACAGCAGAACTGCAGAATCGTGGGACCGGTCCATCTGCTCGCGCTCATAGTCATGGAAACAGAGAGAAGATGTAGAGCTAATAATTATATGTTGCTGCATTTACATGGGCTGATTGTACACAAGTGGTCAAGAACCATTTGAACCTTCAATAACATAACACCCAACGGATTCTACAAGATTTGCAGCTCAAGTTTTAATCTGCAGCTCAACCTCGACCAATTCCTGAAGATGGCAAACCCAGACTTCTGCTAATTCTGGTTGGCAGGAGGATAGAAATATGCATAGACAGTAACGAAGGACTGAACTATGGTGAGTATCAGGAGTATGAGTGCCGCCAAGGCCGACATGAAGGACCATGGGGTGTTGAAGTACGTGTGCTTGAAGCCGGCCCATCGGACGTGCCAACCATTTTGGTAGTACCGGTTCACGTCCTCGAAAACCTCGGACAGATAGCTCCTTTCGATATCGAATACCACATCTTTCCCGATGATACTGAAGAAGCGAGCCACTTGCTCGTCCCCGCCGAAGTAGTTCTCGACGATCTTGCGGTCGCTGAGGAACCCGGCGTCGGCCGGCGTGTTCATGAGGCGTCCCATGAAAGTACGTAGCGTAGGTCGTGATGTGCTTCGTGCAGTGGTGATACTCGGTACTCGATACTTGTAATCTTGCTGTAATTCGATGATTTTATGAGAGGCTTATAATCCTTGTCTGAAAGTCTTCCAGACAATCCACAATTACTAGAAGAAAGAACCAAACAAGAACATAGGGTTGGCTGATTGGTCATGCTGTTTAATTTGATTGCTGCATGTTAAACAAATGCATTTTTTAAAAGCTTAAGATGTTAGGAAACATGCCTAGCTATGTATATATAACGTATAACTTAACACTACCCATGCGTAGAACCGATCCCTTACACACAACAGAATGTGGACGTAATCACGTCAATGAGATAACCTGGGAAATGATAACGAACAACACAACAGACGGGAAATTTTAAATTATTGACATGTGCTTTGATACAATGCTAGAAATGAACAAGTAGAATGCGGAAAATTTGTTGGAAATTTAACAAAACAAGTAGAATGCAGACAATATGCTCATCCTTTGGAAGAGATTCTTTCTAGATTCTGATTATACCCATGATCATTGCTTGTGTCTTTCAAACAGCTTGTCAAAAGAAATAGCAGAAAAAACCTACCCACCCTTTAAACTTTGCCAAGTTGCCAACCAGCGACTACCGGGCCATGCATCGTGGATTCCATGAAGCAGAATAAGAATAGTTATCAAAATAAACAATGGGAAAAGATTTCATTGAGTGCTATCTAGGACGCGAAACGCCTTCATTTGTGTCTGTACTCAAACTGGCTAAACCATTCCTTAATCTTGGATGGTCAGTAAAATGCTGGACAGGAAGGGTTGAGGCGCAATAAATCTGTTTTCCCCAATAGATTTCGATGTGCGTCACAGTATGCTCAGAAATGAGAAGATTGTGTGGGTGGGAATAAGTACTTTGTTGGGTTGGGTTCGCTGATGGAACGATTCGGTTTGGCTCTGTTCGAGGTTTTCGTCGGAAAACGGATTGGTTTGGTTTGATCCGTGGCGTCCTGGATTGCGGTGCGGCCCTGGTAGTACTGCTGTAGAATCTTTATCTTTGTGTTGACGCCTCGCATATCGAAAAAGAAATTGGGCAGCCTTGGCTATCCTTGATTAAGCGATTGTTTATCTTTTTTCCTTCCAGTTCGTGTTCGATTGAAACATTTTTTCTTGAAGTACTGGTCTTTTGTCGTGAGCCTTGTTCCTGCATTAGATATGCTTATAATTATCGTCTTATGATTTTACAGGTCCAATTCGGCCATCAGGATCGTTTGATTTCTCGGTGTTGATATTTCATTTTGACATACACATTCCGTCGGAAGTGTGAATTGCATGTTGAGAAGGCGGCGCAACGGGTTTCGGTTGAAGTTATTTGCGCTGACAGTACAGTTTGGCCGAAGGTGCTTCGGAGAGTCTCCATGTGAAGGATTACAAGTATTGAGTACCGAGTATGAGTGGTTTTATTGCTTCTTTTTGTTCGCTCTGTTCTTAATAGTTGCTGAGAGCATGGCACAAACACTGACTGTCGGGCAAGCAGATCATAATCAATTGTCCAATTTTTGTTTTCTGATGAATTGCATCTCATGGTGAGTTTCCATAGAACAGCCCCCTGTAAGAATTGGCGTTTCTATATAAAGATATATAAACCTGAGCATATTTTTGAAGGTCTGCTGTAACACCATGGGCATGGTGTCTGAGTGGCAAAAGTAGCGCCCATTCTCAGATACTAAATCAATTGATGAGATTAAGTTCTTGAGTTCTTTTCTACACTGATTTCACTGACCGAAAGACCTCCAACTTTCAGATGCAAGTTACCACCATGAAACTTCGATTAAATGTACTTGGCATTGAGATTGTAACGAGATAGCTATTGGACCACGAGGAGAAGGTTTTCGACTTCCATTTGGGTTCCCTCTAGAAATGGAGGTATTTGCATTTTGCAACTGGACAATCACTTTATAACGATCTCTCATTATTTTGGATAAAGGCGTAGGCTGCTTCTTTTCTCCTGTTCATCTTCAGAAGAAAATTATGTTATGGCAGATAGGATCTTCAGAAAGGGATATTCAGGATCAAATGAGCGCTTTATTCACCTGATAGCTGATCTAGCCTCTATGCAAAAGAATTAAGTAAAACTGATTGAAAAGGAGAAATTAAGTCGCGCTTCCTATGAAGCTGCATTGCTTATGGCAGATAAAGCAACAGCCAAAGGTTGAGCATAAACAAGCGCACAAACACGCCACTATAGATCAATGGAAAGTAGTGACTCTGCTGGGGGGCAAGAAAAAGCATTAAGAATGAGCAGGACTAGCCTCTCGAAAGACTTGACAGCATCTATTCCCAAAACCAGCTTTTCCATTCCCTTCAATTGTCTTCCGCTGCTACACCATCTCGGAACTTGATTATCTCCAAGTGCTTGAATTCTCCCATGACCATTCAAATCGTTATTGCAATTCGTCTCTGAAGCACGAATTCATATGCCTATTTCAGGTATAATCACATTAGCTTTCGACTCTCCTATTTGTCCACTGTCAAGGTTTACCATTTCAATACCCTTTGGTTGGCCATTTCTAGGCACAAGTTTCTCCATTTTCGGAAAGCATCTTGGCAACCTTCTTCTTCATTTCCCTTTCCATTTTCATGACATGTTAATGATTGTTGAATTGTAGATGTAGAAGCCACTCACTGAATCTGTTTAACCTTTGACCAAAAAAAAAATCCGTTTGACCTTGGTGGCAACTGCTGACTTAAAAAGTTGTTCGGCCGTCTTCTATTGTTTAACGTATTGGAATGTAAGATTATAGAAATCCCAGTGAGCAATTTCTTGTTCAAGCGCAAGTCTCTATTAGCTATGATTTGACAAGCACGGGTCCGGTGGCTATTCTTTTGAAATTTGTCCAGGGGCCACCTTCTTTTCACCAATTAATTCATCACATGACAGATCTTCTCTTTACTAGCTTGTGTGTATAGAATGGTTATTTGAAACTTGAGCGTCTTTTTCGTTCCATACCTATTTGAATGCCAATTGTTGTGCTTTCTTCGTGTCCTTCCGTGTAACGCGCTTTCAGCTGTACATAGATCTCACATCGTCGCTTATATATAGGAATCTTACTTAGAGGTACCCTCTCTTGAGTTATGTGAATTTGATATGTAGAACGATTCCTGTTCTGAGGCTGAATTCTATAGTTTCACGGTGAACTGCGTAGAAGATATAGACTCGAACTATTAATGCTTGGAGCTGGATATAGCCATTTGATGGAATATGTCAATATCAGATGAGAATCACTTAATATGGTTGTAGCTGAAGTGACTACATTTCAGGGCCTGTTAAGTTGTTAGGCAGAACCAAATTTTCAATGATTTAGAGATTAGTAATTTCAATGCACGTAATAAAAGCATGTCCATCTTTATGGGTCGAATGCTGTTTAAGAACTACTTTTTTTCTTCTAAGTGAATACATAAGGGGGAGAACTCTACAACGATTGGGGAATCATTCAACATAACAGCATGGATGGTCGACGATGGACGGCTCTGTTCTTCGCACTTTCCTCTTTCAAGAAGAGAAGGTGCAGATTTTACCTTGGCTTTTGGCAATAGCTAAGCTTGCTCTATTCGGCCAGTTGATGAAATCACTGCCTACTTCAGATTGGCTATGTTGAATTTCGCCCTCTTATTCTTTATTCTTGCGAATTGGAAACATTACATTTGAAGGAGGCTTAGCATAGAACCGGAAAGACACGGTTGGAGAGCTGACGGTCTATCTTGGTTGATCACTGATAAAAAGATCATCGCATTTAGAGCCACAACTTTATTCTCACTAGCACAAGTGGTCAAACATGAATCCGAACTTGCAACAAATATCATAATCACAACTGAGCTTCGATATTCTGCGCTGCAAATTGCTTCTTTAAATACAGTATTGCATTTTGTATAACAAACATCACTAATGACTTTTTTTTGGATTGTGATATTGATAAACTGCATAGAAAGACTGAATCATGGTAAGCAGCAGAAGCATCACAGCTGCCACGGCCGACATGAAGGACCATGGAGTGCTGAAGTATGTGTGCTTGAACCCAGCCAATCGGACATGCCAATCATTCTGATAAAACTTATTCACTTCCACAAAGACCTTGGACAAATAGCTCCTGTGAATGTCAAACACCACATCTTTCCCGACATTATTGAAGAAACGGGCAACTTCCTTGTCCGTCCCAAAATAATTCTCAACAATCTTGTGGTCGCCGAGGAACCCAGCATCAGCAGGCGTATTAATAAGACACCCCATAAAAGTTACATAGGTTGTGATGTGCTTGGTGGAATGGCAATAGCACTGCTCAAAAGCAACAAAATTGAGGAACAAAGAGCTCCAGAAGTCGTCAATAGTCAAGACAGGAATCTCGAGGATGCCATTTCTGAATTTGATGTCCAAGATGCTGTGAGTCTTCCTTGGCCTGAACTTGACTCCGGCTTGATCGAGCTTCTTCGCAGATTGAATCAGGTGAAGGAATCTCAGCGACCTTACTTCCTCCTGGCAATCGGGGTCCTTGGGCATATAGCTCATGCGGAACAAGTCAAGCAAATGCTTTCCTTCTTTATCGTAGTACTTCTCCAACGCGGGGACCGGTCTTTGCACCATGTAGTTGAAGAACCCCAAGGCAAGCTTGGCCAAGGAGGGGCCACCATTTTCGGATCCAACAGACAGATCAAATAACTTCTGCAGAACAAAGTAAGGAATTTGGTTCTCGAGCCGGAGGAGATCCCTCATTAAAGACGGCAAAATCCAAGCCATAGTGACTAAAGGGTCGTTGGGATCGGCCGGGACTATCCTTCCTACTTTGCAGAACAGCTCGATAATGAAGCAACCATCGAGCACCATCATCCAGATAAGGTCCTGGCCATTGAATTCCAAGGTCTCCGAATAGCTCTCCCGGATCTTCTCCTCCATTGGAGCTACCGCCTCGAATAAGTCCTTGAGCACAACTCTCCTGCTCTCCGCCTGCAATAGGAGATCGCTCAGGAACCGCCTTTTGTGCTCCTGGATCATCTGGTACTGCGGCTTCCCATGGTGGAAGGGACCGATGGAGACGATATGAGGCCGGTAGGCCTTCTCATTGATCTCAGATAGGCTCTGAGGGACTCTGAAGATGCAACAAGAATCTCTTCCTGCTGAACTGTTTAAGAGCCTTGGCAATTCTTGCATTGTCCCTTCCAATTCTGATAAGAAACTCGGGTCGATATGGACGACATGATGCACGAAGCTTCCATTCTCTGTGCAGTGGTTGCTGCGGGAGTTTGAAGCTCTGGACATCTGAGCTTAATTGCCAAAAACTATCCTATTTTGGGTAGATTCAATCTTGGGGATGAGGAAGCTTTGGCTTTGGCCTCTCTTTTGTTTCTGCCCAGTAAAGAGTAGGCCATACTACCTGGAAATAATAGTAGAGAAAGACTAATCTTTGTATTTTTTTTTTTGGCAGTCAATTAGGGAGACGAAGACTAAAGTTTCTGGACTCGTTGAAGAAAGCCATACACGGTACACGGTGAAGGAATGGGGCCAACATGTAAGGTGATTATGGCATTGTTGGGTTCCTCGCAGCTTCGTTTTCACAGATCACAGCTCGGGCATTGAGCTCCACTTGCACGTAGACTTTGTTGTACCGGCCTTCTGAATTTCCCTTCCTTTTCCTTTCAAATTCGCATGAAGTCGCCTAGTGCTTGATATGGGTCACCGTCGTTTCCAGCTCGTTTCGACGAACTTTCGGCGGAAAATCGTTCGAACCCTACTTATTATATGCGAAGATTGGATGATTCAACGGTGAATTTTGATAATAGTAAACTTTGTCATTGAGGAAATCAGTGATCCTTATAATATTCCGCGATGAAAATGCCAAGAAAGGAATCGAACTCGACATGTATTATGGAAATGAGGTCCTTGTCGACTGTAAAAGTAAAAAAATTGGAGTGCAAGTACTAGTAACTAAATATCCAGAAATCACACTGCCTCTGGAGTTTGGAGGGATGTGCATTTAATATTTACGCTATTTTATTTTTTGATTTTGATGGCCATTATCCGGCTTTTTCTACCGTTTCTTCGAACAAACCGACACGTCTCATCAGTCCAAGCACGTTTCGTCAGACGGTGCAATATATTGCCAATATATGAGCAAGGATTTCTGAGGAGTTTTGCTGCTAAAATGGGATCGGATCCTACCTGAAGCAATCACCATAAAGTAGAGTCTTCGGGTTAATTAGGCAGTAGAGATAGAAATTCCTATATGTAGGGCAGGCTTTCAAGATAGAGAGAGATGCACTACACTATTTGGCCTTGATTTTGTCAGGAGAGGCATGAACGGAGTAAAGAAGAGTTGTACCGAAGACTTTCTATTTTGTTAGCACACAACACGGTATAGCCTGGCGCTTTGGCTTACTCACCATCTAGTATAGCTTTAGTGAGAGTTGAGTTGCGAAATCGAAACGAGCCAATATTATGAATGTTCTTGGATCGTGTGAATAAGAATAGTAACGTAAACCAACTATCAAAATATATATGCATCCATATATTTATAAAATAGTAAGTTGATTTCAAATCAAGGTTTCCATAATGCACACAATGAATGTATACATCTCATAACTTAGTTAAACCTAACAACTATCGTTAGACATGTATACTGTCTCAAACAATACCCAAATCCCAACTACTAAAAATTCATGTCGATAGATCTCTTGTTCTACTTGCCGCTAATTGAAAAAGATGTATGATTTATGGTATGAGCAACACAGCTTCGTAAGTAGTACAAATCTCTTCTAACCGGATCGAGCATCCATTTTGCATATTTATAAAATAATACCACATTTCATTTATCTCAAGTCTAGTATATAACATGTTTACAAAATCAAAATGAGTTGTATCACTTGACATAACTATAATCATATAGTAAATACTCATTTGATCGATAATATCAAAGCAAATATCAATGACTAGTCTATTGATCAATCTAATCAAATCACATATCAATTGTCTAGCGCTCAAAATCCATTGATTAGTATAGTGCTCAATATCTAACTATGGTCACGTTTAACGCCCGTGACAAAGATGACTAATATTCCCTTTGACTAGATTTCCACTTATATTGATGATGGCTCGGCTCACAAGGATATCTTGATAATAATATGCATACCCACAAACCCATTAATGGGTTCAAAACATAGTGATACTAAAAATCAAACACTAAACCATTCTCGAATAAATTACAAATCAAATCAAATCCAAAATCCTTCTCATAAATTAGTTTCATAGATCAAAACATATAATCTTTCACAAATTAAATAAAATACATTTCATATGGTTTTTCTCAAACCATTTCAAAATTCATTTCATAAACTAGGTTTACAAATCAATAAGTATAACATTTCGCAACACCTTGCATCGTTTCTCAAACATTCACAAATAATCAAAAAATAGTAAATACTCGATCAATGTTTTATACAACAAACATACTATAACTCATAATATGTGGAATCCCCTATATTTTCAAAACATGAGTTTACAAATTCATCGAACCACTCATCAGGAAAAGTTTAAATCAAACCACGAAGGTTATCTCAAGCCAACGAACTCGAAATCCTATTAATTAAGCAGAAAACCATATCAAAAATCAAGTAACAAGATATCTTAACTACTACTCCACTAAACTATAACTTATTCGGCAACAAAACAACTCCTACATGCTAACAAAGAAACTCGCTCATGGCGGACATTCAATGTTGTCCACTACGCATTGTTTGCGTGCAAAATTTTCAAAATTCGTTTTGATCAATTCGCAACTCGAAATCGACTTCTATAAAATCTCACGGATCCATAACACCCTAAACTATCATTTCCATAAAACTTCACGTCTTAACGATTCCTAATTGAAAATTTTTATAGCTTAATTCCGAAAAATCCCCCGAAAAGATTAATAAATGATTGAAAACCTTGTCAGGCGCTGTGAAACGGAGTTAATCCGACTCATTGGGATTTATGGGCCTTGGGCTGGGCCCATTTATTACATTTTTGACAACCGTTTCCAAACACATGTTTCTGGTTTCACAGACCTCAGTCCCATTCGAAGAAAAGAACAAACTCTCTCTGCAGTTCCTCGACGAGCCTGATGATGACTCGATTCCCTGCAGAATGTCTTCCACCACTACACACTGCTTTGAACTTAATTATTACCAAGTGCTTGAATTCTCCCCTGGCCGTTCAAATCGTGATTGCAATTTGTCTCCGAGGTGCGAACTTATGTACCTATTCTACCTATTTCGGATAGTCATATTAGCTTTCGACACTCCTATCTGTTGGCCGTCACAGTCTGACCCATTTCAATACCCTTTTGTTGGCTGTTTCCAGCCAGAAGTTCCTCCATCATTGGAAGCATGTTGGCAGTCTTCTTCTTCATCTCCCTTTCCAGAATTTATGACATGTTAATCATGGTTGACTTGTAGATGAAGCAGCCACTTACTGAATCTGTCTGACCTCGGTGGGCAACTGCCGACCCAAAAAGTTGCTTTGCTGATGTGAAAAAGCATTTCAAGGTTAATGTATCGGAAGGTACGGTTATAGATCCCAAGGAGCAGCTTCCTGTTCAAGCGCAAAAAAAAAATGTTCGATGCCTTCTTATCACCAATTAATTAATCCATCCAATGGTAGATCTTTTCTTTGCTAGCTTTTCTGTAATAGAAAGAGTGGTCATTCGAACATTGATTGTCTTTTTCCTTCTATACCTATTTGGATGCCTATTGTTACGCTTATTCTTCGTGTCCTTCCGTGGGATGTACTTTCAGCTGTACATGGATCTTGCATCATCACTTTATTATGAGGAATCTTAACTAGAGCTACGCTCTCGAGTTATGTGAATTTTGATATATCGAGCGATTAGTTCTGAGGTTGAATTCTACAGCTTCACGGTGTACTGCAGAGAAGATATAGTCTCTAATTATTAATGCTTGGAGCTGGTATTCATCATGGTTTATTGAAGCTTGTTAAAATCATATGAGAATCACTTATCATGGTTATAGCAGAAGTGACTACTTTTCCAGGCCTGTCAAATTATTAGAAAGAACCAAAATTTTCAATATCTTAGGGGTCAGTAACTTCATTGTAGGGTTTAAAAGCATGTCCATCTACATGGGTCTAACGCTGTATAAGAACTACTTTTTTCCTTTTGACTGGAAACGTAAGTGGGGAGAAGTCTACCACGATTGGAGAATCATTCAAGATGACAACATGGATGGTCAACGATGGATGGCTCTGTCCTTCGCACTTTCCTCTTGCAAGAAGAGAAGGTGCAGATTTTACCTTGGCTTTTGGCAATTGCTGAGCTCCCTCCATTCAGCCTGTTGATGAAATCACAGCCTAATTCAGATGGGTTGTGTTGAATTTCGCTCTCTTATTCTTTCTTTTTCTTGTGAATCGGAAACATTAGATTTGATTTAGGCTTTGCATAGAACTAGAAAGACCCCGTTGGAGAGCTGACGATTTATCTTGGTTGATCACTGACAAAAGATTGTTGTGTTTAGAGCCACGACTTTACTCTCGCTGCACAAATTCGTTGGACAGCTAGCGAGTTAGAGTCATTTATGATATGGTTTCTTACAAGTGGTCAGACATAAATCCGAACTCACGACAAATTTCATAATCACATCTGAGCTTTGATATTCTGATCTACAAATTTCAAGTGTGGTATTGCATTTTGTATAGCAAACATCACTAATGATTTTTGGGAGGATTTTGATATGCAAAAACTGCATAGAAAGCCTGAATCATGGTAAGCAGCAGAAGCACCGTAGCTGCAACAGCTGACATGAAGGACCATGGAGTGTCGAAGTACTTGTGCCTGAACCCAGCCCATCGGACATGCCAATCATTCTGATAATACTCGTTCACTTCCTCAAAGACCTTGGACAAATAGCTCCTGTGAATATCAAACACCACATCTTTCCCAACATTATTGAAGAAACGGGCAACTTCCTTGTCTGTCCCAAAATAATTCTCGATGATCTTGTGGTCGCGGAGGAACCCAGCATCAGCGGGCGTATTAATGAGACACCCCATAAGAGTAGCGTAGGTTGTGACGTACTTGGTGGAATGGCGATAGCACTGCTCAAAAGCAACAAAATTGAGGAACAAAGAACTCCAGAAGTCGTCCATAGTCAAGACTGGAATCTCGAGGACGCCATTTTTGAATTTGATGTCCAAGATGCTGTGAGTCTTCCTCGGCTTGAACCGGACTCCGGCTTGATTGAGCTTCTTTGCACACTGAATCAGGTGAAGGAATCTGCTTGGCCTCCTTACTTCCTCCTCGCAATCGGGGATATAGCTCATGAGGAACAAATCAAGCAAATGCACGCCTTTTTTCTCGTAGTACTTCACCAACACATGTAACGGTCTCTGCACCATGTAGTTGAAGAACCCCAAGGCAAGCTTGGCCAAGGAGGGGTCATCATTTCCGGATCCAACAGACAGATCAAATAACTTCTGCAGAACGAAATAAGGAATTTGGTTCTCGAGCCGGAGGAGATCCCTCATTAAGAAAGGCAAAACCCAAGCCATTGTGAATAAAGGGTCGTCGAGATCGGCCGGGACTATCCTCCCAACTTTGCAGAACAGCTCGATGATGAAGCAACCATCGAGCACCATCATCCGGATAAGGTCCTGGCCATCGAATTCCAAGGTCTCCGAATAGCTCTTCCGGATAGGCTCCTCCATCGGAGCGACCGCCTCGAAGAAGTCCTTGAGCACAACTCTCTTGCTCTCCGCCCGCAATAGGAGATCACTCAGGAACCGCCATTTGTGCTCCTGGATCATCTGGAACTGCGGCTCCCCATGGTGGAAGGGACCGATGGAGACGATATGAGGCTGGTAGGCCCTTTCATTGATCTCCGACAGGCTCTGAGGGACTCTGAAGATGCAGCAAGAATCTCTTCCCGCCGACCTGTTCAAGAGCCTCGGCAATTCCTCCATTTTCCCTTCCACTTCTGATAAGAAACTCGCGTCGATTTGGACGACATGGTGAACGGAGCTTCCGTTCTCTGCGCTGTGGTTGCCGCGGGAGTTTGATTCTGTGGACATCTGTGCTTAATTGCCAAAAAAACTATCTGCGATTCTGGGGTAGATTCAAAGCTAAAAGTTCCATCTCGCAGATGAGGAAGCTTTGGCTTCTCTTTTGTTCCAGGACCATTAGAGAGGAGACCATAGCACCCAGAAGAGACAATTCACCAGCAGCCTAGAAATTATAGTATAAAAAGAGTTGATCTCTTGTTTTTTCTATTGGGCAGTCAATTAGGAAGACAAAGACTTGGTTTTCCTTGTTGGCTAGGTAAGCGAGCGATGTTAATCGAACGGTGGTACACGGTGAGGGAATGGGGCCAACATGGATGTTGATTACGGCAATATTGGATTCCTCGCAGCTTCTTTTTCACGGGTCACAGCTCGGACAGGTTGCCGAAATTGATCATTGAGCTCCATCTGCACATGGACTTCTTGGACCGAGTCAGCTTTTTGAATCGCCCTTTCTTTTCCTTTCAAATTCGCATGAAGCTGCCTAGTGCTCGATGATGGGTCATCATTATTTCGAGCCCATTTCAATGAACTTTCCGCTGAAAATCATTCGAAGACGTCACAATGGCAAATCTTGATAACTGCGAACCATGTCATTAATAAAACGACCATCGTGCTTTCAAAATTAAGCATTGTTTCTTGTAGTGAACCGGGCCATCTGTCACGAATCGCATCATCAAGAAAACGAACGCCGTTCGTCTTAGTGCCTAGAATTTCAACGAGGTTGCAATGGTATTGCGGAGATTAGGCATATTACGCTAGTTTTTGTTTTTTTTTTCGTTTTTTCTCTTGTGGGTAGTGTCAAAGTTTTTGGCCGGTAATCGACACAAATTTGGCTTCTCCGCTGGTCCGAGCTTATGCAAAATCATGACAATGGTAGAGCTGCTACATAAATGTATTTTAGTGAATTATTAAAATTGTTAATAGTATAAAATATTTAATAATTATTGATATCTTTTGAAAAGTATTGGTAAAGCTACCAGTCAAAAAACTTTTCCAAAGGGTGTTTGATATCAAGAGTTTGGACTTTTGGTGAAGGGTTTCTAAATTTCAACAGTACAGAAAACGTACTGGTTTTTGTCCACAGCAGAACTGCAGAATCGTGGGACCGGTCCATCTGCTCGCGCTCATAGTGATGGAAACAGAGAGAGAAGATGTAGAGCTAATAATTATATGTCGCTGCATTTACATGGGCTGATTCAACACAAGTGGTCAAGAACCATTTGAACCTTCAATAACATAACACCCAACAGATTCTACAAGATTTGCAGCTCAAGTTTTAATCTGCAGCTCAACCTCGACCAATTCCTGAAGATGGCAAACCCAGACTTCTGCTAATTCTTGTTGGCAGGAGGATAGAAATATGCATAGACAGCAACGAAGGACTGAACCATGGTGAGTATCAGGAGAATGAGTGCCGCCAAGGCCGACATGAAGGACCATGGGGTGTTGAAGTACATGTGCTTGAAGCCGGCCCATCGGACGTGCCAACCATTTTGGTAGTACCGGTTCACGTCCTCGAAAACCTCAGACAGATAGCTCCTTTCGATATCGAATACCACATCTTTCCCAATGATACTGAAGAAGCGAGCCACTTCCTCGTCTCCGCCAAAGTAGTTCTCCACGATCTTGCGGTCGCTGAGGAACCCGGCGTCGGCCGGCGTGTTCATGAGGCGTCCCATGAAAGTAGCGTAGGTCGTGATGTGCTTCGTGCAGTGGTGGTAGCACTGCTCAAACGCAACGAAGTTGAGCAAGAGAGAACTCAGGAAGTCATCGAGTTTGAGGACCGGGATTTCTAGGGTGCCGTTGATGTTCCTGAATTTGATATCCAAGAAGCTGGAAGAATTCCTCGGCTTGAACTTGACTCCGGCCACGCCGAGCTTCTTCGCCGGCTGAATCAGGCGGAGGAACTTGCTCGGCTGCCTGGATGTTTCTTGAGCCTCCGGGATATAGCTCAACCGGAACAGGTCGAGCAAATGCTTCCCTTCCTTCTTGTAATACTTCTTTAGGACTTTGGTCGGCCTGTCATCCATGCGGTTGAAGAATTTCAGCGCAAGCTCGGCCAAAGAGTAATCGTTGTTGTCGCTCAATCCCATGACCAATGTGAATATGGGCTCGAGGACGAAAAACGGGATTTGATTCTCGAGTGCAAGGAGGTCACGCGTCAGGAAAGGCAGCATCCAAGGTATGCTCAATAGCGGGTCGTCAGAATGCAGGGGAACCAACTTCCCGACTTTGCAGAAGAGCTCAACGATGAAGCAACCGTCGAGTATCATCATTTGAATGAGGTCTTGGCTATCGACGTCCAAGGTTTCCGAGTAGCTCTCGCGGATCTCATCCTCCATCGGTGCAATGGCCCTGACCAAGTCCACGAACCCAACACCTCTTTCCTCTATCCGGGCGAGGAGGTCATGGAGGAATTGACCCTTGTGCTCCTCGATCATGCTGAACTCCTTGTTGCCATGGTGGTACGGGCCAATGGAGAGTATGTGGGGCTGATAGGCTTTCTCATTGATCTTGGCCAGACTCCGAGGGACCCTGAAGATGCAACAGGAGTTCCTGCCCGCAGTTTGGCTCAACTGTTTCGGCATCTCTTGGGTCTTCCTCTTCAATTTCGGTAGCAGATTGCCGATGTCAATGGCATGGTGCGGCTGGCTTCCGCTCTGGGCACTCTGGTTAATGCGGTGATTCATTTCTCTCGACATCGAGGATTGGATGTTATTATGCTGTTTCGGTGGCCTCTAATGGCACGCTCTTGGATGAGGCTTCAGACCTTCCTCTGTTTCTGATTATATAGACGACTTGGAGGAAACGGATCCCACAAAATTATTGGTCTTTTGGGTTCGTGGCAATTTCTTTACAATTGGAAGGGCCATTCGTGACCATTGTACTGGAACTGAGCAGCGAACTTCCCTTGTCATTTGTTGAATCTAGTTGGCGAAGACTGATGCCTAGTCAACTTCATTTGATCCTTTTTTTTCCCTCCATCTTGTGATGGGCCCAAAAGAAGAAAGAAACGAAGATGTTTTAACACTTCCGGTCATTCTTCCAATGCATTTCAATGAAGTTTCTGTCTGCTTTATATTAGTCCACTGGGGTCGCTTCATCCAAGACCAGATATCACATCAGCATAATGCTATGATTTTAATACTTAATGCACTCTTTTCATCTGATTGCAACTGTATCACTAGGTCGAGAATTGAGGGTACCAAACCATTTTTTTAAATATCCCTTCTGAAATGACAAATGTAGAGCAAGACTAAGATCCTCTCTGAGATATGAAACCTACAAATTAACATTATTTATTAGGAAGTTAATATCTAGAGCACCCAATTGAGGAGAAATCATAGAACATCTGCAAGACAGTAAAAATTAAAATGCGAAACTCGAAATTAACATGATTCGCTGCAAATAAAATCGAAGGTGGGATTTGTCTTTGGTTTTTGGTGGAACCATTCCCTGATATCACTAAGTTATTTGATAAATATATTTAATGATTTAATCTAGACCATTCATTACGGTATTACCACATCTTGTGTTATTAGTTTATTAGTGATAGAAGGCAATCGTGATTCGGACTCTTTGCAACGAGAAAAGTTAACTAGAAACTGACAAAAACAGAAGGCTTTTTTACGAGTCCCCCAAAGCAAGATGTGCTGTGGTCAGGTGTACTGTTAAATATTGATAATCTTCGAATAAGTTCATCTTCCCATCTTTCTCCTAATTAATCAGTAAACACGGATTAGAGCTTAAGCAAATGGAGAGAAAACTGAGCACCAACATCACAGAATCCTAGTATTCTGATGTTCCCACGGTTAGCTCATGGTCACATCTCACCTTTCCTAGAGTTAGCCAAGAAGCTCTCACACAGGGACTTCCACATATACTTCTGCTCCACACCCATCAATCTAAAGCCTCTCAGAGACACCCTTCTTGCTCAAGACTGTGTTTCTTCAATACAACTCATTGATCTTCACCTTCCATTTGACAACTTTCCATAACTTCCTCCTCACTATCACACCACCAAGGACCTCCCTCCTCATCTCATGTCCACCCTCAAATCTGCCTTCGATTCTGCAAAGTCTTCCTTCTTTGACATCCTCAGATCCCTCAAGCCAGACTTGGTCATCTTTGATTATCTCCATGGGCCTCAGTTGCAGTTAGTGAGCTGAACATAAATGCTGTGGTTTTCCTTACTATGGGGGCTGCCTCCTGTTCTTTCTTGACTCACTCCATTCATCACACCTTCAATGAATGCCCCTTTTCGGCTCTGACTTTGCCCGAGTCTGAGAACCATAGAATCACCCAGTTGATGAACTCCAGTGCCAATGGAAACAAGAACAAGGAGAGGTTCTGGGAGTCCATGGAGAGGTCATCCAACATAGTCTTGATCAAAACATCAAGAGTCACAGAAGGCAAGTATGTTGATCATCTCTCTGAATTAGTGAAAGAGAAGGTGGTGACTGTTGGCCCTCTTCTTCGAGAACCTGCTAACAAGGACGGTGATGGAGAGAAGATCATGGAGTGGCTTAATAAGAGACAATTTTCTTCAGTTGTGTTAGTTTCTTTTGGGAGTGAGTATTTCCTTTCTGAAGAAGAGAGGGAGGAGATTGCTTATCGATTGGAGCTCAGCAATGTGGGCTTTATCTGGGTTCTCAAATTTCATGGTGGAGAAGAAGTTGCAATAGATGAGGCTCTACCACAAAGATCTACAGAGGATTGGGGACAGAGGCCTGGTTGTGGAAGGATGGGCCCCACAGGCCAAGATTTTGGGACATCCAAGCATAGGTGGGTTTGTGAGTCACTGTGGTTGGCGCTCAACACTGGAGGCAATTCTTTTTGGAGTGCCAATCATAGCCATGCCAATGCACCTTGATCAGCCTCTGAATGCAAAGCTTATGGTGGAGATCTGTGTGGGCATGGAGGGAGGAGGTGGCAAGAGTTATACAACAAGTGATGGTGGAGGAAAAAGGGAAGGAGGCCAAAAGAAATGCTCAAGAATTCGGTAAGAGGATGAGAGAGAAGCAAAAAGAAGAGGTAGATGATGTGGTTGAGAAGCTGAAGCAGCTTATTGGAGTATAATTTCTCCGTTGGTTGAGTAAAAAAATCAAATGTGTTTTGAAAGAGTAGAGAGTACGAATAAAAAATCATAAGCTGATGCTGCAATTTGAATATTACGAATTGGTGTTTGTTCATTTACTGAAATGACACTGAAAATGACAACGTTGATCTGGTTCTTCTCTTTTGTTTTGCACCTTGATTCTTTTTTTTTTTTATGGGAGAAATAGAGATTGTCATGTATTTGTGAAAGTCACAGGCTGATGTTGAAGTTTGAGTGAATCAAACTTGGAATGAGAAATAGATAGGTAAACCAGTTGCTGGTTGGTTCAATGCATCTTAGGCTCCTAGCCTCCTACCAGGGTCATTACAACCAAAGCAGGCAATAATTTTTCACCAAAGTACAACGTAGCCCTCGTTTCAACCAAACAAAAAAAGTAAAACATAGCCAAAACCCAAGATTTTACTGAACTAGGTACACCACAAGCACCTATTCTTGTTTCTCATCGACAGTTCATTTTGTCCAATTTTCCTTATAACCAGAAGGAGATTCAACTGGCATAGGTCCATATACCAGAATATTTTTCATCTACAATAAAAATGAACGACATACTAGTCTGTCATGTGCTAAAAAGGAGCAGAATACATTCCATACACTCAAACAGTTCCCCTCAGAAAGGGCGCCTTACTAGCCCGCCATGTTATTTTCTTCCTAAGGTGAAGCATAGTATTCTTTACGGATAACAAATTAGACAGTGTACAAATAGCAAGATCTGGAAGGGAGATCTTGAGAGTTGAGACTAGGAACATGTCGAAATATGTCCTCTTTTGAACGCCTAGCGTAGGGATTCTATATTTTGGCTCAGCTCTTCCAGCTTCTTCATTCTCAATTTCTCACTCTCGCCTACCAGCTGATCAGCAGGTGACACAGCAAACGAAAATTTGGAGCAAGACAAAGAAACCATAAGCAGGGAGCAAGCATTAGAGACAGTCCACATGGGAAATTTTCCTTGAAATGATTAACAAGAATCAAAAAGAAAATCAATTGCTCTTATGAAAAGAGATTTTACCTCCATCAGTTTGGCAACCAGCTGAGCCTTTTCTTTACTCTTCTCATTGAATGCCTCTAACACTTCTCTGTATTCTCTCTCCTGCGACACGTGAAAGCTTCAGGGAGTCCAATAAAAAATTTCACCACACCGAAATAATTCGAGGGCAAAGTGCGAATTCATATCTCTTCAAGTGGCAACGAGTTTGTACTAAAACTACATTGTGTTCCAAAATAATTTCAAGCATGAGAAGGTCTCATACACAATATTCCTCGGCATTCAAGACACTGTCGTTGAAGGAACACCACATAAGCCATTGCCAGAAAGCATTTTCTGAGATGAGATAATTAGAAAGAGCTGAATGTCTTTATTGTTTTATTTTTTTGGGGAGCGTGAGCTGAAATTGAATGATACAGAAAGGATATGGACCAGAACCCAGTGGATCAATTTAATTCACATTAAAGGTCTATGTGCTTTAACACTAGAGTGGGGACATTGAAGAGAAAAAAAAAAGGAAATATAAGAGAAAATAAGCTCCACCTTCTTCTGGCAGCTCAGTCCCAACGGTTTTAATTCTCGGTTAACGATGTCTATCTTCTTGCGCACAATGCTGACCTCCTTTCTCATTGGATCCGTTAGAGCTTCCAGCTCCTGATACATATTGCATATTCAGAGGATCAGGTAATGTCCTTGCACTAAGTTCTCGAATCCCAGTTGAGCGGATTCGTCTCAATCAATGCTATCAAGCCATTGTACACTGAAACTTTGAAAGCACTTTTATTTCATGACTGTTAGACTGCCGGCCGCCAATCCAATTGGCAGCTTTTTTTTTCCAGATTAATGCAGCATACAACCAAAAGACTTATCTTTTACTGTCATTCCCGTGTTTGAGACATTTAACTACATTTTAAAATCTCCTCTTTTTACTACTCCTTTAAGTTAACTTACATCTAGAATCTCGGCCAAGCGCTTGCTCGCTTCCTCAACACGGCCCAACTGACTCTGCACTTTTTCCTTGACCTCTGCCTTCCTCCTCTCAATCTCCTCTTCCTTTGACCTAAATGCAGCGAGAGCCGATCTTGACATCTCGTCGTTCTCGTCTTTGACGGGGCTCTCATTGAAGCTGAGAAATCCTGAGTTCCTCACCCTTTGCATCTGTAATTGTTGGTGCTGCTGCTGCTCAAGTATTTGTCGCTGCGGTGTCATCCTTCCTCTCTTGAATTCTCTCTTTTTGAAAATTATGACCTTCTTTTTCCTTTTGTTCCTTCTCTAAAGGGGGTAACAACTCACACCAGCTTGGGATATATAAAAGACCAACAGTCTCTGCAACAGAACATGACAATGATGTAAAGTGACCAACATTCCAAATCTTCCTGAAAATACACGTATGGAACTAATAAATGAAAATCATCACAAATTACTCGTGTAGTTCCACCAATATCTACTGTAAACATCAAACTTTTGCGACACCTTTCTTGTTGGCAACTAGAATTTTCTTGCACTGCTGTCTATATTAGATTATTATTGTCATGAGGAAAACAAAATCAAGATGGGCCATTCTTTGGTTAAATGGGCATTATCTTAAGTTGGTGTCTTGGCAAATTCAACTAACAGCTACAGCCTTTTTCTGATCAGATTGCTATTACAAGCACCCACCATCAAAAGGGTCTATTTCTATCCCTTCTTCATATGGGATTTTGCAGGTTAAAGTCCCTCACAAGGAACAGTGTTGAGCTATTTACAGTTGACTGTGAATGCTTAAGGTTGAAGGCACGTACTTGATTGGATAGCAAGTGCTCCCCTGCACCAAGCATCAACAGCAGGCGTGGAGGAGAAGCCAGAGTAGGAGAGATTTGCCTTCATCCCATGGTAACTAATTGGGTGTCAAGTTGGTAATCTTCACTCTCAATCTTTTGTGTCTTCGCATCATGTATTTTCTAGTATGATTGCGCACATTGGCCAATTTTCATAAACTAGACTAAAAAGACTATCTTTTCAGTCTGGTATGTGCCTAATGGCAATTTCCATGATAAAAAGTAATTTTTGACCTATCATCAACAAGTAAGTTCTCCATTGAACCAGTAAACATCCACGATTTTTTTGAAGTATCATTAATTAGTAACTTCTCAATTAATCTATATAGCAAACTTCACACATGGAATAGCAATTTTAAACATATTAGACACAAATAATTTCTTCCACATAGAATGTTGCTTTATATAAAAAAAATTGGCATTTTAAAAGATCTTGCAAAATTGCCTAATTATTAAATGTATGAACGATTATTTGATGGAATGAAACTATTGACACAATATGAAAAAACTGTAAGCATACCTATGAAAAGAAAAAAATTGTTTCAAAGATTTGAATTTTTATTGGATAAGTTTGTTTATAAGATAGAAAATATTCAAGTTTTCAAATAGAAATACGTGAAAGAATGTAATCCAATTTTTAATTCACACATCTTCTCATTGATAGGAAGACTTGTGAAGTAACTAACTTGAGAAGATGTTTTGAGGATATAAGAAAGAATTGCGATCCCTTAAACATAGATGGTCTTACTTGCATTGTATAATGGTATAGATTGGTCACATCTCAAATGTTATACACTTCAATTTTCAATTATTTCATGCAATATAGTCTTGCGATGAGATCATGATTGTCCACTTTATTTTTTATTATGTTATACTTAGATTAGCCACGTTATAATCTATAGATATGAGGTGATCGATGGGAATTTAATGTGATTTTGTTTCTTTAATGCATAATATATTCTAAAAGCTATATACTTCAATAACACCTGATGCTTGTGCTCACGCTTCAGCATCAAGTGGAAATACCAGTGTTCAGTGTCTACTGCTCTTTGCTTGCGTGAGAAGCCAACAAACAGTTCCAGTCACCGCAAGCAAGGCCTGATACGGTGGACCCTCATGGCTAGCTTTTTTTTTTTTTATCGAAAGAAAATTTTTCATTTCGCATGAAAGAAAAGGTACATAACTTCGAGATAAAAATGCAAATCCAACAAAACAAGTAAATTTGAAAAATGAATCGATTTGATACATCCTACTCGCTCTTTCCACAAAGACAACCTGCCGTAACATCAAAGCACAGCGGAACACACCTAGGTTTGGTGTCCCGGCACTATCACCTTATAAAGATAACAATCACACCAAAATGTTGAAATAGCATGGAAAATGCCTCGTAAATCCCAGATTTATATCTAGATCAGAATACAGAAGCACCCAAATTTAAATCTAGCTCTAGATCGGGAGAGAAGAGATGCAAAAGAAAAACCGGTTGATCGCAAAATCGCTTTCAAATAAGCCAACTGCTGAAGGTGGTGGCATCAAAAAAGCCTCAGAGACTTGCGGAACTCTCGACTGACTAGAGCAAGCACCCGAAGCCGGATCGAGCAAGCAGATCTAGAGAGAGCAAATTCTTCTAAGGAGCTCGCGCTTCAATCTCTAGAGCTCACATGATATCAAATTGGCTAGTTCAACATCTATGATATCAAATTGGTTCTACCACTAAGCGGACGGTCAACGAAGTTCGACCTTGTAGAGTTATTCAATGGAAAGGGGTGGGCAGTACTCGGTTTCGAGATTGGGATAGCGTTGATAGTCCTAAATAGACCTGATTAATGGGTGGATGTTGGGGGCAAATCGATTATTGTAGACTGAAAGGGGACGGAAGTCTACAGGTGCGGGATGTACCACTTGGGGATTTACATCTCAACGAGCGAAATTCTTGACTTTCGACGACGGGGCCTCCGCTCTGCCTGCCCGCCCAATCTCGAAAAGCCGGAAGGAAGAGTGGGTAGTTTCGGGCAAGGACGTCATGTGGAAAGGAGGCTCGACTTTACCTGGGGCCGAAGCTCACCAACCATTTCGATGTAGACTTAGGCCATATATCGGACCTGGCCTTCGGTTTCCGGCCAAGATCCGAGCTCGCCCGATGACCATCTCTTGTCCTAAAAGTCTCGCCCGGACGAAATTGCTGCCATGATTTGTGGTCTACTCAACCAGTCGCGACATTTTGATCTACTCAACCAGAGCCAAATTGCAAATATGATTCGGATGTGTGCATGACCGGTGGCGCCAAAGTCCGAATCAACTTGCCTGAGTCAAATTGCTCATAATTTGGATGAGAGCCGAATGGTATGTTGGTCAATTTTTCCATTTCTATAGTAGGCAAACGTGAGAGTAACATGGGCTTTGCTGGCGGAAACCCTAGCTCTTCTGGAAATCCTTAAAGACCCTTGAGCTCATTTTTGAAAGAGATTTCTGGCTTTGATATCAGTGTTTAGTGATATTGGACCTCTCGTCTCAAAAACAAACTCAAACAATAAAACTTTTTTCCACACTAATAAACTGACTAACAGCTCCTTCCGCAACCGGTGCGAGATAAATCCCAACATGAGTCTCACAGCTCCAACTCGTTAAGCTTTCTTTCGTGTGCACTTGAGCCTTCGTGGGAAGTTGCCTCTCTAATTGCACAATGTAGGTTTCTATTGTCTCAAGTAACTGAAGTCCATTCGGCCCATTGTTATAGGGAGGCAAATTGCTAATTAGTTAGTTAAGGCCCAAAGATATAATGCCCTATCTTGTAACTGGGTATCTTGTAACTGGGCCTATAGACCTCCTCAAGCTCTCTGGTATCTTGTTTGCCTGAACGCTCCTTTAAGTTGTAAATGGGGGCAAACCCCTAAAGTAACGGAAAGTTTTATTTTTGACCAAAAAAAATAATGCGTTTGCTTTTGGAGAAAATTTCATGATAAAAAAAAATACTTTTTAGGAAATCATTTTTAAAGAAAATATATAGTTTTTTCTTTATTTGGTGATATGAGATAAAAAAACGTTTTCCAGTATTTGGAACTTATGTAAAAAATGATTTCAATCTCATGACTTTATCTCAGGCACAAAAAAATTCAAATTGTTAAATAATTTTTATTTTCTTTTTCCTTCTTCCTCCGCTGATGGCCGAGTCCTGACAATTGTTGGTGATCGGCCACACGCGAGGCTTGACCTCACTGGTATCTAGCAAGGCTCGAGCCTGTCGGTATCTAGCGAGGTCGAGCCTCGTCGGTATCTGGCGAGGTCGAGCCTCGTCGGCCGGCGTTTGGGCCGGTCACTGGCCGTCGTCGAGGCGCAATGACTAATGGAGGGAGAGGAAAAAGAAAAGGAAAGAAATGAAGAAAATAAAAGGAAAAAAGGAAAAAAAATTACAAAATTCGAAAATGAGTAATTCTGGAAAGTGTTTTCACTTTTTCAGATTTAGGAATTCACTTTTCTAATCTTATTCATGAATATGTCCATTGATATTGAACAATATTTTCGATAGACTAATTATTTTCGGCGAATCAAACGAATGAATATCCGAAAAATCAATTTCTGAAATACACGTTCACTCAAACAAATATACCCGAAATGTTACTTTGAAATCCACTTTATATTCAAAGTTCGCCTTTCCGACTCAACGAAAGATGCTATTTCTGTAAAATTTCGTGAAATCTCTTTTTATAGCTGCCCGAAAAGTTTAAACTGTTAAATTAAATCACGCTTTAATACAGTGATATTTTAACATTCTTCTTCCACGGACTCGAGCCCTACAAATAGGATAGAACCATATAAAAGCTCCGGCAACGAAGAGGCAATAACCGCTCTTTCCTCGCACGCAGAAGACGCAGAGAAAAAAAACAAGCACACTCTCGAGCAACAAGGGCTCGACGTTCTCTACCCTGCGAAGAAGGTTGGATGACGTTCTCTTTGCCTCCTTAAAGCTTGAAAAATCTGTCAATCGCTTGCTCCCACTGCCGAACTTTCGGTCGTCGCTTCGATCGAGCGCGGAGTTTTCCCGTCGCCGGCGCCGGGAACCGGGCTCGTGCTTCGCTTTCTTAGGATTTAGGGATTCGGTGTTCCGGTTGATTAGGGTTTCGAATAGTTCCCGGGGGGGGCTTGATCGGTGTTAGGGTCGCCTGATCGGAGCGAAACGCGACGGATTTCGCTTCCGCGCTTTGAGTTTTCTCCGCTTGAAAGCAATGCGCGAAGGCCGCTACCACGTCAGGTCCCGGACCCCGCCTCGCCGGAGAAGTGGTGGCCGCGAATTCTCACCGCCTAGGCACCGACGGAGAATCTCGCCGCCGCCGCCGCCGACCAGCCGCCGCAGACATTCGCCGGCGCCTCGCCGCCGCCCGTATTCTCCGGTGCCGCGCCGCGGGGAATGTTCTCCGTTTCGTCAGCGTCGTCGCGGTGATTCTGAAGAACGAAGGGAATCGCATTTGACGTATGGCGCAAGTTCTAGGGATTTCGCTTCGGCACATGCTCAGAGAGACAGGTCGAAGGAGCGGTTGGACAGAGTCGGTGAGTTATCTCTGCCTTTTCGCGGACGCCGGGATTATTCACCGCCTCGCCACCATGTTGTCGCGGAGCACATGCAGTCACAGACGCATTCTCAGTTTGCATCACGTTCTGCAGATGTCCGTCGTGCTCATGATGATATGAGGAGGACGGGTGTAGTCTTGCCTGAAGAAAGACGTGTAAGTTTGCGTGAAGGAGGATTATACGAGGTTAATCCGTTAGGAAGCGATGATAGGGGTGAGCATCTGTCAACAACTATGCGGTTGGATGAGGGTTCTTCTTATAGAAATTCCACTTCGACGAAGTTCCAGTGGAATCATTTGTTGGAAGAGAAGCAAGGTAGCGTCAGTATGAGTAGGGACATGGTTATTCCACACATTAGGAGCACGGGTGCTGATTACCTTACCAGTGCTTTTGGAACTGATAGTCAAAGATTTTACCTGGGCAAGGAGGTTTTGGATAAGACGATTGTTCCAAAACCCACTTTCCTTGATGATAATGTAAAGGCTAGGGCTTTTCCAGGTTTTCTTGGTTCAAGCGTGAGACTTAGTGATAGATACCGGTACGCTGATGGTAACTATGCAGAGCCATTGGCTAAATTGGGTTTGGATGACCCGAGATCCAATGCTAAGCTTCTGGGAATAGAGTCATCTAGTGCAGGTGAGATAGGCAAGTACAGCTTGAACGGTGATTCAGCTAATGCAATATCAACTACTTGGACAAAAACATATTCTCCTTTGCCTGTACATGTTCCAGATGACTATACTCTACCTGTTTCTTATAAGAGTGTGACAAAAACATTTTCTCCCTTGCCTGTACGTGTTCGAGATGATGACACTCTACCTTCTACTCATAAAAATGGCCATCCATTGCCTTCAGAAGGATTTAGCTGGAGTCATGGGACTGGTAACCGTGACTCATTTGCTGAAGTGCCTCCTCTCCGGTCATCTACAGGGTCTGAATATCCTTTGAAGGACTTATTACACTATAGCCGGACTCTTCATGTTCCGGGGGAGGATACAGTTGGAGTTAACAAGTACTTTGAAGGGCAAAGGAAGGAGAGGAGTGATGTAGACAATTTACCTGATAAACTGTTTTATGAAGAGATGGATAATATTAGAGAAACATATGGCCTGCATGATTCATCCAAAGCTAGTCTAATGCGTCTTGTTGAGGATAAACAAGGTGGCTATGAAATACCTCGGGAGGATTGTTTAACAGAAAGCTGGAAGTTGGACCATCCTGATGATCCAACTGAAGCTTCATATATGAGAGGGCGAGATGAATGCTTCGGTCCTGGAAGTAGTCATGGTCAATATAGAAAAGAGACATATTTAGATAGCAAAAGCCTGCAATTGGGAGGAGAGGATGCTTTTGGAAACAGTGACGATCTTTGGGTGTATAGAGATGGTTTGAAGAACATGCAGTTGCCAGAATGTAATGATGGGTTGCACGAGAGAGATTGGAGCCCACAACATAGGGTTTCAGTTGAAGAGATGGGTGCCATAGGCCAGTCTGAAAGATCTCTTAAAAGGAGGAATAGTATGGATTTTGGAATAAGGAGTCATTACCTCGAAGGTGATTTTTACCAAAATCAGAATGCCAGCCACAAGATCTGGGACCCCCATTATGGCAATGAAGATTGGAGTGATGAAGATAGTCACTCGTACGATAACTTTCAACTGGGGACGATCAGAAGGACATTTAAGGCGGATGCTTGTGAGAGTGGTGTTTGTGATGACTACTTGTCTTGTGAGCACCTCCCAGTACGTCTGCAAGGAAGATTGAGGAAGCCGATAAAGTTAAGATCTAGAGACATACATAAGAGGTTGGGGCCACCTCAAAAAACTTGGTCGTCTGTTCCTCGGGCGAAAAGACATTTCCACAGGAGAAATCCTAATGATCACGAAAGTCATGTTGTTGAAGGTGGTGATTATATTGAGACACGAGTCGATTTATTGGAGGATGACGTGGCATATGCCAAGGCAGAGCTGCCTGAGGACTCTAAAGAGTTTAAGCAGCTTGTGAACGACGCCTTTCTGAAGTATTTCAAGTTTCTAAATGAAACTTCAACCCAACGTAGAAAGTACACTGATCAGAGAGGATCTGGCCCATTAAAATGTGGTGTTTGTGGCAGGTCTGTCATAAAATCTGAATCGCGATCTGTTTACAAGTGGAGTATTTACTTTTCTCACTGTCTCATGGAAGTTGATTTCTTTTCCACAGTAAAATTTTTATGAAGCTATGACATGAATTCAGTTGCGAACAGTTCTGCTGGCCCTGCCCTCTGCTTTATGGTCACTCTTTTGAAGTATTGAGTGGTCTATACCATCATTGCTGTTGGTTCAGATTATCAAATCTGATAAGCAAATAACTTTGGGTTATGTTGTTCTGATTGTTCTTATTGGATATAATTGGATCAACATAAGCTGGTGCCTTTGGACTTCAGATTTGAAATGAACATAGTCGGTCTTTTTATGCACTGGCACCGATCCTATAGTCTACACAATGTATCGTTGGACAGAGAATGGAGAAGGACCTTTTCTTATCACCTTCTGATTTCCTCCGTTGTTGCTATAATCTGGTTTCCAGATATGATGGACTTTTGGAGGAAGAGAGTTCTGATGTTGGTTAAAAAATTGACTAGGGGTGATGGTTAGGTTATTAATAAGGGCAGCCATTTGGAGTTAAGGGATATATTGGATATTTAGTTGGGCTGTCAATGGCGGGGTTTGTACTGGTAGTTTGTGACTTCTTAGGACAGAGTAGAAAATGTCTCTTGACCATGTTAAGGTTATGATAATAGATGCATTGCGTGTAATCTTTGGCTTTAAGTGGGCACTAGACGATAGCAGGTGGTGATTTTTGATGATTTATTATTCCCTCTTTCTAGTATCACTAATATGGACCAAGACTAAGTACAGTGATCTTGGTATTTGCTAGGTAGCTCTATCTGACTATGTCCGTGTCATGTTATCAAGAGGTGCTCAGAATAATGGATATGTTCATGCAAGAGCAATTTTCTTTTTTTAAATTGCTGGTTGATAGCGAAGTACCTCTGTTGTGCCTCGCTATAGTTTTCTCATATTTTGTCTAGTTTTGGTTTAGTTGCTGCTTATGTCATCTCCTTGTGGAGATAAGTTTGGACCGTCTTCTTAATATTTTTTTGAATATGAGAGTCCTGGAGTTTTTACATCTCTCTCCTCTCTCTCTCTCTCTCTCTCTCTCTCTCTCTCTCTCTCTCTCTCTCTCTCTCTCTCTCTCTCTCTCCTTGTCTGTGTGTGTGTGACTTGAAGATTGTGAACTGCATAGCCAGCCTGGTTTTGTAGTTACTAATGTTTGTGATATGAAGGAGGAAAAATGAATCGCGAAATCTTTTTAGTATGTACACAAATCTTTCAGTTCTTGTAAGGTGCATGCGTGATCACAGCTTTGCTTCTTTTTCTTCTTTATTTTCATCTCAGAAGCCTATTAGCCGGGGTGCTGCTTTTTTTGGTGTCCAGTATGTTTTTGGACTCAAATAATTTCCTCGATTGAAATATTTTACATTATAGTGGTTTACTTTATGTAAAATTGTTTATGCTGGGTTTCTTATAAATTGCCCCTTGGCTGCATGTTTTTGTCAGCAACTCAAAGGAGTTTGGCAATGCGCTAGCTTTGGTCATGCATGCAGTCATGTCCAAAAATGTTGGTTGTCGAGTGGAGCACTTGGGATTTCACAAAGCACTGTGTGTGCTGCTGGGATGGGATAGTGCACCAGCAACTAATGGTCCCTGGGCCTGGAAAATGCTTCCACCCTCTCAAGCCTCTTCCTTGCGAGAGGACCTCATCATATGGCCTCCAGTAGTTGTCATTCAGAACAGTTCCATAGCAAATGCTTCTTCGGGAGACAGGGTGATCATCAGCATTGAAGATCTCCAGGCTGTTCTTCCAGGTAAAAAATGTTGACAAAGTTTCTATAATTGAGTGAGCTTGGTTAGTGGAGACTGTGCCCTTTGAAGTGGAAATGCTTTTTCCTCTGGGTCCCATCGCCCTTTTGAATTTTTTGTTGGTTTGGTTGGCATTGTAAATGTGTCAGGAAGGGTCTCCAGCAGTGATGCATTAGATTTAGTATTCTATGACGAAGTTTTTGACCATGTGGTGGTTTCCTTGTTTTATATTACGTTTGTTTTATTTTATTGTTGATATGATTAGACTCATCATCCATTTTATTCTCCTCTTTATCGTAATTTCAGTTTAGTTCTGGTTTGTAGAGAACCACTACCTTCTCCGATCCATTCGACACGAGCAAGTTCTTATCCCTTTGTAGTCTAACTTTTTTACTTTGTGATCAAGACATGGGATTTGCTGTTGGAATAAAGAAAGTCTCTCGGGGAAAGCCTGCAAATCAGAGTATCATGGTGGTATGTTACCAACCCACCTTGTCAGGTCTGCTGGAAGCTGAAAGGCTTCACCAGTACTTTGCTGAGAATAAGCATGGGAGAGCTGAGTTGGAGCAAAGGAGTTCTCCTAGCAGCAGGGGAAGCGGCCGAAGAACAGAATCGAGTCTTGCAGATAAAGTGGCGAGCGTTCTATATGGCTATTTTGGAATTGCAGAGGACCTCGATAAGCTGGATTTTGAGACCAAGAAGAGGAGCGTGGTTCGGAGCAAGAAGGAAATGCAACATTTCATTGATGCTGCAGTCGAAAATCAATGATCGCATCTTGTGGCTTTGTAAATTTTCTCATCCTTTTGGTGACTTGGTCACGTGCATCTGATTGTATTTATACATGTCTGCAAGTAGATATCATCTCCCTTTGGGGTTCTATAGTCCGGCTATAGGATCATCACGAGAATATGACCAAACTCCTCCTCTGAATGGAAGGAAGAGCCTCTCTCTCTCTCTCTTTTTATTTTTATGTTTAATAGGCTGCTTGCTTTATATCTTTCACTGCGTTCTGCTAGATTTTGAGCTGATACTTTACGGCAATGCCATCCGCACTTGAATTGAGCGACAAAATGTTTTCTTTAGGATTACTCTATAATTTATCACAGATGAGATAAGTAGCATTAGAGACTGGATATGAATTTAATCTCTAGGAATAAATGCTTCGATCTGATCTACGATCTCATGTGATTTTGAACGCCATCTTGCAGAGGCATTGGCGTTGTGACATTCTCTCCAAGGTCCGGTGGGTGGTACATCTGTTGGGTTGCTAAATTTGAAATTGATTTTCTCTGATATGGTATGTGACAATGTGTAGTGTCTCGCCAGCATGGTTGTTGCGAATTTCCTGAATTATCACACTGGATATTCATGTGGAAATTAGGCAGGCTCATAAGCTGGAATTTTAATCATTTGATGATGGAATGGTTTGCTTTTTTGCATTTTCTAGTGAAGAACATCTTTGTCAGGCCTTGCAGTGCATAGGTACATCGCGACTTCTCTCAACATCTAAAGGTAGTCCTTTGATTGATTATACACAGATGTTACATAACCTCGTCTTACACCATTCCGACTCTTCTTCGTATGTACGTTGAAATAGAGCTATAGCATGTCCTTCTTCCCGATCCCGCGGGCCATGTTATAGATGCCCCGTGCCTGCAACGCCACCAAAAATACATGAGAAGCGCAAATCCAAAGAGCCCCTAAGCGAATTCGAGGAAAAATTATCAAAAAAGTCCTAAACCTTTTGTAATTGTATCAATTTAGTCCTAAACTTTTTTTTTTGTCAATTCAGTCCTAAATCTTTTGCAATTGTGCTAATTCAGTCTATCCGGCCACTTTTGGCCAGCCGGCGTTAGTCGGCATACGTGGCAATAGTTTAATAATATTTTTAATTATTTTTCGATTTTTATTTTTAATTTTTTCTCTTTCTTTTTTTTTTCCCCTATTTTCTTCCCCGGTCGCCTGTCTGGCGACCAGCCACCGGCGAGGTGGACCTCGCCGGCCATGGGCGAGGTCGACCTCGCCCAGCTACAACGAGCTCGACCTTACTCGACCATGGCAAGGCTCGACCTCGCCCGGCGACGGCGAGGCTCGACCTTGCCCGGTGACTCGCCAGATTTGGGCAGCCTCGCTGTCGCTGGGCGAGGAGCCTCGCCCAGATCTAGCGAGACCTCGCCGTCGCGGGGCAAGGTTGACCTCGCCCTGGCCATGGCGAGGACGACCTCGCCCGGTGACGGTGAGGCTGGCCCTTGCTAGTGCCGACAAGGGCCAATCTCGCCCATGACCTCGCCGGCCTTAGCTTTTCGCCGGTCGCTGGACCGGTGACCGGGGAAGAAGATAGGGAAAAAAAAAAAAGAATGAGAAAAAATATAAAAAATTCGAAAAAAAAAAATTATTAAAATATTGCCACGTCAGCCGGTCGGCATCCACGTCGGCGCCGGCCGGCCAAAAGTGGCTGGATGAACTGAATTGGCACAATTACAAAAGATTTAGGACTAAATTGACAAAATTGCAAAAGGTTTATGACTTTTTTGGTAATTTTCCTGCAATTCGACGACTGAGGACTTGTGAAAGAATAGGTGAGAGAGACTTAACGGTCATGAACATGGCAGTGGCGGCCAGCGCGAGAGGGATGGCGACGGAGGTGATCTTGTCGTAAGGTCCCTTCAGGTACGTGGGCTTGTTGATGCTTTGGAAATACTTTTGCTTCTCTATGAGCTTCTCTCTCGGCCTAAACGGTGGCTCCGGCTCCAACATCCTGCAATCCATACGCAAAAAACATGCCATGGACATCATGTGAAAACATTACCTACGCAAGTCAGAGGGAACACTCCCAAAAAGCGAGTTGGGCAAGAGTTCATACGTATTGGTTCAGCTGGGAAACAAAGAAGAAGAAGAAGAAGAAGAAGAAGCAACCTGACACTTTGGATTGATGTTCTGGGCAGCAAATGAAAAAGTTAACGTAGCAAGAGCTCTAGAGGCAACGAGACGAGAATACAAGCGTCATATATGCAAGAGAACGTGCGTGTAAAGGTGAGAGGGTGTGGTCAGTTCAGGCATCTACTGGATGTTTCTCGCCTCTTCGGCAGTTCCCGAGAGGGTCAAGACGAAAGCCCAAGACTGAAAACGTTGTAGTGAGCAACTTTCAAATGGGCCGCATGCTCATGATGCCACAATCCTTTTCTTTTGGGAAAAGTGTTAAAAAAAGTTCTAAATCTTTTACATTTATGTCAATTTAGTCCTAAATCTTTTTTTAATGCCAATTTAGACCTAAATATTTTGTATTAGTGCAAATTGAGTCTTAAACCTTTTTTTGGTGCTAATTCGGTCATAAACCTTTTGTATTTGTGCCAATTCAGTCTTAAACATTTTACATTGGTGCCAATTGAGTCCTAAACCTTTTTTTAGTGCCAATTCAGTCATAAACCTTTTGCATTGGTGCCAATTCAATCCTAAACATTTTTGTATTGATGCCAATTCAGTCTTTCCAGTTAATTTAGCTAAAAAAGGTTTAGGGTTGAATTGACACAAATGCAAAAGGTTTAGGACTAAATTGACACAAATGCAAAAGGTTTAGGACTCAAGTGGCACCAAAAAAAGGTTTAGGACTCAAGTGGCACCAAAAAAAGGTTTAGGACTGAATTGGCACAAAAAAAAAGGTTTAGGACTAAATTGGCACAAATGCAAAATATTTAGGACTGAATTGGCACAAAAAAAAGTTTTAGGACTAAATTGGCACAAATGCAAAAGGTTTAGGACTTTTTTGACACTTTTGACCTTTTCTTTTTGTACACTCCGCATTTGCCTATTTAATCCAAACCAAACTGTATTTCGGTTTGGAATTAATCAACATAAATCGCCTTTTCGTGATTTAATTTGAATATGAACCAAACCCTACTCGCCCTTTTTATTCCTCTCTCCACCTTCACACGCATTTATTGCTTGCAATAACTTTTTTAGATGGTTTTATTTAATTGTAAAACGTTTGTCACGTGTCGCTCCATGAGTGGATCTAATTAGACATATTCGCACCATGTCGGCTGCTGACGTGGCGATTCGATACTACTGGATATTTTCTCGGACTGTAGAGACCTCACACACTTGAGGGCTTACTCCTAGCTCACGTGAGCTCATTTCGTATGACACGTTAGATTTTGTGGGACCTACGATTGCACCTCTATCAACGGCGCCCGTGTCTTAATCAAAGAGACCGAAGCCCATGATGGTCCTGCAGCGAAGTGACCGTTCGGGTCAAATTAAATCGAGGCCCGCGAAAAAATTGGCCCAGTGGCCCAACGGCCCATAAGGCCCGACTCGAGATGAAAAGCGCGGGAAACGATCACCAATAAATTAATCATTTTATTCCCCCGCTCGTCTTCAGTCTCGCGGCACTGCGGACTGATCTCTCTCTCTCTCTCTCTCCCTCGCTCTGTGGGAATCCCTTTCCGTGGAAGTCATCGGCGGTTTCGTCTCCGTCATACTTCAATCGCCGGCGAGATGAACGGCGACAGCCGGAAGCGCGACCGTGGAGACTCCTGGAGCTTCAGGCGGCAGAAGCAGCAGCAGCGGTCAGCCGAGGAGGAGCTCGAGTCGAAGCTAGGGTTCGATCTCTTCTCCGAAGGCGAGAAGAAGCTCGGCTGGTTGCTCACCTACGCTCCTGTACGTATATTTCGTCATTTGGCCGAATTTCGTTCAACTTGTCTTCTCCCGATTTCGGCGGTATCCGGAAGCTATTCGTTTCTTAGCTTATTAATTGGAGGATGTGTTGATGGAAAACTCGATCGCTTGCCTGAGTTTCTGGTTCGAGGATGTTCTGGATTTTGACTTTTGGTTTGTTCTGCAGTCGTCGTGGGAGGATCCTGACACATTCAAAGTCCATAGTTGTATCGATCTTTATTTTGTTTCTCAGGTAACTGATGATGCTGAAATTCATATATTGGATATTTCGAATATTGACTTTGTCCATCGGTATGTTGTTGTATCGACCGTTTACTCCTTGGAGTTTGATCGCAGGATGGTAACAGTTTCAAGTCAAAGTACAAGTTTCGTCCTTACTTTTATGCTGCAACAAAGGTAGGGATGGAATGATTCTCTGTCATCTATGTTTCTGATCATTTAGCCATGGCTAGAAATGAGCAGGAAGCGGAAGCTTGAAAAAACTACTATTGTCGAAGATGCACCTTGATGCCAAATAGACCAGAATGTGAAATTTTTTTCCTCAAGCTGCTCACTCAATTCTTTTTGTCAACTCAGTGAATTTTGCAAGTGCAAAAAATAGTAGCTGTCACTGTTGTGGCCGTATTATTGTTGCCTTTAGAGATTAAACATCTGGAAAAGTAGGTCAGTTGGAGTAGAATAGGTCCCATTGATGGACATTACTAGTTGTGCTGAATTTGTGAAGTATTTAGAGGATAGAGATGATGGTGCAGTTACTGTGATGAAGTTTGGTGAAAATTTTGGGAGTTGCTGCTGTTTTGCATTGTATTTAAATTGTTGTGTTACTGCAACACTAATTTAGGCGGTGTCCCGTATACTGCTTGTGCAGGAGAACGTGGAAATGGACGTTGAGTCTTATTTAAGACGAAGATATGAAAGCCAAATTGCTAATATTGAGATTGTGGAGAAGGAGGACCTTCATTTAGTAAGCCACTCTTTTTTCTTGTTTGCTTCTGCATTCACTGTTTATTGCACATTGGATGGTTTAGATTTTCTTTCCATGTTCATTTCTTTATGCTGTGTCCAGGTATTTTCTACCATATTTTATTGGCAACATCATTCTATAAAATTAGATCTATTCTATCGTCAAGTGAGCTGCTGCAAAAGACTAGAAAAAGGTCGAATGGACATTCATTTCTTATTAAAGAAATCATGGAGCTTCAGTTTATTTAAAATCTGATGATGTAAATTCCGCTCCCATCTCCTGGCCCATTAATCAGGTGCACTTACCATGATGCGATCAGCTTCCTACTGAAGCTTTTCCTTATATTTTACCAAAAGATTTACAACTATTTGCGTGGAGAACTAGATACATCTTTTTGCTTTTGATGGGTTGAATTTGTAACAAATTGACGATCTGTCAATTGAATAGCAGAATTGATGTTTTGTTCAAGTTCAAAGGGTGCAGGGACAAGAAATCTTGTGGACCGTGATATATGGAATTTGGAATTCTATCGTGATATATGGAATTTGGAATTCTTTGTGTTTTTAAAATGCTTTATATACATTTAGAGGCACGAATTTTCTGTTTGATTCTCTTGTAAAGTGTTATTTGTGGAAACGAAATCTCTCACTCTCAACCAAAGACTATATTTGTTTTGGAATTCTTTGTGCTTTTGTTTCACAAATTGGGCATTTTGGGAGTCCTAATATCCATGTTGCAGTCCTTGCCAAGTGGAATTTGTTTCTTCAAGCTTACGGTGATGTATTGTTAAATATTTCTTTTTTTTCCTAAAAGAGTTGCTCTGTTATGGGCAGAAAAACCATCTCTCTGGATTGCGGAGATCATATCTTAAAATATCCTTTGATACTGTTCAACAATTGATGACTGTGAAGAGCGACCTTTTGCACATTGTTGAAAGAAACCGGACAAAGATGGAAGCTGCAGAGGCATATGAATCTATATTGATGGTGAAGAGGTAAGCTTCGTATTCTTATCAGGTCTCCATTCTTATGAATGGGTACATTTGTTGGTTTTTAACGTTCAATCGAATTAAGTTGCCTTATATTCTGTTCTTTTTCTGGAAGGAAAGTGTTGATATACTTCACTAATTTCTCAGTTCATATCTACAGAGAACAAAAACCTCAAGATTTTCTTGATTGTATCATTGGCCTCCGAGAATATGACGTGCCATACCATGTACGCTTTGCTATTGACAATGGTGAGTAGATGTGCCATTTTTCTCTCTTGAGGAACTTCTTGCTAATTTTGCTTTTTAAGGTGTAAGGCATGTCTTCTTTACTCATGTAAGTTTTCTACTGACAGATGTGCGATGTGGACAATGGTATGATGTTAGTGTATCTAGTTCTGGTGTCATGCTTGAAAGGAGAACTGACCTACTTCAGCGTGCCGAAGTACGTGTTTGTGCATTTGATATTGAGACAACAAAATTACCCTTGAAATTTCCCGATGCTGAATATGATATGATCATGATGATTTCATACATGGTGGATGGAAAAGGTTACCTAATTATCAACAGAGAGGTGTGTAATCAAGACTTCATCTATTTTGTTTGAACTGAATATGCTCTTATCTCTGTTGCTGATTCAATCGGCATAATGTCTGATGTTAACATCTAACATTGTCTGTTACTGTTATCTAATACTGGTTCACTTATCTTTAGTGTGTTGGAGAAGATATAGAAAATCTGGAGTACACCCCAAAACCAGAATTTGAAGGAATTTTTGAAGTGATGAATGTGAAAAGCGAGGTAATAAATTTTGTGAAATGCTTTTATTATGCTTGTATTTGCAGATGGCATGATCGACCTTTTTTCAGGTAGAACTCCTTCATCGCTGGTTTGCCCACATGCAAGAGCTGAAGCCTGGCATATATGTCACGTATAATGGTGACTTTTTTGACTGGCCATTCTTGGAGAGCAGAGCAGCCCATCATGGGCTCAAAATGAGCAATGTAAGCATTCATCAATATTCATTCGGGAATTATTGCAGAGATTGAGCTTTTGTTTTCACTTCTAGATTGCACCTTAGTGTTAGTTTGAATGCCAACATTTGGTTCAGGAATTTATCGGCATTTCCCATACCTTCCTATCTATCTTTTTGATCTTTCAGGAGGTAGGATTTCAATGTGACAAGAACCAAGGGGAATGTCGCTCTAAATTTGCCTGTCATCTGGATTGTTTTGCTTGGGTCAAACGTGACAGTTATCTTCCCCAGGGTAGCCAGGGTCTGAAGGTAAGCTGGTCAATTTCAAGGTCATATGCTATTTGTTGAGATTTTCTTTTGTTGTCATATATTTTGAGAAACTTGTGGAGAAATTAATCTGGCAGTATTTACAGCATAAGTACTGCAACTTTGTGATCTATGTCTCATATGAGCTTGTAAGGTGATATGCAATGAATGATTATAGACTCTATTCCTCCTAATCCATTTAGTATGTAGGATATCATGTTGTCATCAAACATTTTGTACTCAACCTTATTATAAGAATATTTTGACTTCTGTTGTGAGCTGGTAAGCTCATTATCTTTTTGCTGCTCATAATTATCTGACATGGGTTACACATAGAGAAAACAAGAAAAGATAGAACGAGCAAAACAGCTCGGTACTACTCAATGATACAACTATAAGTGATTAGTTACTGGTTTCAACTCATCTATATGAGATTATATGGAAGCATGTCTTTGTCTGCATTGTGTGCAATGAGGTAACATAGTTCTTGCTCTGTCTTTTGCAAGGCTGTGACAAAGTCGAAGTTGGGTTATGATCCGCTTGAAGTAAATCCAGAAGATATGGTGCGGTTTGCAAAAGATAAGCCTCAGGTATGAATTATCTGCAGTGATTCCCCATTTGGATGTTTGTATTGTATTGAAGTAGGTTGTTAGAAATGCATTTAATATCGGGTATACCTTTGAATAATAAAATGACGAGGATTTGTTTCTCAAAATGTTTGGACAGATGATGGCTTCTTATTCTGTTTCTGATGCTGTCGCAACATATTACCTGTACATGACCTATGTTCACCCATTCATTTTCTCTCTTGCAACTATTATCCCCATGTCACCTGATGAGGTTCTCCGCAAAGGTAGTGGGACCCTTTGTGAAATGCTTCTTATGGTTCAGGTAGGTTCTTGGGCGCCTATGCAGATTCTTTCCTGGGTGAAGCAATTTCTTCTATTTTGATAAGTACATTAAGGGACTTATCTTCTCTCTCTGCTACTGAATATTGTATTGATTACAGGCATACAAGGCCAATGTTATATGCCCTAACAAGCACCAAGCTGAGCTAGAGAAGTTTTTTAAGAATCGCCTTCTTGAGAGTGAGACATACATCGGAGGCCATGTGGAGTGCCTTGAGAGTGGTGTTTTTAGATCTGATCTTCCAACTTACTTTAAGCTTGATCCATCTGCATATGAGGTAAGAAAATTGATTGATTTCTGATCTTGCTTCGGGGACGCAATTGAAGTCCTAGATTTGCAAGCATATATCCTTATGGAGCTAGTTGACTAATTACTGATGTCTTTTCATATATCTGGTGCTAGAAGCAACACTGCAGTTTCTTCTGTTTAATTATCATTCTGCACACCTTTAAATTGACATGATCATGCATAGAGCTTGCATTTGTGTTGGCCTGTCCTAGTTATGTTTGTAATTTATGTCAATTATACTGGCATTAGAACATGATGAATTTGTTTAACAAGCCAATTGGTTGACTCGAAAATGTTTTTATCCCTGTCAATGTAGGCGACAAATGTCTCGTGTTTTGTCACATTCCAATTTTCTTTTATAGTTTTGTGTTTTTCATCATGTTGTGCCGTGTCATGTCTGATATTGACAGTCCCAATTGTGTTCATGCAATAAAAAACAGAAATAATGGGAGCTTAAGTAGACTTGTATAGTTCCTTATGAAAGAGATCCAGTAAAAAAACCATCAGTCTTAAATTAAGGTTTAGAACATCAATAAAATATAATCATGAAGCTTTCAAAGAATACAATGTATACTTTTATGCAGGAATTCGTTTATTATTTATTTAATGCTGAATCCAATATTTGCGTCGACCAATGATATGTGCAGCTATAAGAAAAAGGACTGAATGAAGGAACTCCCGAACATTTTGGCGATCTAGTTAGTCTGCCTGAGCCATGCCTGCATAGTGCGTGAAAAATTATCATGAACTTAGTTACAACCATACAATTGCTAACCTTCTTTGATTAAAGAGATGCAGGCAGCAAATCTACAGTATGAAAAGTGTCAACTTACTTCTTCCTCGTTGTTCCTGTTTATAAACTTAACTGAGATGAAAGTTTAGCTTGTCTTACTTAGCATATCCACGGTCGAGATTAGTTGTGACGGGATGAATTATACAAGTCGGCAACTTGCGGTTGCAAGAGCAATTTTCCTTTGGAAGAAGAATTTATTGAGGCTTCAAACGTTGATAATTTTTTCTGTCATTTTCCTCCCTTGAAACTTTTTTTTTTTTTTTTTTTGCAAAATGAAGTCCATTTTCCCCTTTCCTCAAGCTTAGATCTCATGAGGTAAAAGTATGCTGAATATATATTGTCCTAGCTGTTCATGCAAACATTCGAGTGCTTAACTATGTGTATCATGTGTCAAATTTGGATCTTGTGAGATTTTGATTCATGAATTTTACTTCAGGTTTCATGAAATTCAATTTGTTGTCATCTTCTGTAAACTTTCTTTTATTTATTTATTTTTCGGTAGTGGATAATTTTTCTCAAGTACAGAATTCTGGCATTCCCTGACCTTGGAGTACCTTAATTTCAGCAACTCATTAACAACCTTGACCGCGACCTTCAATATGCAATCAGAGTTGAGGGTAAAATGGATTTGGAATCAGTCTGTAATTATGACGAGGTGAAGAATGCTATTAAGGAGAAGGTGCTAACCTTGTCTCTTCCTGATTAAATCTCTTCTTAATAATGCTATGCACCTTGCAAGCTCCCCCGGCTCATGCTTCATTTGAAAAACTTGCAATCTTTTTCTTTTCAGATTTACAGCTTGCCTTTTATCTGAATTGTTAAATTTGATCAGCATGCGTTACATTGAATATGTGGTCCACGACTTCATTACTTTTTCTTTATTATTTGATCATTTCATGGGATTTCTTCGATATCTTGAAACTAGCAATATTATTTTCTATCCCATTCTATTATTCCCTCAAACTGATGATGATCAGATGACATTCTCCAGCTTAAAAAATTGCGAGATGAACCAGTACGTGAAGAGTCCCCCCTCATTTACCATCTGGATGTGGCTGCCATGTATCCAAACATTATATTAACAAACAGACTTCAGGTATGCTGCTGCAGATATTTCTTTTATTCAGCTCATTGCTTGAGGTTGTTCTGTACGCATTGGGAAAGAGACATGTCAAGCCTTCGCTGACATTTGACAGAACAGAGTACAGCTACAAATGTATCAATGAATGAGGTTCAATCCATGAAGTAAACAAGGGTATTCTTGTACCCTGGATGAAATGAATTAAGTTGAGCAACAAACGAGGGCTATGAATACTCACATGCTATATGAGTGATCATATCTACTATAAATTAAGTTCTAGTCATGATTATATTTTCTCCCTCATACTTGACTGTTTCTGCAACAATAAATTTTTGGCCTGTTTATAAAATTCGGTTATTTGTTCAATCTTTGTACTTTAGTTTGCTTAATTATCTTTTTGGTTAATGCGCCACGATGTCCTTTTGTTGATCTCCAGCCACCATCAATAGTTACTGATGAGGTATGCACAGCCTGTGACTTCAATCGTCCAGGCAAAACTTGTCTCCGAAAGCTTGAATGGGTGTGGCGTGGGGAAACTTTTATGGCAAAGAAAAGGTTCCATATCTCTTCAGTCAAATCTGCTTTTCATATTTTTTCAATTCTACATAGAATATCGACCAAAATCTGATTAAACATGTAACATGGCTATTATTTCAACCTTCAGCGACTATTACCATTTGAAGAAGCAGATAGAGTCTGAGATTGTTGATATGTCAGATGGACAATTATCAAAATCATTTCTTGACCTTCCTAAAGCAGAGCAACAGTCAAAGCTTAGAGATCGTCTTAAGAAATATTGTCAGAAGGTATGCCAGTAATCATCTTCAGTAAGAGCTTTTCTGATTGCCATGATTTAAAATACTAAGCTATGTATTGTTGCACAGGCATATAAAAGGGTACTTGACAAGCCAGTTGCTGAACTTCGAGAAGCAGGGATATGCATGCGGGAGAATCCATTCTATGTAGATACTGTCCGCAGGTTAGCAAAATAAATTGCGTTTTTTGTATATAATGACACCAATAGTTGACCTCTTTGTTAGACAGTATGTTGATATCTTTTTCCTATCTAGAACGTTGAAAATTTTTGCCTGAACCACAGTAGAATCTATTCCTTAATGTTTGACCTCAGAAGCTGTTCCTTGCAAATTAGTCGCTACTTGCAGTATGTATGAATTGTCGTTTGCCGTCTCCAAGGGTTTAACTGTGGCTAACCTAAATAGGGGCCAACTGCTGGTTGCATATTCATGCTAACAGTATTTTGTTTTCTTTTTGTGATTTTGGTTTCAGCTTTCGTGATAGAAGGTATGAATACAAAGGACTTAATAAAGTCTGGAAGGGGAAGCTGTCAGAAGCTAAGGCTAGTGGAAATTCTATAAAAATACAGGAAGCACAAGTATGAAACATCTTCATGTCTACTCACAACCTGATTTTCATCTTTCTTCTACATTACAAGCAGTTTTATTATTGGTACTCTCTGTTTGATATTTGCAGGACATGGTAGTGCTCTATGATTCTCTGCAGCTTGCTCACAAGTGTATACTTAATTCCTTCTACGGATATGTCATGCGAAAGTGAGTTGATTAGGTTTTAATCAAATCTTATTAATAGAAGCCCGTTTATATGTTTTGATTACTGTTATTGATGGTTGCTATCTCAGGGGAGCAAGATGGTACTCCATGGAAATGGCTGGAGTAGTTACATATACTGGAGCAAAAATCATTCAGAACGCTCGCTTGCTGGTAGAAAAAATTGGAAAACCACTTGAATTAGACACGGATGGTATCTGGTGTGCCCTCCCTGGATCTTTCCCTGATAATTTCACTTTCAAGGCAAAGTATGTTTCTGCTTCTTAATTTTTACATGTTGCAAAATTTCCGTTAGTCATATGAGAAGCTGCGATTTTTCTACCATGTTCCTCTTGTTTTCCCTTGGTTTTTGGACAAAATAACTTTGCCTTACTAAGTCTTTGCTACCACAGCACACATGCTTCTCCTTTTTTTCAGTAATTTTCTTGTAAAAAAGTCGAAAAACAAAATAGTGTACACTGAAACATCATAATGGTACATGAGAATAAGTTAGTAGTTGACAAAGCAGGTAAAGTTTATGAATTCATGTGAAAGATAACAGCAAGAAAGCAGGTTAGTATAATCGTTTTTGCATTGAACTGACTATTAACTGTATTGAAATCACTGAAAATCTAGAAATTATTACAATGTTTTAGTTATATGCAAAGTGACGATCTTTTCAGCATGTTCATCTTATTTCCCCTTCAGTTTTGTTGAAAATAGCTTTGCCTTTTTTAAATTTATATATGGGATCTGAGCATGGTTTGCAAAATAATTTTCAGGGATTCAAAAAGGAAGCTTACCATCTCTTACCCATGTGTTATGCTCAATGTTGATGTGGCACAGAACAATACGAATGATCAGTACCAGGTCATAATCGAAACTATCTTGCATGATATCTTGTCATTTACTTATAATTATCCTTTAAATAAGGTGGATTTCACTTTACCAATGAACTTTATGTAAAAGTGATTTTTTCTCTAGTGGCCTAACTGGTAATTCTTAGCAGACTCTTACTGATCCTATCAACAAGACATATACCACTCACAGCGAATGCTCCATTGAATTTGAAGTGGATGGACCATACAAGGTAATGGATTTCCTTGTGGTCTAAAATTTGTAATTGAGTTGCTCGTGACCATTTTCCTCTTCATGAAGGCAATGATTCTCCCAGCGTCTAAGGAAGAAGGGATCTTAATTAAGAAGCGTTATGCTGTTTTTAATGATGATGGGACCCTTGCTGAGCTGAAAGGTTTTGAGATCAAGCGTAGAGGTGAACTGAAGCTTATCAAAGTGTTTCAGGTATCTTTGCTTGTGCTTTCCTCTACTCCAGCTCATTCAATCTTCCACTAAGTTTTGGCCGTTGAATGGGGATCCTCTCTTCTTCAATAAGGAGAAACTTAGATAACTTTTTTCAGTTGTAACTCACTGACACACTTATCTGACCCAAGTAGGGATGGATTAACAAAATGCTTCAAAATGTCTTTCCTTACTTTATTTTCAGACATCTTGTTTCCCTGTCCACTTTATTACTTAGGATAAGCCAGGTCTGCAAGTCTGAACTAAATTTATTTATTTATGATCCAGAAGCATCTGTTGAAGAATTTCCTCATGGGAAATATTTTCTCTTGTGCAGGCTGAACTTTTTGACAAGTTTCTTCATGGTTCGACCTTAGAAGAGTGCTACTCATCAGTTGCCTCTGTTGCAAACCGCTGGCTTGATCTTCTTGATGTGCGTAAAAGATAAGCTAATTCCTTCACTAGTAAGATAACACTATGTGAAACACTGAATTTTGTCAACCAACTCCTGTTAATGTTTGTTCGACATTCTTATCCCCTTTTCTTTAAATTTTCATTTATCTTCAGAATCAAGGGAAGGATATTGCAGATAGTGAATTGCTGGATTACATATCAGAGTCGAGCACCATGAGCAAATCCTTGGTTGACTATGGGGAGCAGAAGTCTTGTGCAGTGACTACTGCTAGACGTTTAGCGGATTTTCTTGGTGAAACTATGGTAAAAGATAAAGGCTTGCGCTGCCAATATATAGTCGCATGCGAACCAAGGGTAAGTTACTGTATCATTGCCCTGGAAGACCCATAGATCCAGGAATATTATTGTAGTAATAGTCTTAGGAGTTCGTGTAGCTAACTTTCATAGTTTGACATTATGTGACTGCTGAATAAGTTGGCATTTCTTCTTTATGCATAAGTTGGCATCAATTTGGACATAGATGAACATGGTGTGGGAAACAGATAAAATGCCTTATATTATTTGTCTAGAACACACAGATGAACATGGTGTGGGAAACAGATAAAATGCCTTATATTATTTGTCTAGAACACACGAAAATGCGTGTATATTTCGAACATGTTGTAGAGTACTGATAAAATGCATTACCCATGGCCATGTCTAGTAAGTTCTGTTTTTGTTTTATGGTGAAGGTCTCTAGGTTTGCATGACCTTAAAGAACCTAATGGTCTGCCTTCTGCCTAATTGCTAGTTTAGCAGTCCCATGGCATCTTCTACCTTAGTTTAGGTTGCTTTTCTATCTTGAAATATCTAATGGAGTTTTCTTTTGCACCTTATGAACAGGGGACACCTGTCAGTGAGCGTGCTGTTCCTGTTGCAATATTTGAAACTGATATTGGTCAGTTATGTGCTATCATCACCTCCATAACATCCTTTTGCTGCTCATCAATTGAATGAATTAAGGCCTTTTGTTGCAGAAATAATGAAGTTTTACCTAAGAAAATGGTGCAAAATATCATCAGACGATGGCATCAGATCAATCATCGATTGGTCCTATTACAAGCAACGGCTCAGTTCCGCAATTCAGAAAATTATAACCATACCTGCAGCAATGCAGAAGGTGGTATTGATGTTGCCTTTTTGTTAGAATGATTTATCTTCCTTTTTCCTCTAAAGTTATAAGGCTTAAAATTCTTTAGGTTGCAAATCCTGTTCCTAGAGTTGTTCATCCTGATTGGCTGCACAAGAAGGTTCGTGAGAAGGACGACAAGTTCCGCCAACGTAAATTAGTTGATATTTTTGCCTTGAAAAATAAGGATGATGCACCAAACGAAGGTAGTGGTGATATTAGCACCAACCATATCGTGAATGAAAAGAATGTGGAAGATTTAGAAGATTTTGGTAACAAGAAGGAAAGTTCTATGGATAGACCAAGACCACTTGTTCGTCACTATGAAGGTAACAGTGAGAGGCATCCAGTCAAATCAATGTGCCAAGCAGATGACCATCAGGAAGAAACTAGAGTTATAAATAATGGGCTTCAAGAACTTTCATCATTGCAGCAACATGCTGTGTCTGCAGAAAATATTGATAGAAACATTGACTATCAAGGATGGCTTGAACTGAAAAAGAGAAAGTGGAAAGATGCTCTAGACAAGAGAAAACGACAAAGGTACATTTTTCCATACGAAATTTCTGCTTTATATAATGCTTAAAAAGGTTGAGTCTCATGTGTGGATGCACATCCTCCTTTACATTGTCCCCCATTTCATAAGTTGCAGCATCTGGATTCTAATTGCAATACCATAATCTTTGCAATTGAGAGGCTGGCAAGCAGATGTGTGTCCTATAATGTATGATGATGGCACCTTGGCTTGGAAGCACAGAACATCAGGTTTATGTGTTGAAGAACCAAAATCCCGCTAAAACAATGTTGACCTTGGGCTAGGCGATGACACATTGCCCACCTCCACTGGACACTTCGGTTTTAGACCACCATAAATAATGCAGCTCTTTCTTTCATTTTATGCTTCTCACTCTCATATGATCCTTGCCTGAATCTTAAGTTAGGCTGGGTGCATGCATTTTGCACACTCATCAGTAAAAGGGTCTTGTCTTGCCAAATGACAATGTCTTCACTCTTTTACAGGTTGGGCAACTTGAAGACCCCATCCATCCGAAATGGTGTTTCCAAACAGCCAGCTGGTACGAAAAATCATAAAGAAGCCAATGGGAGACAAGGGGTTAGCTCATACTTTACAAGGCATGAAGTAGCCCTGACAAGATGTCACTGGCAGGTCAAATTAGGATCCAGTTATAAAAATTTCATGGAAACGAGAACCATTTGACTGCTGAAATCTGTCGTCTGAACTGTTTCTACTTCTTTCAGATTATACAGCTGGTTCCAAGTTCAACGAGTGGACATTTTTTTGCCTGGGTGATTGTTGATGGAATTATGCTTAAAATTCCTATTGTTGTTCCTAGAGTGTTTTACCTCAACTCTAAAGCATCAAAAACAGAAGAATTTCCTGGAAGGCGTGTTAACAAAATTCTGCCCCATGGGAGGCGTAGCTATAACCTAGTAGAGGTGCACATACCTCTTATTTTTACTAAGTTGTATTCTACCTTAATGAAGATATTACTGTGAAAAGATTGTTAAATTTGTTTTCCTGTTTCTTTACTTGTTTGCATGAAGGTTACTATAGATGAAGATCAATTCAGGATTGAAAGCAAAAAACTTGCATCTCTACTTGCAGACCCAGAGATCGAGGTCAGGATACCAATGCACGTTATATCAACAATATTTATTTTCTGTTGCTTGTATTCTCTTGCTTACAATGTTTTATGATTTAATACTTATGGTCATCACTTATGGACTTCTCGAACCCTCAGTTTTTCCTTAATGCTAATAGGGCCATGTAAATGTTTCAGAGTTTTTTCTTTTTTGGTCCAAATGTTGCAGAGCTTGGTAAACAAGACTTTAAGTACATAAAAAGAGAAGATTAAACATATTAAGGCTGGGCCTTCTTTCTCTAGTAACAGTTTAGGCTAACCAACTTGTCCTTCTGGTGCATGTTAAGTTGTGAAATATATGTACTAATGACAAATTTTGGTACTCTGCTAGCGGAGACATGCAATCTAAATTGGATCCTGACAGTTCTCGTATTGCATCCAAAGAACTTCTGACCTTCACTGTTGACTAGACCCATTAGTTTCTCTCGCATCTTATGTTCCGTATCAGAAACTTGTCTTAGTGAGCTCTTTATCAATCATATCTTGTCTTTCATTTTAAATTCTACAAGGACATGTAGGGCCTTGCAGTGAATTAGGTAGTGATATTTCCATCACGAGACATGTTTGCTAAGCTGATGTGCATTTTATTAATTGATCTTGCTGGTAATACATTTTTAGTTAGTTTTGCTTTTGCCAAACTGTGATGCTAATGTTTAACTCAGGGAGTATATGAGACGAAAGTGCCTTCAGACTTTGGCGCTATCCTGCAGATTGGATGTGTCTGTAAAGTAGATAAAATGGCGAAGAAGCGAAATGCCCAAGACAGTTGGTGTCTAACTGAATTACATATGAAAACTACGGCAGAGTGCTCTTATCTGGAGCAGTCCATCTCGTTCTTTTATTTGTACCATAGGTAATCTGATCTATCTTTTTGGCATATGGATTAGCTCTATTTACATTATGGTGATATGGCCATAGAAAAAGTCATGTTAGTACATGTGCCTCTACTGGGTTTAACCTCAAGACTTTTCAAGTTGGAAAAGGACAACTGTTTTCTAACTCTTATCATCCTCTAGTTTTTTGGATAAGTAGGACGCGGCAGCTCGCCCTATTTAATCCGTACTAGAGTTAGATCCCTTGGATTCTTTGCAGTGTCCTTAATCATGCAAAAGGTAGTCATTCAGTCAAATAAACAGAACTGGAGAATTTCCTGCACTTCAGAAAATATCAATTGTTTTGCATCGGTATTAGTTCTTGTTCTGGACAATAACCAATAATGGTTTAGCAAATAAGTCTATAAAAATGTATATGGCGCTTGTAGGATGCAGGGAATAAGTTCAAATTCTTCATGTGTTTGACTTATTAATATCTATGTCATATGCTTATCATTGCTTGAGGAGGCTATTTATCTTACTGTCCATTCCATTTCAGCATTTCTGAAGGACGAGCTATATTTGCTAGCTATCTTCCTGCATTGAGATCAATATCTGTCATTGTGGTAAATCCTCACCAGAATAGAGATCTATCAGCATCTTTTCTTGAAAGACAATTCCGGGAAGCTTGCCAAACTTTGGCTGTTGAACTCTCCACTCTACAGGATGGTATCACTTTCAAGGTATATTTTTTATTTCTTCTTCTTCTGAAAGCTTTTTAATGTTTTCTTCTACCTTAGTAATTTTTCTGCTTCTATTGCAGGTAGATTATGTTGGATATGTGAAGGATGCCGAGAAGATTCTGCAGCGGCTTATAAATGAGCACAGGTTTGACTTGTCATTTAAATTCTATGTAAGCTGTTTAAGGAAAGTTTCTCTCAATTATGTCAACAGCTTAAACACAAACTTTATAACACTTCAATTATTATATGAGTACATGGGGAGATGTACTGCAGATTTGTCTAGGCCAAATGTACATGGAAGATCCCAAGCTGAACAAGCATTCACATTAATCTAGAAAATATTGAAATATTTCTTAATAAGCTTTTTTTACTTTGTTTATACTATGTCTTCTATTTGTTCCCTCTGAGAGGTTTGAATTGGCTTTTCTGTCCATCACAAGCTAAATGGCTCTCATGAGCCCTGCTAAGCACTCTTTCTTTTTTTAGCCTGTTCCACCTTTAAGAGTAGGGCTTACATACTGTGTTCCTTTTGTTTACATACTGATATTAGCATCATGAATGCTGAATGACAGACATGAACATCATGGACCTACAATTGCTGTCATTGAATGCCCCAACATTCAGTCAATCAAATGTGGTATACAAGCACTAGATCAATTTCCATGTGTGAGCATTCCTCCTAATGCTCGTGATAGTCAATACCAGGTGATGTAAATTTATGATAAAAGCTGCTTCTCAATTATCTATTACTTTCATGTTACTTTTTTGTCCCTATATATCTTTACAGATCTCTTAATTTTGGGGCTCTGTACAGTTTCTTGGATGGCAACAAATAGCTGCCAAAGTTGGAATGCAGCGTTGTGCTGCATCAACCCAGTGGTTGAAAGAAAGGATCTCTCTCTCCAGATATGCTCATGTAATACTTCTATTTTGCAAACAGAGTTCCTCTTATAGTGTCTGTGGTGTGAGCCTTATAATTTATTTGACAGGTGCCCCTGGGGAACTTTGAAGTTGATTGGCTTATATTTACGGCAGACATCTTCTTTTCAAGAGCATTGCGGGATCAACAACAGGTTTGAAAGTGGAGAATTTCTAAAAACTTCAATTTGAGTGTTATAAGTATTTGGTCCTTTAGATTTACATTTCTTGGTACTCGTGCTGTTGCAATGAAATTCTGACAGGCTATGTAATTCCTTTTTTACCTTTTGACTGATTTTGCCCCGGAATCTTGAGGTCATTTATTAACTAGCTTTCCTCAGGCAAAGATGCTTAAATGTAATATCTTTGTAGGTGCTATGGATTTCTGATGATGGTATTCCGGATCTTGGAGGAATCCATGAGGAAGAAACTTGTTTTGCAGATGAGGTTAGTTTCAAGGGCTATACCATGACTCTACTTCTATTTGATGCATACTTCATGCTCATTAAGGACATGTATCTTGGCTACCAAATTACATTATTCTTCTCTTCCAGCTTTTGCCACTATCTTGTCTTTTACTAATCTCAAGTATCCCCAAGGTGCTGATCGTTTGTTTCTATAGGTTCATCAGAATGTTCTTACCTATCCTGGAGCATATAGGAAAGTGTCTGTGGAGCTAAAGGTCCACAAAACATACAATTTCCGATATCTTTTCTAATTATTCTTTCTGAGATCTGCTGCTGAATCACATATGATATTTCTCTTACCAGATTCACCACCTAGCTGTGAATGCTCTTCTCAAAAGCAACCAGGTCAATGAAATGGAAGGAGGTGCTCTATTAGGTTTTGACCAGGAGTTATACGCAGAGACGGATCAACAATACAGCATCGACGATGCAACTTCATGTGCAGCTGCATTCCGCTTGCTGAAACAGTTAGTTCAGAGGTGCCTTACAGATGCAGTCACCTATGGAAATGTCTATGCTGATGCAATATTGCAACATGCTTATCGATGGCTTTGCAGGTAAACTTGCCTGATGTTCATCATGCCTAAACTTCTCAGATGCGCCTTTTTCTTCTGAAGCTGATGTTACTTATTACTTCTTTCCTGTATGACAGCCCACAATCAAAACTTCACGACCCAGCTCTTCATCGCATGCTTCACAAGGTAGGCACTTTCTGAAATTTTCGTATGGAAGTGGATCAGACGATTTGGAGATCAAAGATCAATCTTGTTGCTATGTTGTTTCATATTCTAACCGCATTACTTGAAATTCTTAGTTCTTTTCTTCTGTGTAAAGACTCACTGAAAAGGTGATAAGGGGCGTGGACGGTGTCTCTACTTTGTAATTATAAGTTTACTTGATATTAATGCTTGAGACATCTAAATCGTCTTTAACTTTGTTGAAGATTCTTGATTTAGTTGTGCATTAACAAGTAATCATGCAGCTTATCCTTTTTGTTGTCTAATGTCAGTTTTCTACCAATACAGGTCATGCAAAAGGTGTTTGCCTTGTTGTTGGCAGAGTTTCGCAAACTTGGTGCCACAATCATATTTGCAAACTTCTCAAAGCTCATTATTGATACTGGAAAATATGAGTTATCAGCAGCTCAAGCTTACTGTGATAGTTTGCTTAGAACAATCCAAAACAGGTTAGTTGCAGGCATAAGTATCTCTCTTTGGTTATTGGCATTGCGTTGTCTTCATAACACTGTCTTCACTGATGTCTAGAGACTTATTTGAGTGGATTGAGATGGAACCAGTGCAGTTCTGGCATTCATTGCTTTATATGGATCAGGTATGTTGTCAATCATTCTGTTTAGAACAGTTAGCATCACCAGGTTTTTTTTATCAGAGCTCTGGAACATCCACCATTGCCCAAAGGACGGCGTGATTTCCTTTTACGGAAAGTAGTCTGTGCAGTGACCAAGCAAATACATTGTGCTCTGTGTGGTTTTCTATTAGCAAAATTTAAGTCTCCCGGTAAGAAGTTTGAATACATGTGTCCAATAATGTAGCAGAAAAAAACTTTCCCTTATCTGAGAATCCAAGCTTATGCTCTCAATTCGCCATAGACTGTAGATTAATTACTTTCACATTGTAAAGCGCCTTCACATTTTCTTCTTTTTCAAGAATGTGGAACCGTGGTTTCTATTAGGTGGAGATATTTCTAGATGCTTCGGGTGTAAAGTAGTGATAATAAAGTCAAACAATCGCAGTTGTCAAATGTGATCGAACTTCAGCAATGGTTGCAAACTTTTGTTTGTCATTTGATTGAGAATACATGAAGTTTGCTCTAGATAGAAAATATAACCAGACATACTCAAACAGCTTTATCCCTAAGATTGGACTTGGCTATAGCTGACTCGGCATGATTTTCACAATATCGTCCTTGTCATCTGAGGCACGTAATCAGATTGAAAAGGAATGGGGGAGTTTTTGTGAATGTTATCTTTGAAAACTAGTTATAGCTATACTGCAGGCAAAAGGAAAGGCATGAACTTTACATTGCGCTTAGGTTCTCTATGGTATCTGCTTAAATGATGAACTTTAATTATCCAGTCTGTATATTCCAACTGACGTGCGCTTTCTTGTTGATAGTATAATTATGGTGGAATCCCTGTCAGAGTTGATGTAAATGTTGATGAACCTCAAGTGGATATTGTGTCAAGCTGGAATATTGCTGAATGTTTGCCCAAGAAAATTCAGGTTAGTCATTGTCATGACAGCTGCATTATGTATGGGAAAATTTAGCTTTTACGACCAAATTGTGAACCTACAATCAGTCATTATTGTTTGGCATTGGATTGTGTTTTGATAACCTTCTGAACCTTTTGCAGGATCACTTTATCTTCATCGTCTCTCAGTTCTTGTACATGCCTTGGAATCATGCACAAAAATTAGCTGCAAATAGGGCATGTTCAGATGCTGGCGACTTGTGCACTCCATCGATCACAGTTGTCGCTGCTAATAATTTTGAATCACACATGGTGGAATATCTCAGAGAGCAGGTGCAAGAGCATCTCATTGTGAAAGTTTGCACAGCTTTTCATGATTTCTTGAATATTCGAATGTTTTGTTTCCATTATTTGAAACTTTAAAATTGTCTACAGATTGGCTCTTACTTCTCCGATAAACTCTTGGGAGTAGTTCGTGATTGCGTCCTTCACATGAGAGAAATGGGCAGACATCGGGATGATGAGTATTCATCACCTGCTTCTACTAATAACAGAGGAGATGCTGCTTTGGAGTTCATCAAGCACATATGCGCGGTTCTTGCTCTGGATCAAAATGTTCAGCATGACATTCTGGTAATTCTATACCGGGTCGTGAATTTCCACGACTCTCCCATTCAACTGTGTGGTTATTTTCTTCACTCCATATATTTCTATACATTTTGAGTCTTGCTAGATTGATGGTCAGCATGACTGAGGATGATTGATTGAGACTAGTTATTTGCATGACAGCTAAAGTCCTAGGTTTGCTAAACTTAAAGTGTTTTAGAAAATCTAAAATTGGTATTGAGAATTGACATGGATAAATAATTGATAGCAAAGACATCTAACAGTTAGGGTATAAAACAGAAGCATGTAACTTCTCCTTATGAAGTTTGACCCTGAGGAGCAAATACGTCATGGTCAAGTCTCTGGTGTCAATAACTCACAAATCGTCTCCCTTTTGCTTGCTACAGGTGATGAGAAAGAATCTTTTGAGATACGTACGCATAAAAGAATTTGCTCCAGAAGCTGAGTTCCGTGATCCTTGCCAATCCTTCGTCTTACCCAATGTGATATGCAGGTAAATTCAAGCTTCTAATGGTTTTTAGACATACATCTGTCAGAGATCTACGAGTGTCTGTGCTAGTGATTTATGAGATGATGCACCAGTTTTGGTTGTTGTCTTGGTGGTCGGTATAAGGTGTAAATTTCTCCACGCCAGTGGATTTCAGAATCAGATTTGGAGGTCTCGGCCTCCCGTGACAATATCCCTCAAGTGTCGTCAGGAAACGATAGTTTCCTACATTCTTATCTTCAACGACTTCTTCACTTTTAACGTTGACACCTACCATCCCAATGGTCCTATTGTTATAGTTCTTTCATTTTTTTGGGCAGCTACTGCAATGACTGCAGAGACCTCGACTTGTCGCGTGACTCGGCTCTGTTAGCTCAAGAATGGTGCTGTGCCATACCACAATGTGGCCAGCCTTACGATCATGAAGTGATAGAGAATGCGCTTCTCCAGATTGTAAGGCAGAGGGAACGCATCTATCACCTACAAGACCTTACTTGCCTTCGGTGCAACCAGGTGAAAGCCGCACATTTAAGTGAGCAGTGCACGTGCGCTGGCTCATTTAGGTGCAGAGAAGATGCTTCCGAGTTCCGCGGCAAGATGCAGATATTTCTAAAGATAGCTGCGCATCAGAATTTTCAGCTCCTTAGCGAATGCACCTCATGGATCTTAGAAGGGAAATAAGCTGCCACTTCGCGACACCCATTCAAGAAAAAGAAATCGAGCATCATGGGTCAGGCATTTCGCAGACAATTGCCCATTGAATTGAAGTACACCCCGGGTGCAGCAGCTAAGGATATTTGACTTTTGAGGCACTGCAGCAGGCCAACAGAGAGGAGTTAACTTTGGAGTGGAGTTCTTGACTTCGTGGGGTTACTCATATATGTCATAATTCTGTCTTGAAGGGTGAGAGGCTAGATCTTCTGTGTATAGTTTTGGTGAAATGAATGCATCACATACGAGAGCACGTGACTGTTATATATGCTTACTCCGAGGCTCAAAGTCTGGACATGCTCAGCAGCAAGGTGCGAATAGAGTTTCATATGGAAGTGCACGTGACATTGTGGTACTTTAATAATATCGATCCTGATGATTCTGACACGGTTGATTTTCATGACAGGTCTCCAGGAGGATGTAATCTTGGATAATTATTCGGCTTTGGTTTCTATGGATAAACTCACTGATCAACCAAGCACTGATATTCTCATACCGCATGAGCTGGTTCAAAGAGTTAAGATTTTTAACGGCAAAATGTATATATCAGCACATGTAACATGCTTTGTTACTGAAACATATACCTGATCCAATATATATTATATAATCAATAAGTGAGGTCTTATGTGTGAGCTATAGAGTAGCAAACGGATGAATTTACCGAGGGAGAAAAAAGAACCTTAGTGCTTTGGCTCGAGTCTGAATGTATGTTTCACCTACTTCCAGAAGCTTCTGGGTCTTGAGAAAAAAAAAAAAGCAGGATTATATCAACATTTTTTGTCTAGTTGAAAATTAGTGACTGTCGACAAATCAATCCTTTCTCGTAAAGAGTTCATCATAATCATAAAGGTGACGGTAATAGCAGAGCCGTATAGAGAGGTCGGACACCGCAAATTTACAGAAAAAGCTAGACGAAAGAGCTACAACTTCTGCTTTTACGATTAAACTTATCAATCTATGCGCAGCAGATGCCAAGTCATGCGACGCAATTAACAGAACGAGTAAATACCGGGAACAAGCTCACTTGTGCCTTTTGCTTTCAAGTCTGAGAATCCTCTTCTCCATCTGCATCTCCAAAAGACCCAACTGACTTTAGCTTCTGCGTTCCAAACACGGGCATCGCACTGAAACTAAAAGAGCCCCAGCAAACACGATCGAGCTTGGAATATCCAAAGAGAGGACGAAGGAAGGATTCGTTCACAAAGGAAGGTGGGGAAAACAGACCACACCCGGTGATTACTATTATTAGCAGGCAGCGTCAACTTATAGTGCAGTGCCATAGGAGTAGATCCTTTTCTTAGCAGGCAGCAGCATCTTCGCAGCTTGTATTTTGGACAAATATCGGACCATGTAGCTATTATTTTAATAGTTGCCACCATGCCACTGGCTTTTTTGTTTGGCCTAGGTGTAAAGGTTTCCCTTGAGAGATAAATTTCAATGAAGAGTGGTTAAGTATAATGCAATCGGTTCTCAGAGCATTTGTGGCAAGGTATTATCCTCTAATGCTTCTTCAGGCATGCGAAAAAAAAATTCCAGGTTGAATGCATGAGTTATTCAGTCCCCTCATGCAACTCCTACACAACTAGCATTCCAGTTCATCAAGTGCCAACACCATCTTCTGTATGCATGCAAGAAAAAAAAAGGAAGATACAGAGAGAAAAAAACATCCTTGAGAACAATCATCTAAATGCCTCCTTTGAGGAAATTATCTGGTACAAATGTTTGGGTTCCGGAAGTACTGTAGTACCTGAACAACTGCATCCAACTTATCCTGAGTTCGAGCAAATTCATTTTCAATCCAATTAAGTGCCTGGGAGAACCTGAAACAGTGATTCATTTGATGATAAGTGTTCCTGTGAAAAAGTGGGCAATCAGGGGAAAGTATAGAGCAAAGTTAACGACATTTATCGGAAAAAAAAAGAGCATCTTCTATGATTGGAATACACGTCTATAACGACAAATAAGCTCTGTTCCCGAACAGATTTGTCTATTAATAGCGGAGACCACTCTGGACATCTAGTGCATAGCTTCCTAAACTGACTTCTTCATGCAAACCCGAGTTTATTTCTTTAAGGAAATTATTTCAAGGTCAAATTTTTTTGAAGTTTCATCCACAAATGATATTCTTTTCAAAAGAAGGATTGAAAAAGCGGCATGTATTTTGCTTCAAGGTAACACTAGATCCATTGCAGGACGACCTGCCCTTACCACCACGTGAAGTACAGTAGATGAAGTAGCGAGACACCTAGACATTTATTTTTGAAAGTGTAAAACCTAAATGGAGAGAAAAAAAAATAGTTCCTGCATTTTCAAGGAAATGGTAAGATATAATAATACTAGCTGCGTGAAGGACTGAACAATTACTGTGCTTATATCTTTTAGAAAAGAAAGCTTATCTAAAGACAGCCGAAGGCAATGACTACCTATCCTAAGCTCAGCCAGATTGAGTAACATTATTGCAGGATAAAGTCTATCCTAAGACATCCAGGGACCCGTTGCTAGTGAGGAACCGCTCTAAAATCATGGATGTAAGGAGTGATGATTGGATGGCAACGGAAATCAATTATAGGACTGAGGCATGAACTTTGGACAAAGGTAAAGGTCCCAAAGAATTATAGCTCCCACCCATATGAGAACACTTTGACTACTCAAGAACATACAGATAAAATGCTGAATTCATGTGTAAAAATCACACGCATACACATTCTAAAAGGCAACATCAAGTGGAATAAAAACCGTGGGAAGTTTAACACATACAAGATCCAGAAGTTCACTGTTTTTCTTCAATCAAACTTAAAAGGAGTAAAATGCATCATTTAGACGACCTTCAGCAAATCAAGAACCAAGTCGTTAAATAATATAAGATAGTACAAAGGCCTCATGAGCCAAAGAGACAGACAGAGAAACTTCCTTACTTTCGCCCCTGTTTTTCTTCGCAAGCACGGATGAGACTATCACATGCAAGTTTCATATGCTCAGCACCTATGCTGCAACAACAAAGACAAAGACAGATTTGGCTTACGAAGAGAAGAGAGTATCGTCAAAATCTTTGAAAAGGGTGAATTATCTTAGCAGAAAGCACAAGAAGGCAAAATCGTCATAATTGTCCGAGTAATATTGCAAAATGTCTGCTATCTAGCCTGTATTTCTAGGTAAAGAGACTCATTATGAGGCATAAAATATGGAATCTCATGTAATTATCAGGCAGCAAAGGGGTCGGCTACCCAGACTTACGGATTGAACACATCATTTTTCCAACTAAACATTAAAACCTGTATGGCAACTTATTCTAAGGAGAAAAGAATGTAATTCTGACTCCAAATAGAAACAGTCAAGCATAATATATGGAAACTCATGTAATTACTGTACATATCAAGAAATTTGGATACTTGATCACTCATCTATCTTCCTTTTCAAGATATCACCAGCAATCATGCCTTACAAGTGAGGCCAAGAAAGCAAAGCAGTTGCAAGCCTAAGCCTAAACCTATACGTTGGGAGATAACAACGCTTTGGAAACCCTAAGGATAAACCTGGAAATTGAGCATTCTTAATATCTGAATGCAACCAAGGCATTTTTCATCCACGTTAATCTTCAAAAGGGACTGTTCAAGTGGAAAGCTTGAATAGGAAAAAGGCTCTCATTATACAGAAATATCATTCACATCATTTAGATAGTTGTACTGCAAAGGTAAACAATCCTTTTAAAAACATTATTTTGTGTAAATTGCAACTTGAGAAGATAAAAGTTAACGAATGAATACTCTCAAATTTTGGGTCCCCTTAAATATATAATCACCATGCCCGGGCGGGAAATAAGTGTTTTAATAAAGGTTTATGGAATATAGATCCTCCACAAGTTGGAAATAATGGCTCCACACTACTTGGACAATACATGCAAGACAACAATAGTGACTACTTATTAAAGGAATTCCTTTTCCAGACTACATGCAAAGTCTGATGCGACGTAGCATATCACAAATGATCCAAAAAAGTACATATAAGGTGCTACATGATTTCTAAATTTAAGTCAATCAGAGTTCATCATAACCTACGTCAATGTACTAACAAATGATAGCATGAGTGATAATAAGCAGACAGCATACTTGGATAGAACAGTAAGCTATTACAGAGGAAGATGGTTTCAAAAACTCAAAACTTCAATTTTTTTTATACTGGGATAATGTGTTGAAGGAAATTGAATGATCACATCCACAAGATTGTGGACTCTCTCTGTCTTCCCCTCGCGCATGCACCCAAATCATACTTTAGCATTTGATCCAAGAGATAAAATTTTTTAGCAGAACAAGGGCTTTCTGAGTTACATCTTAAAGTGAAGTGCCCTCTCAAGTTGTCTATCAAGAAGCCTAGTTCATGCCAGTATAGGTTAAAAACACATCTGGGCTGGCTTTCCTTGAGAGAACTTTGTCGACACATGCCCCATTATATTCTGAACAAAATGTTAATAAGAGCCTCCGGACAGTTTTGATGCATTTGCCCCACTTATAGCATAAAACTTAAAGTTGTATGCATCCCAGCAGTATTTTTTGATGTTACCACAGGCTTTTCTCCTTGATGGTATTAGCTTGGGCAGCCAACTGGTCAAAATCAGCCTCAGGAGAATCGCTGCAGATATATAGACATGCTGATTAAAAATTTAACACGTGATGAAACCAATGAAAACACAAACTCTACTAAAATGCAAAGGTACATAGATCTTGTGAGCTCGGATAATACTGCTTCCACATCTGCAAAGTATGAAGTGATCAATCTTATGATGGCATCAGGTTCATCGGTGCTTTTCAAAGTCTGAACAGAAGCAAATTGGTCATTTACAATCCCCTGGAGAAAACAACATGAACAATATATCAACTAACAGGGTCTCTACCAGCAAAGGCAGCCAATTAAGAAATATTAACATGCATGTCATGCTAATGAATGGAGAGATGACATGGCTTAAGGAACACCAAGTACAAAGATCTAAAAGAGAATAAGATGGAGGATTTACACAATAGGATGCAACTATTGGTAGCAGCACCATTTACAACAACGATGATTATGCCAATAGACCCCTGAATTCTTTAAGAACGCAAGAACGCAACTAATAAAACTCTGAGATAAGTAAAATAGGGAAGCTAATACCATTTAACAAGAATGTGTATCCACAAATAAAATATCCCTCACCTCATTTAACAATGATTGCACATATTCTTGGAGAAGACCTGTAAGAATAGGTAGAGCCATTGTCAAGAGAAAAGAAGCAGAGAAAGTTCAAAGTGAGATGCAGGAACTCTATCTCTGATGTAATGTCTTTAAGAAAAGCTTCACAAGCAAAACGAGAACTAGGATGCGATGGCATGAGAATGGCGTGTTCAGCATGCTGCCTAGCAATATTGTTCCTCATATTCAGTATATTAACTTTTGTGCCACTCTAAATAAAATATTTGTTTTAGAGTAAGTACATGTCCTTAAAAGGGCACCAAAGGATGCTAACCGTTACAACTCTAGGTAAACAATTAACTATCAGGCCTATCAAAAGGTCTATCCAAGAAAAGATAGCGAAAAAGGAAGGAAAAGAAGAACATTAAATACTTTCCATCAAGAATGTGATTTTCATGCCCTCAACTATGAGTGGAGAACCATTTGCCTTTAAAACAGTGAACCAGCTTGAAAAGCTCCTGATTGGAAAAATATCACAACCTCTTTGTTGCCTAATAATTAAGGATTTACAAGAAAAGGACCATACTTCAACTGCACTTGGCTTCAGCAGAAGAAAGTTAATTATGTTGATACTTCCATGTGATCGACAAGCACTACACCACCAAGTAAGAGATACTTCTGATCCTGATGAAATTTTGTCCTTCACTCATAATGATTAAGGAGACTCTCTAATTAAGTCTGGCATAGGAACCTACTTCCAAATGGCGCCCACCTACTCCATGGATGCCAAGTGGCGAATGTGCAATTGTGTGACTCTTCTTGTGGGTCCTAGTCTTAACCATTAATAATGTAACTGTCAAGTAGAGTTGCCAAAGTATTTATTAAGGAAGCAAAATCGGAGCTATATAATGGTAAGCACTAGGATAGACCAATTAGCGGTAGAAATTTCAGAGTTGAGTTCTATCATAGCAAGCTAAGCTTGCTGTAGAATCTTAAGCTATATTGCACTTCAATAAACTGAGAGTTCAACACGGAAGGATGCAAACATCAAAAAGACTCGTCTCAGCATCATTACTGTCGTATCCGAAGCTTGTGGAAATAAGCCAAAGGGAATAATTAGAGGGTACTGCTTTGTAATCATGCATTGACACCAAAACAATCACTCTACTAAAGAAGAGGAGGTGTTTGCCTACACTCAACGATAGAATAGAGTTTAACTCACGTAATTTTCAGCGTTCCTTAAAATTCAGAAAATCAAGATGGAAATCGAATATTTCAGGGAGTTCCAAAAGGATACTTAAAAGAAGACTGCTTCTCCATGGGCCAAAAATGATCCCCTTAGGAGACATAAACTTTTTATCACAGAAAAATAAGGACCTTCCTTTTCAAGTTCAGGAATATTAAGATCTAGAAGTTTTCTGTTTAGTTTATCATGTGACAGAAAAGCAAGGTCAAAACACATGAACAATATTAATACACACCCCCAAAGCATTTAAGCTAACCGGCTATCCCAAGGATTAAAGATGAAAGAAAATACTCCACATCCATCATATTTAGACATCACATCGTTGATGTTATTTAGTAAAGGATTTACAGTTATATTTACCCATAGCAGTTAGATGCATGCTAATTTTTTCTTCCTTCACATAATTTTGATTGACAATGAATAAGCCATGCATTGTCTTTTAGTGTGCAGCACTTTATAGGGCATCTCTAATTTTATCTCCTCAGGTTAATTCAAGAAGCATATCCGGTATCTACATTGAGAATCATAGACAGAAAGCATTACGTCATACCATGAAATAAATCACACTATGCCTCAAGGTGTTGAACAAGTATATTATGCAACCACATGATGTTGAGTTTTTTGGTTCTAAATGACAGCTTAATGTAGGGTAATAAGGATCTTCACAACTCTAGTTGACCATGCAAAATGGTTCCTCATAATCATATGAACAATATACTCCCTCGTACATCTGTTCACCATTGTTCTGTTTCACATAAAAATAATGTGTCAAGTTCGATTTAAAGAAATGGTTGCCAATATACTTTAAAATCTATTCTCGATGATATTTTACCACTAATGACAGAATAACAAGTGGGTTTTCTGTCAAAATCTAACGTCTTGTAGACACAGGGTTCTAAGGGTGAGTGAATTGCGAAGCTCCAAATTCCTAATAGATCTACATTTAAGGAATATAAAAAAATTATTAGTAGATCGTGCTGATGTTCGTCGATTGATGTAGAGAACCAAGAATTCAACAAATGTTAATACGGCATTAATTGCATGAGACCGCATGGCAGATGCGAAGCACCACAATAAATAGCATAAGAGACTGGATACTTTGAGAAACAGAGAATGTACACTTTTTTGGTGCACATTGAAGACAAATTTTCTTTGGCCACGCCATACGAATTATGGGGATTAAATTTTTCCATGCCGGGAGACGTGTAAATTAATATGACATCTGGAATGAAACTACTCAGAAGTCGCCAATTGCTAGGCAAATCGAGAATAGTCCGACTATATTATTGAAAATGTATGCATAGTTCCAACACAAAAGTTCAGAAACATCTGTTGCATTCTTTCACTCCCAGCTGAGATACAGAATATGAGCTAGCAACAATCATATGAGAATTGTGATATGTTCAATCAGATAAGAGCCATCTAAGGATGTCAGGACCTTTAGAACAGCATTGAACTTCATTTCAAAATCTTCCTTCGAGCTCAATAATCTTCCTCTCAATCTGCACTTCAACGACACAAAAAAGGGATAATGAATATAATAAACTAACTTGTATAGGCTTTCAGCCCATATTTAATACCAGTTTACAGCACGAGAATACGGAGCAATCAGATGGACAAGTTAAGCACAGAGAACTATAAAACATGGAATAAGAGAGTCCTAAGAAAATAGCATGAATATAAATCTGCTCCACAGTGTACATACAAACAATTAATAAATAAATCTGCTCAACAGTGAGCATAGCTAAGATGTGCCACTCTAATTATGATTTGTACAGTAACAACAGAAATATTATAAACCTGATTTGATGAATACAACTAACTTCAGGCTATTATTTCTAATAGTACTTAGAAAGACACACTTAAACCAAATTGTCTGGTTCCTACACATCTTCTCATGCATGGGACCCTTTGCTTTGGAGGAAGAAAAAGGCGCCAAAGGCATTTATTCCCAGTATTACAAGCATTTAGCTGACCAATAAGTGGAGAAAAAGAAATTCTACAAAAAACCATACATCACCTGCACAAGTGTCTGAAATTTTCTTTGCAGCTTTGAGAACGCACTTTTGGTCCGATATAGAGCCTGTGAACAACTGAGATGCATGACCAAAAAAAAAAACAACTGAGATGATATATTTAACAAAATGTCATCAACTACATTAAACTTCAAATATATAAAGAAATCAGAATAGACGGCCATAGTCCATGCCCTATTTCACTGAAAATAGCAAAGATTGAAGTGAGAAGAGTTATTCTTCTAAGATGCTGTTGTTGATTCTCTTGTTCTTCTCCCGTGAATTTGCAGTATGGTACTTTTCATCCACTCATATCCAAGGGTTTGCAGTCCATGATGTCAGTCTTCCTTATTTAGTTGGCTTAAGCCATCTCGAACGCTAATAATAATAATAATCAAGTAGTCCATCTTCATGAAGGACTTTAAAGACATTTTACGATCTTCTTTGCCCACATCTGAAGCAATGCTTAGGAGCAAGATAATTCCTTTATGTGGCTGGCCATAAAACCATGGTCTCTTGGGTCAACATCAAGTCATTCTCCGTTTCTTTCTCAATGCTTGGATGAGTTAGATTTCCTTCACAGGTTTCCCACCTATATGTCCCATATCACTCTATCTATAGTTAGTACCACTCAAATTAGGAAGCTTTTCACATGATCTCCTTAACCAAATTGCACAAGGGGAATGCTACTACATATTCGTGAAAAGCCGTGGTATGACTTCTCCTGATCTTCCTTCTTTGACAAATTTCATTGTGTTTCCTTACTTTCATACCTTAGAAGTGCAATTGAACACCCTTCTGCTAGATTAGTCAGTCAAAGTTAACCACATAACCGTGAAAAACGCAAAGGCGCCACATGCAATCAAAATTTTGCAACGCAGTTTCAGACAAATGAAATTCTATGACTCCTTTAGCTGATATCTACATCTTTCCCACCAAACTTATGTGTAACTTCATGAGTGACTAAGACCGCTCTATAAAATATTTGTGACAAGTCCAGTACAACAGTGAATTGAAGTACTTGCATTACTCTGGCAGCTGATGACACCATTAAAAACCCGCAGAAAGATTTGATTTAATCTTTTCTACCCAGTTTGAGAAGGCATGCAAACACATGCAATAGGGTAAACATTCAAGTTTGCAAACTGATTGCTTGATGAGTGGGCAATCTATCCAGTCAAGAGAAAAGGAGTTAAAGCTCAAAGATGAATGTGGACACAAGTGATGGTAAGTGAAAAATGAATCAAATTCTGGATTCTTACTCTTCAAGACTATTCGCCTCAGAAGCATGAAGAAGTTCCGCACAGGCAAGCTTGACATCCACCGCACCAATACTGCAATAACATTAAAGGGAACTGATCTGATTATGAGGGCAAGATAAGATTTCTTTGCTTAGATATGAAAAGGAAGGGGGGGGGGGAATAAGCAACAGAATAGAAAGCTTTAATAGACAAAACTTCTCTTACTAATCCCAGTAATGGAGGTAATTGATAAAATTTATATTGAAAGACTCTTTTCACCATATACTTCCTAAGATAGATAGAGTATTGAAAATTGAATGGAGTTCTTAGAATCCTGCTCTAAGAACTGGAAGAAAAATCTTTATAAATTTATGACCATAAACTATTAATTACATCGAGAGAAGGGCAAACGTCAATTAAGTTTACTACTTTTTAAGCTAATTTAATGCCAATTGATTTATTACTGTCATTGTAGACCTTAATACTGATTCTCAAAGATTCAAATGATAAGAAAACGCTGAGTCATACTTAAACTGAATAGGGTACATTCTTCCACTACCCATCTACCTCATTGTATCTAAGTAAATCAACTACCAGTACCAATTATTTTCCATAACTCAGCATATCTTCTATCCACAGCATAGTTATTCTCAATTGCCATTTCTTGGGCACGGTATAACAGCGATATCGCAACCAGCTCAATCTTATCTACTCTGTCAATGCATGTTTCATGAACTCCATGAAAAAAATACATAGAGCGGTCCAGCCAAGGTTTTTTCTTGAAAAATCTTGTTCCAACTAGCAAAACATTACTAGTATGCAACTTACCATGTAATTAAAATGTGCAAATTCACTGCATATAGTACGTTGGTATTTAATTTCATCAAATATTTGACAGCAAGGAAAACCAGAAGTAACTCAATTCGCATGATGTGTGAACAGCGAGAGTACCTGTCTGTTCTCTCATAGAGATCACGAGCAGCAATACTGACTGCATAGAAGTTGACGTTAACTTGAGAACTGTAGGAGCAGACATGAATCCCATTATGATCCATAAAATAACCCACGGAACTTAGAGCAACTGAAATACAAGGTTGAAAGAAAGTGCGGATTTACATGTGATTGGTCAAGTCGATAAATAAGTTCCGCATACAGACACAGTAGCTGATGACAGAACGCACAACAAAATCTGGTCCCATTGATTCCTTGAAAGCTTGCAATTGACAGAACTGGTCGTCGACGATACCCTGCAAAGAATGAAGGCTCATTTGCTAGTTCCCAGGCTAACGACAGGAACAATAGCACCAAGACATACGCAAACAATAACGACCCACCCTGGTCCACGTGGACCAAACTCCCAAAAGGAGCACTCGAAGCAACCACGAAAAGTAGTGACAATTTAGGGGTGGGTGTTGACTTATAAGTCACTCAACAAGAGCTCTCCCATCCTATGTAGGACTCGGAATGTCACAAAAACAATCCCTTCATTGGTTTGACTAAGCGATAATAGCTTATAAATCAAACACCATACATAAGGTGTCCGCTCATACTAGATCGTACAACTAAATCGTTTAAACGTAAACAAAAGAGCTGATAGGATCAACATCAACAAAGGCTATTCCGGATTCTCTCATGCAGGACATGTCTCCAACGTCCGTACAGAATCAGGCACATATGTTGGCATTGCTCTCACGTCTTTTTTTCATATCTTTCACTCGATCTTCACACGTTTTCAGATGCTGAATCAATCATCCGACTCGATCAAACCATCTGATCTCAGAGCGGACGTCGACCAGAAATGAAAAAAACATAAAGCGGGAACGACCTCGCGGATGACCAATCCGGTGCACTCCACGGGTGGAGTCACCAGCGCACAGCATGGTTAGGGTTTCGCCCGCTCAAACACGCGTGCTCCAAACGACGAACACCGAAAATACCGCTCGATCGGACCTCGGCTTCCAAAAGCAAACAAAAACCGCGCCGGCTCCGCCGCGATCGCGGCTCGCCGGGCTCCTTCGCCGGCGAAGAACGGGCAGGCGATCGACGTCTGGAAACGCTAGAAACGCAAACCGATAGCTCAGGGGGAGGGGAAGGAAGGAAACGTCACCTCTTCGTACATGCTCCGTAGGAGGTCGCGGAGCCTGGCCTTCTGCTCCAGCGCCATCTCGCTGCGGCGGGAGACGGCGAGAGGGAGGAGAGGAGAGGAGAGGAGAGGAGAGGGGCGGAGAGGGGCGGAGCGCGCGAGGAGGGGCGGCGACGACGACGAGAGATTGCATGGCGAAGGGCGAGAAGGCGGAGCGGGAGGCGCTGAAATAGGGAGGAGCGATGGGACGGAGTGACGGCGCAAGCGAGACGGGGTGGCGGCGGTGGTGGTTTTCGAGCGCTTCCCTCGTCACCTGGCGAGAGTCGGTGGAGGAGTGGAAGGTAACGGGCGGGGGCAAAGAAGCTTGGCGCTATCCGAGATGACTTTGCCCTCGAGATTCGAGAAAACTACGGAATTGCCACTCCGTGCTTACTTAAGTGTTTCTGCTGTGTTTTTTCGGAAGAGGGGGAGTGGAGGGAAACAGAGAGTAAAATACACCGAATTTCGTCCTCGCGACAAATGTTCAGCTTTCTAAAAAATATTTCCTTTTGATTTTCTTCGCTCTCATTTTCTCTCGATTTCGAAACAAAATATTAGGATAATCAGTCTCGAAATGGAGCCGGACATCATGGCCTCCGAATGGTTAAAGAGGATGTTGTCTGAGGATGATGTTCGCACATGTGTTTATTCATTGATTTCTTCCAAATGAGTGGGTGGTTTTCTCATAAATATCGCATGGCTCAAAGTAGAAACTTGTTGAATCAAGCCGCAACGTTTGTTTGAATGGTCTTTACGTTAAAGATAGTTGGAAGTCGATGCAATTATGACTTTAGATTCTATCATCAACGGCCTGTCCGGTACTTTAGTTCGTCACGAACGACTAGTCGTCAGCAAATGATTATCCGTTATGCTCCTTAACTTTATAGGAATGCTTCCAAAATTCCTTTCTTGTTTAAAATATACAAGGACATTTACGGGTTATTAGTGCCGATATTTCTCCGACCGTTACTTTGAAGATCTCATTCCCTCGCAGAACATTCGAATGTAAGATCTCAGAGAGACCGACACTTGGCATTGTTTGCGACCCGTATTAATCCAAAGCAGGTAAGCCTCATCACCAATGCCCCACTCAAGTACTAGAGGTCTAGAATATCGATCAAATATAGGGCTATCGACTTTGGAATTTTTGGAACCCTATCTTTTGTTGGCAAGTTTCTATTTTATTTATTTCTTTTATTGCAGGTAAATCTTTCATTATGTACTCTTGGGATTATAAAACACCCACCTAAGCTTAATATAAATATACAACAATTTCTATCTCAACATGGCATCAATAGCCATCTAGGGCTCATGCCCCTTTTAACCCTAGCTTTCTTTTTTCTTTCTTTCTTTTTTACAAGGGTGGTCGGCATGGCCCTGGAGAATCCCGCCACCGCTGCCGCCACCACCATAATCATTATTACAAACCCATCTTCAACACTTCCTACATTCAAATCTACTCATCACTTTCTTTCTTTACGTCTCACAGCATCCAATTACTTTCTACGGAAAACACGTGTTGTCCTATTTCACAAGACAAAATCTCTATGGTCGTGTTAATGGGACCAAAACTGTGTCCCTCTGATGCAACCCAAGCAGCTTTCTAGCAACAACATGACGCTTCCATCAAGAGTCTTCTAATTGCGTCCCTCTCAAGATCGGATTTACCTCTCATTCTTGATGAACCAATTAGCAAACCCATGTGGGATACTATCAAACGCCTCTTTTGGTCTTCTCCTTAGTCACGAGAGTATTAAGGCATTCCAAGAGTTATAAATCTCTAAGCCTTTCTCTCAAGCTAACTCTACTACAACCAACTTTGTTCAACAAGATTCCTCTATCTATGCATCCACCCCTCATGGTTCCTATTTCCCTGGCCGTGGTTAGTCCAGAGATCGTGGGGGTCATGGTGGTTGCTTTGGCAGTGGTCGTGGTGCTCAACAAGGTCGGCTGTGGCGTTCCATCTGTCGACATATAAATCACACTACCGTCACATACTACTATTGCCCTCTAGGTATGCCTTACTACTTGCTCGTTACGCATACCTCTTCGTATACTTCATCTTAACGACCCTCTTACTGTCCCAATGCTAGCTTGAGCCATGCATTTCCCCCTTCTTTTACCTTTGCCTGCCAACACCCTACCTTCGTACTCTAACCGAGGTGCCTCCCATCATGTCACGCTCGATATACAATTCCTCTCTTCTTACGAATCTTATAACGGATCGGATCAACTACACATGAGAAATGGTAAGTGTCTCAAAATTACTAATATTGGTACTTCTTCTATTCCCTCCTCTATTTCAAATCTTTCTTTACGTTTCAATGATACTTTTCAGGTCCTGATATTTCTAAGCGTTTACTTTTAGTTCAAAAATTTGCAACTAACAATAATATATTCTTTGAATTTTGTTCTACCCACTTTCTTGTCGAAGATCTAGTGACTAAGGCAGTTCTTCTTTTAAGCCCGAGTAGTGGTGGTCATTACACTATACTGCAACAACCTTCAATGCTTATTGCTAGTATTGCGAAATGGACTTCTATGAACGGCTAGCATCAATGTCTTGGCCATCCCCATGATCATATTTTACGATTTATGATCAAAGAAAATAATTTGTCATGTCAGTCCACATGGTTGAGTCCGTTATGTACAACCTGTCAATTGGGCAAGGCTAAATGTGAGTCATTAGGATTGTCTCCAACTAGTAGTTTGTTTCCATTGGAATTAATTTGTGGTAATGTTTACATCCTTCTAATTTTTTTTCCAATTGATGGTCATCGCTATTTCATTATTTTGTTGATAATTGCACAAAATTTATTTGGTTTAATCCTCTTAAAGCAAAGTTAGATGTTTCCTCTATTTTTCTTACTTTCCAATCCCTTGCCGAACACCATTTTTCACGAAAAATAAAAGTTGTTCAAATGGACTTATTAGCATTGCTCACCGCCTCTCTTCCCCTCGTACCCATGAACAAGCAAAGGGTGGTTGAGCGTAGTCATAGGCATATAGTTGAAACCGATTTAACATTATTAGCTCATGGATCTGTCCCTCAACAATACTGGCATTACGTATTCAAAACGGTGGTCTACCTCATTAATCGGATGTCGTCCAATGTCATTAATCGCATCTTCCCCTTTCAAATAGTTTACAATCACCCTTCGGATTATTCCTTTTCAAAAATTGTTGGATATTTCTCTTTTTCATATTTATGTCCTTATAACGCCCATAAGATGGATCTCCTCTCAGTTCCTTGTATTTTTTTCAGGATATGGCCCCTCTCACACAAGGTACCGCTGCCTTGACCCTATCACCAATCATTTATATATTATCAACATGTTTATTGCTATTGAAAATGTTTCCCTTTGCCACTCCTTCCATTCTTGGTCCATCGTCTAATTCATCACTTCCACATCCTATGCATAACTTGATACCATGGCTTCAGTCCCTATTGGCGTTCATCCTCCTACCACTATAGTGAGATCACAAACTCCTACACCGGCTCCCGCAATGTTGTCCAATACCGATTCATCCACCTCCCCTGCCTTAAGAACCAGATCTCTCTATGACATTTATCATCCCCCTCTCCATCGGCCTCTCCACCACCGCTTCCATCCCCAACTAGGCCAACACGCACCCACACCATACAACTTCACTCTTGTCCTCCTCAAATTAATACCTCCTCCACCACCCCCTCAACGAACCAACCTCATTCACCCAATTCAACAAAATTTTATGAGTGGAATGCAAGCATGACAAATGAATTTAATGCCTTGTTAAAAAATGGCATATGGTCTTTGGTTCCTCGCACTTCCTCTATAAATCTTGCTGGATGTAAGTGCGTTTATAGAATTTCGCACAAAGCAAATAGCAATCTTAAGCCCTATAAAGCTCGCCTAGTCGCTAAGGGTTTTCATTAGCAATAAGGTTTGGATTATACATAAACCTTCAACCCAGTTATGAAAATTACCACTATTCGCTCCATTTTATCTCTTGCTATCTCTCAAGAGTGGCAACTACGACAATCGGATGTGCACAATGCCTCCTTACACGGGGCTCTCTATGAAGAAGTGTACATGTAGCATCCTCCTGGGTTTGAGGACCCAACTTGTTGTGACTATATTTACAAGTTGTATCGTTCTCTATATGGTCTCAAATAGGCTCTGGAAACCTGCTTTCAACGATTTTCATAGTTTTTGCTTCAATTGAGATTCTTGGCATCACAAACAAATCCCTCATTGTTTATAAATTGAAGAGGCATTGATGTCATTTATTTTTTGATCTATCTTGATGACATTCTGGTTACAGGTAATCCATCTTCTACTATTAGTGCAATCTTATAGAAATTGTCTATAAAGTTCTCCAATAAGAATCTCGGCCCACTGCACTTCCTTGGGATAGAGGTTATCCCTCACTCTGAAGGGCTGCTTCTCTCTCAATGATGTTATGTTGATGATCTTCTTCACCGGGCTGGGATGTCTGAGTGCAAGCTTGTCCAAACTCCTATGGCCACGACTACAAAACCATTTGAGAAAGGGAGTGCTCTGATGTCTCATTTTACTCTATATCGGTCTATAGTTGGTGCCCTCCAATGGGTGACATTGACAAGACCAAATCTCTCCTTTGTCGTTAATAAAGCCTGCCAATTCATTCATGCACCAACTGAAGACCATTGAATGCATTTTGCACTATCTCAAACATATAAGGTTGTTTGGTTTGCTTCTTTCTCGATCCAATGATACTACTTGCAACATTTTCAATGTGGATTGGGCTGGTAGCTTTGATGACGGGAAGTTGATCGGAAGGTATGTTATTTTTCTTGGTCCTAACTTGATCCTTGCAGCTGTAGAAAACAACGAAGCGTAGCACGCTCTTCCACACAGTCAAAGTATAAAGCCATTACCGGTTGTGCAGTTGAACTCATCTAGCTTTAGTCACTCTTTCAAGAGCTAGGGTTCCCTCTTCAAGATCCTCCCATCCTTTGGTGCAATAATATTGGTGCCACTTATCTGTCTGCAAATTTAGTTTTCCATGATTATACCAAGCATGTTGAAATTGACTTCCACTTTATCTGTGATCATGTCACCAAATGACAGCTCAATATGCAATTTATCTCCACAACTGACCAACTAGCTGATAGTCTCACCAAAGTTCTTCCTACGGCACATTTTGAATTTTTATGAGACAAGTAGAAGATTCGCGTTCTCGACCCTTCCACTTGAGGGGTTGTATCAACCAAATATAGGGCTATCGACCTTGGAAGTTTTGGAACCATATCTTTGAAAGTTGGAAATTTTTCTATTTTATGTTTTTCTTTTATTGCAAGTAAATTTTCCAAAATTTGAAAAAAAAAAGGTTAAGACCCTCAAGTGAGCATCATACGAAAGTTATGGTATTGGTAGCATCCTTATACCCAACTTAATATGATCGAAGTGTGTTTTTAGTGCGAAGCATGAAAAGGTGAACAAGCACTTCAAGCTCGGCTACCTGGAATTACCGAAAACATCAATTGAATCTTTTTTTCTTCTTCCTTGGCCGGTCGCCGGTACCATCTAAGCTTAATGGAAATATACAACAATTTCGGTCTCAACACAAAATATGCGTGCACTACATAATGCTTCTAAAGATTGGTTCAGGGGATCCTTAAAACTTGCTATTCTCATGATTTCCCGTCAAATCTATGTTGAAATTACAAACTCAAGTTATTCGGTATCAGGAGCAACGAGATCTGGAGTTCTTACACATCCAATCTATACCAAGGAGTACGTGCTGAAAACCATTTTGATAACATGTGCAATCGCGCCAGCCATGGTGAATGAAAATGGGATGGGAGGTTGCTAAACAGTTTGCGCTGCGCTGAACGACGACAATTGTCTTTTTTTGGCTATGGTCTTGTCTATCGTCATAGAGAGCTCATCGTCCTTCCATTCTACTTGACCTCCACTTGCTTTCCTTTTTTGAAAAACTTTTGCACAGGTTGGGAGAATCCGAAGCCTCAAATCTAATTCACCAGCGTCGGAGAAGATGTTGAGCCCAGAGAATGCCGGCAACAGCCTCCGACAATGGCAGACTCCTGGGTCGTCACGACCTTCCTTGTCGACCCATCTGGCCCACCACCACAACATTTCAGCACCGCCGAGGCTCGAGGACTTGTCCTCAGAGACCCTCCACCACCGAGAGGATTCGTCTCTCACCAGTCACCACCCATATCCTTGACCGAAGCAAGAGTCGGTCATGGACCAGCCATCGGAAGGGTTGCCGGATCGTGTGCGGTGGTCGATGGCCGTGGACAAGGGATGTCCAAATGTGTTGTTTTGGTTTTCGGGCTAAGGACCTATAATAAATTTGAAATTATCCATTGTCAAGCATCATTTTCCCAAAATCTAATGTTATTCTTGACCTCAAACTCTGGAGCTTCAAGAACGGTTCTTCACAATAACACTCAGAAAATAAGGTGTAAGCATGAGTGAGTTCCAAATTTTAAAGGTATTATTTACAATAAGATCTTAAGTACAAATGAGAGAAGAAAAAAGAAGTAGAAGTCCTATTCGAGATTTATTAAATTGCTAAATTTGCAATTGTCGTGATTTACTCTGAATTTCACCTTCTCATGTGTAAATTTCTGCAACATACGATAGTTATATTTATGAGAATTTGCACTATTACAGGCATTATCAGATTTCGGAGGGCTCATTCTCTTTAAAAAAAGGAACCCACCCTTCTTCTCATTACATGATTTCGTTAAAAGTATGTCAAAATTGTTCCGCATTAATATAACAGAATCGTAAAATGATGTTATCATGGTCGATTGTATAGTAACTAGAAAATAGCACATATCACAAAAGGACAATTTGATTTACAAAAATTAATTCCTATCTAATTTTTTTTACAAATACGTACTTTTAATCGAGTATAACACGCCGTGTGTCTTTTACTTGTATAATTCGGTTCACTCCAAAATCAAGAGTATTTTTCCAAAAGTTGAGTTGAGAATCGTGATGAAAAAGAAGAAGCTTAATCCTAAATTGTAATCCTAATATAGTCTAATACCCCTTTCAAACTTAAGTTGGCTTGGAAAAAGTCAACTGGAGTTAGGTCCAAAAAATATCCAAGGATTTGTCTTGATAAAAATATTAGTAGCCTGGTTCGATTTCAATGCGTTTGGTGTGCTCATGAAAAACATTAGGGTTAATATCACGAAAAACCCCAAACTAGTATATATGTGACAAATTTACTTCAAACTAATTTTTTGCCCAAAAAAAATCCTAAATTGGTATATCTATGATAATTTTACCCTCCGTTAGTTCCGGTTAAATTTTACCGTTCAATTTCTAAGTTGGATGACACGTGACAGTTGACAGGTGTATCGGTTTGGGGTTTACCCTCCGTTTGTCACAGGTGTAACAGTTTTTTATTTTTCATCGTATTAATTCAATTTAACGAAGGGTAAATTTGTCATAAATGTACCAATTTGGGGTTTTTAGTGGTCAAAAAATTAGTTTTGGGTAAATTTGTCACAAATGTACCGGTTTAGGATTTTTCATGATGAAAAAATTAATTCGGAGTAAATTTATCACATTTGTACCAGTTTGGGATTTTTCGTGGTATTAGCCCAAAACATTATTATGTGCTATTTGGATAGCGGTTCCATTATTGTAGTGACTGACTGTTTCACTATTATGACGTACTCTTATGTCTTCTCAAAAGTTTAAACTGATAGGTGAAGAGAGACCACATGGCTAAGAGCATATAAACCCCATTGCAGGCGATGTGGGATACTTCAACACTCCCTCTCGCATGCAAGTTGAGTTGGATTAGGATTGACATGTGGAATTTGAATAACATGGTAAATGCATACACGAAAGAGGCAGAACCTGCCTATGATACAAAGTTGAGAATCGCGATGAAAGAGAGAGGAAATGTGATATTGCGTACATTCAAAAATGAAGAATACAATACCCCCACATGTAAAGTGAGAATATATACAATTAAACTTAACTTAAAAAGTAACTTTAAAATAGAAACAAGTTGGATAAATATGCGGAAGATGGAAGTTTTTTTTGAAAATCACGTATGCACGCATACTTTGTATAATAGCACAAGTATTTTGCTAATCGATATTTCAATAGACCGCAATCCAAGATAACACGTAGACGACAACATAGTGAAAGAGCAATTGGGTTTTTGTTCGTTAACGTTTACCATATAATGGTACGAAGGCCGATTCACAAAATGATACGATAGATCCTTACGGAATGCTTGCGACTTACCAAATCGCTTTATACATCGGTTCTTGTGGTCTTGGCGGTTAAGCCCATAGCATGTTGCTTCTTCCTTCTATTAGTTTCATGTCAACGACCAAGGAGCGTTCGCACGATTCTTGTTGTTGTGAAGGCTACGCAAAGCCAAAACAGGGCAAGTTGGGGGAGCGTCGAAGGCCGCCGGCTTGCGTGCCAAAGCAGAAAGGGCCTCCGTCTCAAGACTTGCGGCGAGTGCTTCTCAGGATGGACCCCGGAAGCGGAGTTGACCAATTTCAACCACGTTGCACACGTTCTACCCTTTTCTTTTCATTCTCTACGGCACAGAACCTCTCGCTTCAACGTGCCATTTCCATCACACACGCACAAGCACACGCATCATCGCCATTTCCCTGTATGGCCGTCGCGATTTTCCAGTGACCCGGAGTCGGACCAGAGCTGGTAGTAACTCCCCGCTTTATAAGCAATTGAAGGTTACACTAGACTGGCTTCCTTTCCGATCGCAGATTCATATGGTCCGGCTGCAATCTTGCCGAACAAGTTCCAGTCCTTGACTAGAGACTAGGGCTGTCCTTTTCCGATGTGCCCGCAAATGGCGGATGCTTCTTAATTTCGAAAAACTTATTCTGGGTATACAAATAATCGACAACTCGCTGGAAACTTTACTGGATTGATTTTTACTCCAATATGCAGATACAGATATGATAGCTGAAAAGGACGAGGCTTGGAGTGCTGGAAGGGGTAGATATTAATAAAATGAATGCTTTCTCCAAGAGAAGTATTCAACCGTATATACAATATACCGGTCTCTGCAGGTTCCAGTGTTCCACCTAGTTTTGGAATACAATACTGCAATTTGCAACTAGCAAGTGGTAATAAACTTATGCTAAAATAATCTCCTGATTGACGCCTCCAATCTCTTAAAAAATGGGCAGTCTAATTTCTAAATAAGCTTTACATTGCGTATTTGCAAGAACTTGGGTGGTTAATTTTGGGATTAATCCCATCCCTTGATGATACCTATGCAAATAATACTGTAATGTATGTAAAGTAAAAGATTTTTCAATACCGTATAAAGTGGCGCGGAAGAAAAATCACGTCTCCAGCCGATTCTACTTGATGTCTTACCAGACAAGCCACACTCACAAGGTCTGTCCTTCTTCGGGCCCGGGTCATCTAGTCGGGGTCAGCCACATTTTCGTGAAGATAGATATAGAACTTCACTAAGTGTGTCAATTGACACAATAATGAGTCCAATGGTGTTATCATACTATTCTCACTGGGGCGATTTTCTTTTGCATTTTTCTGTTATTAAGCTATATAATCTCGGCCAATCGTGTAAATAAAACCTTTTACACGTACGGCATTGTAGAGGAAATACTCACACCTTAACAAAGAATGGAAAAAACAAACAGACGTGCTATTGTTTGAATTCTATGTGAGAAATAAGTCCGTTTCCCATCGTCCGCGTATGAAACAAGAGTCAAATACTCTAAATTATAACTCAAATCAAGCTTATTGGTCTCTTTTAAACCTTATTAAGGTCATTTCCAAAAGTCAAAACGATGTAGATAGGGGAAATTTGACTTGCAATGCTAAAAAGGACCTCAGGAAGACTTGACGGGAAATCAAAGTACTTCATAGCCCGCACTTGATTGCGTCAAAGATGCAATGGATCTTTTGCAACATTCCTAGTTTATATAAAAGGAAACCAAAGCCGAGACCCAATACCCACCAAGTAACCCAACCTCACACAACAAGCTTAACCGCTTGAGATACAGTCAAGAAAATGGCTAAACTAACGGCACGGTTGGCCATGTTCTTGGTCCTCCTCCTCTTCGTCGTCGCAGCCGATGCAGCCCCGGCCAAGAAAGTGCAGTGCACGGACCCTGGATTTCCGAATTGCGTTTCCGATGGCATCTTCTCCTGTCCCTCCGGATGCCCTCAAACCTGTACCATGAACTGCAACATCTGCGCCCCCGTCTGTCCGAGGAGCCCGCCTCCGCCGGCATCGCCGCCGCCGCCGCCCAGGAAGAGATCGCCTCCCCCGCCCAGGAGGAAATCGTCGCCACCCCCTCCGCCCCATCACACCCATCCGTCGCCGCCGCCCCCTCCCTCGGGAGTAGTTTCGGGACAACAGAGAGCGAGGTGCAAGAACAAGAACTACCCCCTGTGCTATGGAATTGAATTGCCTTGTCCTGATGGCTGCCCCTCTCAGTGCGAAGTGGACTGTACCATCTGCACACCTGTTTGCAGTAAGCTTTTCTTTGCCCGTTTGGATCCATCATCATTTATAAAAGAACGTTCTAATTCTTACACAATCAGACTGGGAAACTCTGGTAAAGTTCATAAATGTTCAAGATATTTCTTTCATTTGGCATGCAATTCAGTGTTCTATATATAAATGACTACGATCATTTGATTTTATTAAGCTGAATCTGTTAGCCTATAGTTTTAGATAATAATTATTGTTCTTAGTTTCATCACTCTTCATTTAGATGGTCTAGGGCAATGGCACGTCGCAAAATGTCAAATATATTGTTATGCGGTCTATTGTAATGGATTTAAAACTGAGACTTTAATGTCGTTGTTCGCGTTCAAACGTGATCAGGTTGCGACCGGCCAGGTGCAGTCTGTCAAGACCCGAGATTCATTGGCGGCGACGGCATAACCTTCTTCTTTCACGGCAAGAAGGACCGGGACTTTTGCCTGGTTTCTGACTCCAACATGCACATCAACGCTCACTTCATCGGAAGACGAAACCAGGACATGAAGAGAGACTTCACATGGGTCCAATCTCTGGGAATGCTCTTTGGCACGCACCAGCTCTTCATCGGCGCCAAGAAGACAACAACCTGGGACGACTCCGTGGACCGCCTATCCATTGCCCTCAATGGACAGAGCGTCTACCTCCCCGAAGCTGAGGGCGAGAAATGGCAATCCACATCATCGGACGTATCCATCACGAGATCGCGGGACACCAATGCCGTGGAAATAGAAGCGAAAGGGAACTTCAAGATTAAAGCAGTTGTGGTGCCGATCACCGAGAGAGATTCGCTGATACATAACTACGGCATTACACAAGAGAATTGCTTTGCACATCTGGACCTGAGCTTCAAGTTCTACTCGCTTAGCGCGGATGTTACCGGTGTTTTGGGCCAGACTTATGCCAAGAACTATGTGAGCAGGGCCAAGATGGGAGTCACTATGCCGGTTTTGGGCGGCGAGCGGGAATTCGCTTCCTCGGGTATCTTTGCAACTGACTGTGCTGCCGCCCGGTTCGTCGGCGAGCTGACCCCAAGCGACTCAACCAAGAATTTCAACTACGGGGATCTTAACTGCTCCAGCGGGGAAGATGGCCCTGGCGTCGTTTGCAAAAGGTAGAGAGATCTTCGCATCTCAATAAGGGAACCACCATGAAGCTCAAGTACTTTTTACATTTGATATTTGATGCATGCAATAAAGGTCAGAGCCGAAGCAGTGATATTTGCGTCTGACCAGTTTCATATGGTCTTCTTGTATTTACTCTTTACGTGAATAACAGACAATATTCAATAAACGTGATTACTGAGGAAGAATTGTCCTTTAAGTGAAGCAGGATATAAGTTAAGCTCCGCTAATCAATGTTCTGAACAGTTCTCTCTATAATATTTTTCTTTCGTTCATTTTTGTATGCGAAACAAGAAATTATTTTTAAGAAAATATTTTTCACATTATTTATTTTTTGTGAAATAAACGGAGCCTAAATGACAAAATGAAAAATAAATAAAGGGAGTTTTACTATAAGTTGCTGTTAGAAAGTTCAATTCAAAACTTTAAAGGACATATTTGTTTAAACTTAAATAAAGATGAAAGTTACTCTTTTTTTCTTCCATGTTAATATTCTAAGATTATTTTCAAATTCTAGAAAATCGTTAGAAGAAATTGTATATCAATTTATGTGTTGAAATATTATCGTACATCGCTTGATAACGGGTCCTATTTACTCTTTATATCCATATGGTTTCCCTTCACATATCAACATAAACTTATGAGTTGAATTTCTTGACTCTGTATGAAATAAGTCGCTATTAAGTGAAAGGATATTACATGTATAAAAGGCCTATATGAACTCATAGACAGGCAATGCATCCAAAAATTTAAATTATTAGATGGAGTTCGATATAAGCACCGCAAATAAATGATATTTAACAGATGATATTATTTTATTTAGCCCATTTGTCATGCTACTAATAAAAATACCTTGCAACTCGCATCAAGGGTTAAAAAAGCATCAATTTATATTTAATGATCGTGGTGCTCTTCTCTTTCCGCGTGAGTCCAAATCGTTGATTAAGTTGTATTTATCATATACCGTATTTGAGGGAAAAAAACCGATTTGACTAAAATATAAAGGAAAATTATAGGATCTTATTCTTGAAAAATCATGTGCTAAACACGAGCCAACGAAAAAAATGCATAAGAAAAGTCGTTTTTCCAATCTAAGCTTGATGTTTTTGATCCATGGAAAATGTTTTCGTACATTGATTTAATTGAACTGAAAAATCGAAAAACAAATTTTGAAAACATAATTTTGAAGGGATCCTAAGAGCGTGCATAATAGTCATTATGTTTCTTTATTTATTTTTTGTTTTCAAAAACAGGTTTGGAATAAAAATCCGTTTGGTAATGCAATTTCATTTTTTCTATTTCTGGAACAAATTTTTAGTATAAAAATAGGTTTGGAATTAGAATGAAAAGTAAAAGTTTTCTATTTTTCTATTTCTATAACAAAAAGAGAAATAAAAACTTTTCTCGTTGCTTGCCCTCGTTCCCACCATTCGCCACTCGTCGGCTGCTGCTAAACCTGTTAAACGGGTGGGTCGGGTCGGGTTTGGGTCGGGTCATAAATGGTCCGACCCAAATTGACCCATTAACCCGTTTATGACCAATTCATTCTTAGTGTAAATATCTCAACCCATACCCGACCCGATCCATACCCAACCCATACCCGACCCGACCCATATTACTAAAACACTTTTATATTTAACCTAATCTAGGAATACTTGTTTCTTATGATTTTTTTTTTAAAAATTATACTGCTAAAATATTTTATGCAATACAAAGCTAGTGAAAAAATTTTATAATTTTTTTTAAAATTGAGGTTCTGTTTGTTTTACGAAAAATGCGAAATTTCTAGAAAATATTTTTCATAAAGTCATTATCCAAGAAAATAAAAAAAATTAATATTTTTTTATTTTTTAAATCGAATTTTTAATTTTTTTATTTTTAATTTTTTCTTTTTCCTTTATTTTTGGCCGATCGCCGGCGACCAACCACAGGCGAGGCCGAGGCCTCGCCGGCCTCAGGCGAGGCTCCAACCTCGCCGGCCTCAGGCGAGGCTCCAGCCTCGCCGATCTGGCGAGACTCGAGCTCGCCGGCCTCGGGCGAGCTCTACCTTGTCGGATCTAGCGAGGTGGAGCCTCGGCCGAGGCCGGCGAGCTCGAGTCTCGCCAGATCGGCGAGGTTGGAGCCTCGCCGGGATCAGGAGAGCCTCGAGGTCGCCGGAATCGGGCGAGCTCGAGGCTCGCCAGATCGGTGAGGCTCGAGCCTCGCCGGAGGCCGGCGAGCTCGAGCTTCGCCGGCCTCCGGCGAGGTCGTCCCCCCCCGGTGGCCGGTCGCCGTGGCCGACCACCGGCCGGAATAAAAAAAAAGAAAAAGAAAGAAGAGAAAAGAAAAAAGAAAAAAGAAAAAATAAAAGAAAAAGAGAAAAAATAAAAATAATTAAATTTCGATTTTTTTTAAACATCTTTATAAAGAGAAAGAGAGTGTGTGGATGGGTTTAGTAGGTGGGTTGGACATGGGTTCCAAACTCAACCCATTTAGATCCATTTATCTTTAAGCTTTAAAATTTAAAACTCATTTAAGGTTGACTCTTTAAAATTAAATGATCCATATATGACCCATTTATTTTTAAATGGGTCATATATGAGTTTAAGACCCATTTTGACACCTCTAGCTGCTGCCACCCTTGCGGTTGCTCGCTAGCTGCTCGCCGACTACCACCTCCTACCGCCCCCTGCCTCCTGCTGTCGATCGCCTATCGATCACTGGCTGTCGCCAACCCCGGTGGCCGTCGCCAACCCCGGTGGCCGTCGCCTCTCGTCGCCACCCGATGTCACCGGCTGCCCCCTGCCGCCGGCCGCCGCCTCCCGTCGCCGCTTGACGTCGCCTGCTATTGGGCGCTGGTGAATGGAAAAAAGTGTAAGAGGAAAAATTTTGTGTCGTTATTAAACAAATTTCAATTTTTATTTCAGGAAGAGAAATTTTATGTTGTAATTAAACATGTATCTCTTTTCAGAAACTCGTAGAAGGAACAGAAATAGGAAAAAGCAAAATTTTATTTCTGAAACTTATCATTTGCGCCGTATGTATCTCCCGTTCTCAATAGAATCAATATACTTTCAATATATCGATGAAATGAGCATTTCTTTTTTGTTAGAGTGACGCGGCCACTCGTAGACAATAGTGATCATCTTCCTCTCCCTCCGGCAAGGGTTTCGAAATGAGTTTCTTCTTCTTCTTCTTCCTTGAACGACAGAACGCCACACGCGTCCGGCAGGCCTGCTCGAGGTCGCAAATCGTAAAGCTGACGAGCGGGTTCCGGTGACCCCCTGGTATCGGACAACCTCCCACTGTTCTCACTCGGGTGGGTGCTCCAAGTTCACGCTCCGTCTCACCAATTCCAATGGCTTCTCATGGCCATCTTGACGAGGCGAGTCGTCACGCTGCTCATGTATGCTTGCACGGCTTTACTGGGTCGACATTGTAACGGTTCGTTTCCCACTGTAGGACGACGATTTTGGGGGAGACTTTTCTGGGGCTCATAATGCTAGGCGTTCGGGTCTTTCTTTCTTCGCACTGATTTTTCTTTGTCCTTCTCTTTGCTTTACGCGAAGTTTATGCTGACTTTGGTGGTGATTCTCTGTCGTTTCAGGGAATAAGAGGGCTTTTGGGGACATTGAGGACGATGAAGACGATCTCTTTGGATCCAAGAAGGTACCCAGAGTGTCGAGCAGACACTCCATTTTGTTCAATTTTGGACTGTCTGTCGGCATTACACATGCTCGTAATTTGTATGGCATTCAATCATTACTTATATGGGTGCCAGGCATATGTTGTAGTTCTTGAAGGCCTGTGCGTTTGTTGGTGATCGGACAATTCGAGCGCTTCAATTGTTGGCCGAAAATTACTCCAATATAAACTAGTCAATTTTATTCTGTCGGAAGGAGAAGAGGTTGCGTTTCCGCTCAAGCACGAGCGTACACGGTCACATGTTGTTTGCCACCAAGTGCTCCTTGCAGGATATTTATCTTTGCAGTTGTTTAGCTCTCTCGTTCTTCGGTTCTGTTCTTGTATGCAACAACGTGGAGCCTTTTTCCATTGTTTCCCTACTCAAGTCGTTGACTTAAAGGCCGTTTTAAGTTCAACAGTTTACAGTGTGTTTTAGTTTTATCGTGTGTAGTGCTTGTAATCAAACTGAAGATGCCCAGCATCTTACGCTATTTGTTGTAATTCTTGGAAGTTTATTTTGGCCTTGCTTCACATATAAGTCTGCTGTTTTAGTTTCATTTTCCTTCCAGCCTTTAATGCTTAAAGAGCCCCTTCTTTTTCTTATTTTTGATGCATGGAAATTTATTCTCTCTTAGTTTCTTGCTACAGGGTAATACAAAAGCCGAAGAAAATGCTCCTGGTGCAGCTACAGGAATGATCTTGTCACTTCGTGAGAGGTAATTAAGAACTTTAAATTCTTGCTCTATGCTTTTTTGGATAATTAATGGTCATGTACATTTGGCACGCTTCCAACATTTGGGCAACCTGTTCAGCTTGAAATCTCATGAGTTTTTTATATTCCTTTTGCAGTCTTCAGACCTGTAAGGATACTCTAACGACATGCCAAGTATGTATTCGGCGATAGGTGTTGTCATCTTATCCTTTGTCATGTCTTTTTGAACAATATAAGCAAGTGCAACTGTGGTTTAGTTGCTAATGTTTCCTTGTGCAAGAAGCATGTTGATCATGAAGCTTTAACATTGACGAGTGCTGCGTTGGAGATGCTAGAGTCAAGGTTGTTAAAATTGGGATTTAAGTAGAATCACTAAGAAGTCCATAAAATCGGATCGTGAAATCATAAGATTTTAACGGCCGCTGAAAATAACTTAGAAAAACATCATCCCCCAATAAGTAGTGACCCCAACAAAAGACCATAATGCAAGATCAATTGATACAAGTCCAGTAAGCTACAAGCCTCATGCAAATACAAATTTACTCGTCTATAGTGTCTAGTGTTCAAGTGTGAAAGCAGGGTGAACAAAGACAATAGATGCAAATCTAATTGCAGTTGACAATCCATTTTAACAACAAAAGCCACAAACCCATTACTATTAAATAATTCTAGAATAAATTTTCTGTAGCTTTTACCACATCTTCATGAAGGCTACAGTCATTTCTGTCGTCACTATCATCCTCATCAAATTCGTTATCGGATCCCTTGTCATTGCTGTCGTTGGTACTCTCAACGAAATTATTTTCATTGCTATCCAACTCTATATCTCTTGAAGCTTGAAATGGTTCCAAATCATCTTGAACGTCACCCACTATATGGAATTAGGTGCAGTTAACATGGTCTGTCATTGGAAAATGCTATAGCCTTTTCATCATTCAGCCAGAAAGGGATGTAATTATCTTTCCTAAAACCTTGTTAGCCTAATGGAGCTGATAGGTATAGAATTTAACTTGATTAAGAAAGTTTTAAGGAATAAAGATGGCTTTACACTGTAAAACATTCAGTGCGATTGCTTCCGTAATGATTCAGGGAATTGTGGAGTCTAGGGCAGTAGTCATGTTGAGGCAACTTGATTCAAGTGTGATGTTTGAATTGAGCTCCATCTCGCTTTAGTTTCATATAATGAGGCAATCAGCATGCCCAAGCTCGACCATTTTATCTATGATAAATTTAAGTTGGGTTAAGCTTAAACTTGAAGTTGAGTTCTCAATGTTCAACAGACCTGAAAAAGAGTTTGCTTATGTTTTTGATGTTGCATGCACTTTTGTGATCTTTGTGCTATTCTTTTATATATTCGTATCTGAAACTATATGGGTTTTTTTTACCCTGTCGAGTTTTTCAGACAGAACTTGAAGCTGCAAAATCTGAGATTCAGAAGTGGCATTCTTCATTCCAAAATGAGTCCTTCATACCTTCTGGAACATCTCCTGGTTAGTCTTCTGTTTATTTGGATATTTAATTATTGGAAGTTGTTATATGACATGAGCATGAGAGAGTTAACTCAAATTATTCCTGTATATATTCTGATATTCTCCTCTTCCTTGCAGAACCCAAGGTGATAATCAACTACCTTCAGACGCTTAGATCTTCAGAAGAGGCATTGAGAGAGCAGGTTGGTTCTCTGGCAGTATGTTTCTCTTTCCCTTTGTTCTATTTTGCGATCAGAAGTTTTTTTTTTTTTTTTTGGTAAGAAGCAATCAGAAGTTATTTATCATCTGTTTTTTCAATTTTTCTATATTAGCTGGAAAAGGCAAAGAAAAAGGAAGCAGCTTTTATAGTAACATTCGCAAAGCGGGAGCAGGAGATAGCTGAGTTAAAGGTGAATCTTTTGTCGTGGTTATGGAGTATATTAGAATGGTTTGTAAGTGTAGTGTTGTTTCATCCCCTATCACCTCGTTTTACAAATATACTGATTATCATTAATTATAGGCACTTAAGTGAAAAGTAGATGAGAACCAACTGTATGTGATTGTGGCTGCATTCATACTCCAGTTACCAAGATGGATTGTTTCAATTGATTTTCTTCCTGCATTCATATTGCGTGTGGATTCTGTAATTGTAGTTATAACCTATACAAAATATTTTGTAGACCTTAAAGTACTTAATGAGAAAGCAATAGGTATTATAGACTTTTAGTGACAAAAAGAAAGTTTTCCCACAAATAGGAAGAGCAAATAGGCAACACGATTTAAGGGTCTCTTTCATAAAGTAAGCTGGGAGTCTTGTGATGTTTGCTGATTAGCTGTTTAAAATTGCTTCAAATTTCTACGTTTGACTGACGCAAGATTTACCCTTTATTGCAGTCTGCTGTTCGAGACTTAAAAGCACAACTCAAGCCACCATCTATGCAGGTAAGGCAGAATATATTTTGCTCCTTGAACATATGTTTCTATGGTATGGCAACGAGTGAATGCATGTGAATTATCAATCACCGGTGTAACTTGAGTATGATTTCTCTCAGAATGAAGTCTACTTTTTAAGAGAGTGCTTTCAATATTTCCGGCTTAGGCATGAATCTCTAATTTTTGGTGACAAACCATACATTTTTTAGTGTTTACCCTATCTGTAAATCTACTTGAATGATGATTTTTGGGTTGGACTGGAACAGCTCAGGCTGTAAACACTGTGTTTTGATATTGTGGATTCAGTTGATGATACTACAATCTTCCTGATTTTATTACTTTTTTTTGGACGGATCCGGATGTTATTACTTGGCCAGTTAATTTTCTTGCATTTACTTGCCATGGTAGAATTAGTATGTTTTTATCAAGGATTTCCGGCATGTAGATAGGGGTTACACCTTTATTTCGGTCAAAATCTGGATTGGCTGGCTCTTGCTGTGGAATATATTTTCTCAATTTGATTGGTGGCTTGGAGGGAACAACTTTTCTGCTTCAGTTTGGTAATCCTTAAAAGTGATCAAGTTTTGAGCCACTAATGTGTGCCAGTTATTATTCTGGTGTTGGCATCTTAAATTTTGATTGTTCATATTTCTTTGTTGACAGGCAAGGCGGTTGTTGTTAGATCCAGCAATTCATGAAGAGTTTTCCCGGTTAAAGGTCTGTAGTTAACTTTTTCATTTAACTTTTATGGACGTTGTATTAGTCAAAGCATCATGTCAACAAATGCCTTAGGGCAAAAGACACTAATTGGGAAAACTTGGCGATGTATGTAACTGGGAAAATACCCACCCTGCATAGGTAAGTTCACATTCCATGGCACATTTAATGATTCTGCAAAGTGCCTGAAGACACTTCTTATTATTTTTTCTTAGTACAAGAATCCTTTGTTTTTGGTGCCATGGGGATGAAACTTAATTCTAGAAATTTTTAAAGTCCTTTGATGAGAAACTTTCAATAATTGGAGAGGAGTCCATCTGTTTCTTTTATGTGGAGATCTGTTTTCTGCTCTTTGCTAGAACTTTTCTGATTGTCCTAAAAATTTACAAGACATTTGGTTTTCTTGATTTTAGGATTCCTCATAGTAGGAGATACTCTCTATAAAGCCAAAAGTGAACTTAATGAAACTATTTTGCGTGTGCAAGTTCTTAATGTTTGCTTATATTTTCTTTTTAATATGTGAAAAAAAAAAGAATTACGTTAAGTACATTGCCAGTATCAACACCTCAGTTTTCATGGTCTTGGACTGGCTGATTTCACGGCATTAACATTTTCTGCTTTTGTAGCTCCACTTTTCATGCATTGCCCTACGTTGGCTTCTTGCATATGCCATATGCTATATGAATATCCATGTTGACCCCACATATGACTTTGATAATTCTGTCCTTGGTGTGGATTCCAGAGGGGATACCTATTCAGTGCGAATGCTTCTAAGATTTGAATGTTGTTCTAATGCTAGAACTTGGTAGAGGAGAAGGACAAGAGGGTGAAGGAGTTGCAGGATAATATTGCGGCTGTTAGTTTCACGCCACAGAGCAAGATGGGTAAGATGCTCATGGCTAAATGCAGGACCCTACAAGAGGAAAATGAGGAGATCGGGAATCAAGCAGCTGAGGGAAAGGTTCTGCTATATGCATCATGATATCCTGCAAATTTCAATTAGATCCTTGTATTTACGTTCTTGATTTGTATGCTTTGTACGACAGAGAGGAGACACCCATTACTAATTATTGTCTTATGAGTAAGATTAAAATAGTGCTCGTCCACAAAAAGTTATGCGTGTAGGAGTTCTGTTAAAATTTATCTCGAGAATGGGATGGTTTGGGCTGATTCACTTGTTTGTCCACTGTTATCTGGTTTGCAGATGCATGAATTAGCAATGAAACTGGCTTTACAAAAGTCACAGAATGCAGAGCTGCTGAGCCAATTTGAAGGTTTGAACGTGGCTCATCCAGTCTCTTTGAATTTGTACTGCTCCTTTTACCACTTTTTTAGCAGAAGAGAACCTTTACATGTCAATGCCGCAACCGAAGGTTACTTTTTCATAAATGGACATTGAATGAATGTAGAAATGGCATTTGCACGAACAGTGTCAGTTTTGTCTTTGAAGGAATTCAAATGTATATGTGTATCGCTATTTAGACAATATGTAGGTTTCTTTTTTCTGTTATGTTCGATTTTCCTTCGAGGGTCTTAGATTAGCTACTAGCTCGCTGAGTTCATATTGTGGGTTGTTGCATGCAGGATTATATAAACACATGGAAGGGCTCACAAATGATGTTGAAAAGCCAAATGAAATGGTGTTCTCTCTCTCTCTCTCTCTCTCTCTCTCTCTCTCTCTGATTCCCGTTGCCAGATAACGAGAGATTGATAACCGAGCTCTTGCAAACATAGGTGCTCATCTTGCAAGAGAAGCTGGAAGAGAAGGATCAGGAGCTGAGAAGATTGAAGAATGAGCGGCAGCAGAAAAATATGCCTGATGCGATGAGCAATAAAGCTCCTATTAAGGAGGAGAATCAAGGTCTTGGTGACTGAGTGGGAATCAAAGAAGTAAATATCATAGGACTGTCGTTTATCCTCAGTCGTCTTGTTTGTACATTATTATCATTATTTTTTTCGTTTATGTGCTCTTCACTATCTCATGAACGATTTTGGAAGTTTGATCGGCTTTGTTGGACTACATGGTCAAGTCCACTGGGTTTTGTAGCATCTGAGGGACTAGAATGTTCAACGTGGTGTTTCTCCTTCTTGATTTGTTTCGATAAACAAGGGATAAATAACATTAAGAAGGTACGGTTACATTACAGGTGTATGCTCCACTCAAGATTCTTGCGAACAACAGAGGAAATGCACACCGAGAAAGATAAGATTGAACACAGCACTCGAGTCTCGTGCATGTAGAGCAGCCTTTTTTTTATATTGAAAGCAGCACAGAAAATTTGCCTCGCAATAAGTAAGTTGCAACTGGCAAGTCCAGTTTCGATGATAAAGGTTCAGACAATCTCGGATAAGCGACAGAAGGGGATGCCAATGATCGACGGAAGAGCAGAGTGGCATGAAACTCACAAATTACTCGATGGTTCGAGGTCCGTAAAGTCCTCGTGGGGCAACTGACTTAGCAATGACACGAGTACCAACCAAGAGGAACAACAAACCCGGATGACCATTAACCCTCAATGCCGAGCGGAATTGAAAGGTCTCGGCATAACTCCTCAAAGCTGGAGCACTCAAACTTGTCTGGTCGCTTATGAACGGTCAATTAGGGCCCGTTTGGTAACGTGCCAAACAGTGAAAATTTCTGTTCTTTTGTTCCCAGAAATAGTTTGGGAATAGAAATGCGTTTGATAAACTTTTTATTCCCGGGCACATTTTTGCAAAAATTTGTGCCTAGAAACAGTTTTGGAAGAGAAACAATAAGTAAAAAAAAGTTGCTTCTTATTTCTCGGCACAATTTTGAGAATCAGTTTTTTTTCTTCTTTTTCTTTTTTTTCTTTTCTTCTTTGTGTTGCTCTTTCCTGGGTTGTGGCCGGTCGCCGGTGGCCGGCCGCCGATCGCTGGCGACCGGCCATGGCCAAAGAAGAAAAAGGGTAGAAAGAAAAAAAAAATTTAACAATTCAAAATATTATTAAAATATTATTAATAAAAAGAAATTTTGCGTAGTTACCAAACGCATTTTTGTTCTTTTCTACTCTAGAAATAGAAATTTTGGATAGTTTATCAAACGCCTTCAAATGCTCAAAAATTGTTTCCGGGCACAGAATAAAAAAAAATCATTTCTGTTCAGAAATAGTTCACGGGCACAGAATGGTATTCATGCGCACCCTTAGCTGGAAATGGCAAGTTCTGCTTTGGTTGGTGCCTGTGAGCCCATTCAATTTTGAGAATTATACTTTGTGATGGTTGAGATGGAGTGGGCTCACATGCATCGGACCATGCAAGACTCTTTTTCACCGGACTAGCATGGTCCATAATTAAACTAAGTTTAACCAAATCCAACAACTTTTTATCATGTCCTATTCATGACAATGTCGGGTATGGGCACACCTAGTGTTTCCCAGACTGATGGTCATCCTCCTCGTCCTCTTAGTGATCCAAATAAGGGACCTCTATTTCAAGACTTGCGGCGAGTACTTCTCGGGAGAGAATATTGAAATGGAGTTGACAGAAAAGGAAAACACTCCCCATAGAAACCTATCTTTAATCCCGTTGCAGACTTGCTTTACCTGTTTCCTCTCTTTGGCACCAAATACTCGTGGCTTTCACAAATACGCCAGATTCCATCTCGCACCTATCATTGCCATTTCATTTCATGTCTTTCTGAGAATTGGATTTTCATGATTTTTTTTCTTTATTGACTGCGTACGAAATTTAAGTCCAATTACAATACTCTAGATTTTAAACTTAAACCAAGTTTACTGATCTCTTTACTCTTTAGCCTAGTGTTTCCAAAAGTCAAACAATAGAGGGAGGGGAGGGCATTTGACTTGCAATGCTAAAAGGGACCCCATAAAGACTCGAGACGAAATCAAAGTACCCCGAACTCCACGATCAATTGCCTCAGAAAGCAATGTCAATGGATCTTTTTTGGACATTCCTAGCTGCACTATAAAGGGAAACCGAAGCAAGAGCCAATACTCACCAAATAACCCAAACACCCAACAAGCCAAACCGTTTTAGAATGGCAAAACTAATGGCTCGGTTAGGCGTGTTCTTGGTCCTCCTCCTCTTCGTTGTCGCGGGAGAGGCCATCCCGGCCAAGCGAGTGAAGTGCACGGACAGTAAATATCCGGGTTGCATTGCCAACGGCTACTATAGTTGTCCCTCCGGATGTCCTCAAACTTGTACCATGAACTGCGAGCCATGCGCCGTGGTTTGTCTGAGGACCCCAACACCGCCAGCATCGCCTCTGCCGCCCAAGAAATCGCCCTCCACTGCCGCCCAAGAAATCACCCCCTCCATCACTGCCCAAGAAATTGCTGCCGCCCAAGAAGTCGGCTCCCCTTGCCAAAGCCGCCCTATTACTCCCCTCCGCCACCACCACCACCGCCCCCTTCTGGAGAAGTTTCGGGACAGGAGAGTGTGGTGCAAGAACAACAAGTACCCTCATTGCCATCGCCTTGAGTTCACTTGCCCTGCTAGTTGCCCCACTCAGTGTGAAGTGGATTGTGTTACCTGCAGCCCTGTTTGCAGTAAGTCTTGCCCATTGAAATCCATCAAATCAGCAAATCTCTGGTATTGCAACTTATAGTGACATACATGTCTTGGATCATTTGTTTCTACTATAACTTGAATTTGAATCTGTTAGTCTATAATCGTATGCCAAATTTTGTCAGCGTGTCATTTTACCTGTGTCATGATTCACCCTGCCAACGGCATAAAAAAAAGTTTATGCATATACTCTAGGGCAACGGCATGCCACATATGTCAATGAATAATACTTCTTTTATGTGCCATGAGCATGAGAAATCTTTCTGTTGAGAGTTTGGTTTGTTTCCTTAATGTACGAGGGTGCACTACTGCGCTCAAGATACTAAGGTTATTAGATACCACAAGCATTTACCATATCATTCCATTGCAACAATTTTCTTTTGGCCGGTTGTTCAATGTGTAAGATTATTACTCTGATATACTGAGAATTTAACGTTGCTGAACGTGTGCAAACGTGATTAGTTTGCGACCAAGCAGGCGGTGTCTGTCAAGACCCTAGATTCATTGGCGGTGACGGTATAACCTTCTACTTCCATGGCAAAAAGGACCGGGACTTTTGCCTGGTTTCCGACTCCACCATCCCCATCAACGCTCACTTCATCGGAAGAAGAAACCAAGATAAGAAGAGAGACTTCACATGGGTTCAATCTCTGGGAATCCTCTTCGACGTGCACCGGCTCTTCATCGGCGCCAAGAAGACGTCAATTTAGGACAACTCTGTGGACCGCCTATCCATCGCCTTTGATGGACGGAGCGTCTATCTCCCTGAAGCCAAGGGCGCGAAGTGGCACTCTGAATCGTCGCCCGACGTATCCATCATCGAAGCAAAAGGGAACTTCAAGATCAAAGCCATTGTGGTGCCGATTACCGAGAAAGACTCGTTCATACATAACTATGGCATTACACAGGAGGATTGCTATGCACATCTAGACCTCAGCTTCAAGTTCTATTCGCTGCTCGCTGACGTCAGCGGCGTTTGGGCCAGACTTACGCTAAGAACTACGTGAGCAGGGCCAAAATGGGAGCGGCGATGCCGGTTTTGGGTGGCGAGAGGGAATTCGCCTCCTCGGGTCTCTTCGCCACTGACTGTGCCGCCACCCGGTTTCATTGGCAAGCTGAGCCCGAGCGACTCGACCGAGAATCTCGAGTACGGGACCTCAACTGCGCCGGCGGAGGCGATGGCCGCGGGGTTGTTTGCAAAAGGTAGAGATTCTCGTATCTCCGACTCGGGAATAACAATTAAGCCCGAGTAAGTTCATACGTTTGACATTGATGCATACAATAAGGTCAACAAAAATCAAGCTTCACCCATCAAGGTAAGATTATGAATGTGAAAAGATTATTTCGTTTTGATGTCATAATTGTCTCATCTTCGCGTGCACTATCAACCATGGGCTGTGTTCCTGCGTCCCGCTTGAGAAAGTGGGCTGAACAGAACAGTCTATGCAAAGCCCTGATATACTCTAGTTTTAAGCGCAAGGTCCATTTTATGCTTATTTATTACGAAAAGGCCCATCACGAATCTACTTAGACTAAGTCTATGTAATAACTTACGGCGAGACTATATCCCAATGTCACTTACTTTATAACTTCATAAGCATTTTCAAGCTTGGTTCTTAGTCTAATACTAGCCCACTCAAAATAATAAGGATGGTAGAAGTGCCAAAAGTTTTGTACGGCTCTCTCTTTAGTGCCAAAACTTTTCGCCGGCTAACTCAAATGCCAAATCGGAGAAAAAACAAATACTTAAATGTCTTCTATGACAAATTCTAGCCAAAAATATTAAGTGGCTTTTATAATAATATGTTTAATCTAACATGGCTTTTTTATATTAAAAACGAGTTCAGCATGGACTTTTGAGATGGCTCGCTTGCCTAAACGACGTCACACGAAGCCCAACCTAAACGACATTACACGAAAGCCCATCTCAAAATAGACAGAAAAAGTCTCCCTTGGAATTGGATTTGAGAAGGCTCCTTCATCTTCATTACCCTCCGGACACGATTTGCCGCCCCCAATCACCAACAGTCACCATCGTGTCTCCGTTGCCGGCCACCTCAAGCTTGGCCACAACTGAAGCAGGGAACTCGGTCACAAAAAGGAGAAGTCATCTTTGGAGTTGCAGAGAGCTCATAGAAAATCCTCTCGCTGATTTCTCTCATTTGTTGTAATTGCTGTTGTCGTTCATAGTTTCCGAGTCGCACTGCAAATCCCGTTGTTTTACCCTGTTTCTCGGCCAAGAAGCTTGAAGTGCTTCAAGCACGCTCGGTCCTTCTTTGCCAGCAAAGACGCTTCCAGGATCCTTGCTCTCTAATTTAAACAGTGATTCGAGGCCAACGCCTCCTTGCGCTATTTTGGTGAGCTTAGGTCTAAGAGCTTAAATCCCACAGTTTTGCTCTGTTTATCGACCGGGAAGCTTGAAGTGCTTCGAGCTCGCTCGGTCCTCCTTGCTCTGTTTTAGTGCCCGTGTGATTGTCGTGCGTCTAAACCAAGACCTGTCTGTTTGATTCTCTCATAACATCTTCAAACCGAGTTATTATTATGCTTGTCCGAGACCTCCATTTGTACGTTGTCTACTCGG